TCTATCTATCTATCTATCTATCTATCTATCTATCTATCTATCTATCTGAGCTTCAAATGAAACAAGTATTAAAATGAATTCAGTGCATCCACATATATAAGATATAATAGATGCAGTGTGTGTTTTAGTATTGTTTGAAATGTTTTTTTCTTTGCATGATGTGGCTTCACCAGCTTTTGTGGATGGCACACAAAATCTGTGTTTAAAGACAATGTTTTTAATGATAGCTGCATGAGGGCTCAAAGATTACAGACATCAAGCGTGCACTTCCTTCTGTAACTGCGAACAGAGACACCTCCTGATTCTTAAGCTCTAAATGAACTTAAAGTGTTTAATGATTTACACCATGAGCGTCTTCACTTTATGTTTCTTAAAGCATCTGACAGAGGACATCATACTACTAAGCATCTGCAGCAGCTTCTGGGCCCAGTGTACTAAAAATTCAACAAAAATTAAAACAAAAACAAACAACATTGGATTGGATTGTATACAAGTCTTAGAAAGCTCATGAACTTCACCCGTAATTCTATTTTCATCGTTGGTTTTGTGCGGCTGGGATTCCAGCGAGGAGACATACCGCTCATTAAGCGTGGTGTTGTTGGCCTGGAAGAGCGTTTCATTCCTTAAGCGTTTCTTGACCCTTATTACATCAGATATGATGACATGCCTCAGTTTTACTGGAGCCCTCCCTTCTTGCAGTTGAACTTTTTATGGAATTTCCAAACAATTTAATCAAACTATTCAATGCTTTAATAAAAGTTGTATATACTTTGGTAGAAAGCAGAACTCTGCTTGTTTTTTGAGCATGCACATAAAACAGATTGTAATAAAACCACTGTGAAAGGACCAAACTTTTGTCCAAATAATTTGTCTAAATCATTTTGACAAGTTAAGATGATGCAATATATGGAGAGCCACGTGAAAACACCATGTTCTTACTCCTTTTATTCACAACGGAAAAAGGAAATGAGTCAAAGTCAGTTTGCCCACCAGTTGTGTAACTATTAGCTCAGAATAGGCATTACCTGAAAGACTCTAGAGAGTGGGAGGATATCATTAGTGAAAGATTTTAAAATCAGGACAGAAATACAAAACTCAAAGAGCGATTTTGAAAATCTTAAATTGTTAAATTGTTTAGTTCAAAGAATTGATTTAACATGTTGGCTGACATTGTTTAGATATGACCCAGCACAATGTGTATTATCCAACACAATGGGTATCATTATGTATGTGTCACTTCTGTCTACTTTCGTTTGTTAATAATAGCTATAATCATTTTTCGGAAGCTAAGAAAGCCTCCACAAAAGTTGCGAATATTTGGCAAGTCACACTTTCTCATCTCCTTGCAAATAAAATATTAGAACACCTCAGTAAGTCAATAAGAGCGTGTTTACATGTTACTTTGAATAAGCCGTGCTGAAGCAGACAGAAACATCTCAAACAGGCTGGACGTTAGAGGGAAAAAAAAGGACCAGAATCAGGTAAAAATATCTAAATTTTCCCTAAATCATAAACACCCCGTCTGATGAAGTCTGCCTACAGATTCTGAACATGCGTGCATCTTCAAATGTTACATTTGACAGAGGGGAGACACAAACTTCACCTGCTAACTGTTTTTATTAATCCTCACCTTCAGCCTGTAACATTCTTCCTGCATTACACACTGTCCTCCAAAAACGTTACCATGAATCCAACAAAAAGAAGAGCAGAGGGAGACGTCTGCAGAGAAATGCAGTCACTACTGGGTTATAGGACATTGCTGAAATATATGACCTCAGAACAGAAATTTTAGGAGTATCCTGCTTCAAATGTGCAACACTTGAGTTGTTTTACTTGTATTATGCCAGCTGTTTAATATCAAGCTTTATCATGCACTCTTCATGACTTTGTGAACAATGCAAATTAATATGACAGAAAATAAGCTAATGTGTCAAACTGTATTAATCACTAAAAAACACACTTGCTTGCAGTTGGTGGGTAATATAATGATACATATTTCACTGCTCCTTCATGTTTATTCTTCTAGAAGACTACACTGGATTTCAATGGGGGGAAAAAAAGAAAGAAAAGACAGCTGTTCAGAATTGGACTAAAATCATTTTAGCTAATTCACTGCAGTGTCTGATGCCACCACAGTGCCTAAAAACAATTTCATTAGATTAAACGGGACGTGGTTGTTTCTCATCACAAGACCCAATCACATTATCCATCATCCAAAGCCCTTTGTAGTCACAAGGCTTTCAGGAAAACTTATTGGGACCCAGAAATCAGTCGGAACACCAGAAAACAAACAACATTCATCAAAGTTATTCTAACATCTAGAAGTGAACGGCCTAATCGCTCCTCACTTACGTTTTTATTTTACAAGATAGCAGCCTTTATTACAAAAAGAAAGAGCTCTGTGTGGCTTTCATGCTTAAGACAAAAGAACCATGATGACCAGCAGCAGCAGCAGCAACAGATCCGTCCTCTCTTTTTCTTTCCAGGCCAGCATGAAAGCTAGTTGGCTCCACTTCCTGCGAAAAATTCTTTCCGCTGGATTACGCAACAATAGCAGCAGGAAGGGGAGATAATGAAAAGTCTGATGAAAGAGCCAATAGTGCATAGCACCATTGGCCACCACTGTGTCTGAGTCACCACATAATTATTTTATTAATTTTCAAATGAAAAGAGAAAAAAAAAGGGATTGGGCACAACAGAGAATACTTAGAAATCTCAACGCTGCAGACAGAAGGTCCATTACAGTCCTGACATTTAACAACAGAGTAATTAAACGCACTGGTTTCTTTCAAACCCTTTATCAGCGTTCTCCTGTTTTGGATTTATTTACACTACAGTACCCCTGACCTCATAAACAGAGACATTAATGTTGTTCATTTATCATACCTACGACTAGAGAAGCAGTCTTCTAACGATTCACTTGCTTTTACTGAGACGTAGTACATACGTTTACTGGGAGCTCGGTGTTCGTTTTTCTTTGGCCAAAGAAACTTTTAATTTTTCGGCACCGCCTGCAGATCTGCAACCGACACGGCAGCAGCTCTGACCACGACACGGCCGGCTAAATGAAACAGGACTTTGGACATCAGTGCTGGACTACTCTGGTGCTCAAAGGCGCCGTTATGTCGAAGACTTAGCCCAGTTCCGCACAGAACCGCAGATCTGGTTATGTTCACCTACGGCTGGGTTTCATGAGGATGGAATGGCTCGGTGAAATTTCAGCGATTCTTTAAGCTTTAGGCGTCTGCGGCCGGTTTAGCGTCGGGTTTCAGGTCGAACTGAGAAAGCCAAAAGAAACAAACGAAAACTCCGGCTGGAAACACTGAAAGCAAACCCCCTCGGCCGGCAGGATCATAGCTCAGTCTTGATCCGGTGCATCAGGTCCTTCTGGTCCACCATGTCCGTCTGTCTGTTCCAGCGGTGGTAGGCCAGCAGAGCGATGTTCTTGGCCGCCACCGAGCTCATCTCCATGGCGCTGCCGGCCCACTCGATGCCGTTGAGGTAGTAGAGGTTGGGGTGCAGCTCCACCGGCGGCAGGTCCTGGCTGCTGCCGTAGTGAGGATAGGCCTGCCACTCCGTCACCTGCACCGAGTAGTACGACCTGCGGCGCAGAGCAGATAACAGTGAGGAATATCACAAGAGGAGATCGGCGTCAGCCGTAACAGCGTCCAGCTGACAGACGACCACGTGGTGATTCCTGCTTCATATGTTCGTCTCTCAGCTGTAACCCACTTGACCAATGTGATGCGTTTTAATATCTCAGATCCTGAGAATAGAGGTCCTTCTCTATGACTGTGAAGTTGCTCAGCATGTCTGCATTGTAATAATGTTCAGAAATCAGTGGAATCTCTTCTTTTCGGTTGACACCGTCATAAAAATGTTGCCATAAACCTGCTATCCCTCATTTCACCAGTGTGAACATAAATGAGTCGTATTCCTTTGACTATCTAAAACAAAAACACCGAGGCTCAGCTGCTTGTTGGTCGCTGTAATCAGAGGGAGAGAAACCCGCAGACCTGAAGAGTGTTTTGAGCTGCGACTTGTCCAGCGGCTGCTGGGAGAACACTTTGTAGACCCCGGCCTCCTGCGGCTGCTTCCTCCTGAAGCCCGCCGAGATGTTGACGGGGCAAACGCTGGCCACGCTGTTGAAGAACAGGTCCGGGGTTTCGGTCGTCAGCACGCTGGCGAACGGGAACAGGCGGGGGTCCGGGAATCCGAAGAGGGACGTGTTGATGTAGCCGTGCACGATGGTCGCCACGGTGCTGTGGTAGCTGCCGGGCGGCTGGTCGACGGGCGGCGTGAAGCCCTCCAGCTGGAGGCCGGACATGACGCTGTCCTGGAGCGGAGTGGCCAACACCACGATGTCGTAGAGCTCTGACCCCTTTCCCTCGGCTGTGGTGAAGTTCAGCCGGTACTGCGGAGCTTCCCCTGGAACAGACGGCATCGATTTAAAAAAAAACCTGACACTTACTCCTGGCTCATCTCCATGTACGTGCACACTCTTTAACGCTGTATACGTGCTCCAAAGTTCCATCCTCATGTAAAAATCAGCAAAGTGCTTCATTCCTATCAAAGCTGCTCTTGTCAACACTTTATTCTGATAGATGATATCTTGGACGTCGTTATAAAGGTGGAGTACCGGCGTGGATGGGGGAGATGGAGTTGACTTGTGCCTGGAGGAGATTTGTGTTGGCCATCTTCAGCAGGCCGGAACACACCAGTTTATTGCCTCCTTCTACCGCCCACAGGTTGTTCTGGGCACCGGCTAAAGAAACAGCGCCTGAAAGAAACACAGACACACACACACACACACACACACACGCACACAGATAAGAGACACTGCCAAGCACTACAAACCAATTATCGGCTGCCCACACATTTCCTGTCCTCTGGCTCCCACAGGCCTCCCGTTCCTCTCACCTTGCTTTCTTCTTTTCTATTCTCGACTCCCGGCTCCTCCCATCCTCGTATCCCGCACCTTATCTTCCCTTAACCACTATCTGCTGACCTACATCAGCTGGGTTGGAGACGCTAACTTCACACCTCGCTTAAAATTCACCCTTATTACCTCAGTCCTTTCAATTCCCGACAACCATTCCCCAACTTATCATCCGCCCCCTCCCCTCTACTGATCACTTCTTAAGACTTGGCTGACCTACAAAAGCAGGGATGCTGACGTTCTGGCCGTAGTTGATCCTCATGACGGGTGCGATGACCTCATCGATGAAGCGCTGCGACACACCCAGCTCCAGCAGCGAATCAGAGAGAGGCCTCTTGGTCATGTTGATGAAGCCGCTGCCCCCGAGCGAATTCAGGAGTTCCTCCACAGAGCTGAAGGCGTAGCCATGGGCCTGGTACTTATAGACCCTGTCATTTGTCCATAAAACGAAAGTCAGCCAGGTAACTGATAAACATCCCAGCGACCGTGTGCATAACGTATCAGACAGAGACACATAAGTGTGCTGTTGGCTAGGAGATTAAAACCAAAAAAAAATAGAGACAGAAGTGAAAGTGCAGAGACAAATCACTTCCTTAGGGAGAAAACTGAGGATGATGTCATGTGAAGGAGGATGGTAAACAGTGAAATTCTGAGTTTGGTTTGTTTTTCAATCAGAAATAAATGAAGACCATTAAAAGAAAAAGACTAGCGTCCATCATGTGAGTATTGAGTGAGGTTTTAGCTCCAGCTGACGGCTGTGATTTGAGTCTTAAAATACATAAGAGTGCGGATTTCGGGCAAAAAGATGACAAGAGCTTGGATTTCATTTTAAGGTGTCTCTTCTTTTGACTGGCTAATCCCGGGCAGATGGCAGATTGCTGTATTAATGTGGAATTCACACTTGAACTGTTGTGAAATGAGTCAAGGTTTGTCCAGTCATCATGGCTGCAGATGCTGGAGGCAAAGGACAGAAAGAATAATAAACAGCTCAGGCAGACGCCAGACGGCAGTGTTGTGCAACCACTTCCTCCCTTTTTGGACGAGAAACAACTCAGTAAATAAAAAATAATGAATGCACTTAAACCAGCTCTCTACTGAATTTGACTCCAAGTTGGTTTGAGGTATTTATTAAATTAAAGATTGATCTGACACAATTCAGATTTTCTTTAGATATTAAAGAGTGCGACCAAAGGGTCGTTTTTCCATGTGAGACTAAGGGATAAAGTTTCACACGTCCAGTAAAAATCTGCATCTTTCAGATGACCGGTCACTTGATATTATACTTATCATAACTGTTTACTTCTTAAAATAATTCAAATTTGATGTTTCAGACCCAGCCTAACTGACACTGGACTTCAAGGTTATCTGGCCAAATCCGTCCCCCACTAAAATAGAAAAAAAGCAAACAAACAAGCAGACACAAAGCTTTACATTTCTGACTCACCTCATAAATTTCTCCATGATCTCCTCCACCCACATTTGCAGGCGTATGAAACTGATTCCATAACGCCACCACAGGCGGAACAGATCCAGCAAGTACCAGTCCGTTTCCTCCAAAATCACCTCCTCCCCATTAAAAACCGCCGTCTTTCCTGCCACATTCCGCCGATATTTCAAACCTGGAGGGGGTGAGCATAAGATGACACAAACGAAAAAGCACTTCACCCACAATAACTAGCCTCTAACAGTAGTTTCATTCATTGTAGCTGGTTGTTTTTTTTAACTGACAAATCAAATAAAAAGGGGAAATTACCTGTACAAAAACATATGTGAGCACAGAGGAAGACTACTCAGATTGAGACCCCTGTAAGAACTTCCCCTCCAGGATCTGTAAGTGTTAACTCACCCAGCTGCTTTACAAACTCCTGCATGTGGAGGTTGAGGGAGTGGATGATGGAGCCTCCAGACTCGTAGTCATTGTTGTTGACGGTCACCGTAGCGAGACGGCCTCCGACCTCGCCCTTCTCGAAAACGTCCATCTGCACCTCAGGGCCAAAGTGTTGGCGCAGGAAATGGGCCGTGGCACTGCCTCCGATCCCTGCTCCAACCACCGCTGCGGCACAACAGAACAGCGGGAAAAGAATGTTTGAGTTTAGAAATGAAAAGTTTGGCAAAACTAACAAGAATCAATTATTTGGAGTTAACGAGGATTTGTTTTCTAGAATTTTGCTGCTTTTTGTCAAACAGTGTGGTTAATCTTGACATGACAATTATCTAAACACAAAGCATACTTATATTTTGCCTTAGAATGTCTTTTAAATGTATTTTTCTACTTAGAGAATAAAACATCCGTCAGGATGGTATGGAACTGACAAAACAAAGTAGATTTGGATGCTATCTTACATTTAAATATGGTATGTCATCAAAGCTTTGTGTAAAGAATACTTTGACAGTTTTGATTGCTTACACATCTCATACAGTTAAGGATAGGATTACTTCCTCCACAGATCTAACAGAGGCTGTGCTGAGCAGAAATATGAGAGCTTGATCTCTGCATTGCTCCGCTTCAGTGTTAATACCAACAATATATGTAAACTGCCTTCCATAGTGATTTTTAGTCCTTTTTTTTCTTACAAGTTATAGTCCAATCAGCAAATAATTTCAATAGCCCGGTATTTCTATTACAACTATATCTTGCTGACAGATGGTATGTTCTATTCTTTTAAGTTCCTTTAATGCAATTCATTGTTACAGTTAGACTGTGAAATAATATTGAAATTTTCTTCTCAATTTGTACAACCTGAGCTTCTCTAAATATGCTTCACCACTAAAACCAATTCAAATATCTGAAAAATCCGTTACTCATCTCATTAGGACTAAATGCACATTCAGTCGCATATTAGCACACAGTCCGCGTCCCTCGGGCCGCGTGCTAATGTTAGCTAAATTCAGCGGCTACACGAAGGAAGTGACTATTATTTCACCTATTTTTGACGGTGGAGCTCCGTCGACATGAGCGGATGCCTCCTGGTCTCCGAGAGCCGAGCAGGCTGCCAGTACAAGAGCAAAGAGCTGGATGTGAAAGGTGTCCATAGCGGCGGAGAAAAGATAACGGGACTTTGCGGTTGGGAGGTTAGCGGTTTCAGCAGGGAGTTTAGGTTTAGATTCAGATGATGTCCTCGTTGTTCTTTCCGCAAAACATTTTCAAACAAATGGATTAGTGTAACGTTTTATCCCTCAGAGAATTGGAAAGATTCAGCTTTGAATTTTTAAGATTCTCTACAAGGACCACCTGACAATGGTGATGATGCTTCTAAAGAATAGTGCTCACATCCGGCAATATCACGTGACTTTGCTCAGTTCGACCAATCAGAGAAGTCATGAAATATAATTTGACTCTAATTTCACATGACATGTTAGTGATTGTTTTCGTCTTCTATAGAAATTGTCATTTCTTCTCCAAATATGTATTTATAAAAGTTTATATGTAAACAAAATCAATTAGTTCAAGTTTAGTTTGATACTAGCAGGAAATACAACTCACTATTAGATGGCCTGAACTAATTAAAATATGTTAGATAAACAATGCATAAAAGGATTAGTGAAAAGGCTAATATTTATAGCCTTCACAACTTGTCAAATTACTCAGGTTTGTGGGTGAGTAATTTTGCTACATTTTACAAGTCCAAAACTCTAGTATTCCAAGGCTGCCTAACTGATTTTCCATCTCTCTAATGTATTCCACCACTTCATATTGTAAAAGAAAGTTCTTACAGAAAGCTAAGAAAGTCCCTTCAGTAATGATTTCATCAAGTGTAAATGTTATGCTGGATTTTAATAAAAACTTTAAAAAAAACACAACAACACATCATGTTGAAAAAACAGTGGAAGTTGTCTTTATTTCATTCAACAGAGAAACTGCTGTGACATCGGAGTAAACCACTGAGCTGAAACTAACATTCACACTGAGCCGCTGAAACAATGACTGGCACAGTGGAGCTGTAAGGCTTAAGGACGCCTCAGACAAATGCACACAAACTCAAACGTGCGTGCATTACACTCATACGTAGGCACAACCTCTCACACTCATCTTCATTTACATCAGTTGCCTTGCACGTGTGGAGCTGCCCGAGCAGCCGCCTCATCACTTTCCCTCTCCCTCTTGTGGTCAGTCAGAGCTGAGAGGTCATGGGTCACCTTCCGATCAGGTAACCTCTATTCCCTGGTGTTGCCATACCAACGCAGGGCTACTTCAGGGCTAAGAGGTGACGTAACACAGAGACCTCAACCGTTCATCTCTATGGTACATCTCTAAGCAATATAACCTCCAGCGATAACACTGCAAGGCCAGTGGTGGGCCACGAGGCCGGGGTTTAGGGGGATGCTGAGGGAAGGGCATGCTCTGGCCAAATGGAGGGCAAGGAGGAGTAGGGCATTGGCCGAGAAGGTTATGATTTTGGTCACTTGGTCGAGCGTCGAGTGGGCTCGGATGCGGTGGGGGGAGGCGGTGGTCCGCGTCTGTCTAAGTCTTCAATGTAGAACATGATGAGCTTCCTGCGCTCCTCAGGAACACATTCCAGAACGAGGTACCGCTTGTCGTTTTGAAGGATCTTCTCCACGTCTTTCAGATGCTGCTCTGACTCTTGGATCAGCTTTCTTGACCTGGAAGGACAGAGAGAGGCAGAACACATCAAACTGCAGGACTGGTGATGCAAACTCCATGCCTTTCTTTGTCTAAGAGTTTTTGAGGACGGTTTACATCAACATGCTGCCCAGCCTTTGGTTCACAACTCATTTTTAAGATGCCATCTTCCACCATGTAATAAAAATTTAAAATAATTTTTTCAATTAATGAATTCTCTCAAGTGTTTTTTGGAATTCTCCAACGATCTACTTTAGGGTCTCAGACTACAGTATCAAAGGCCATCTGGACACATCTAATACATCAGATGCTGCAAAAGTGACGCGGTGAGGCCAAACTGGGCATTCGATGAAAAGTCTCCCATCAGTCCGGTGGGTTTACAGACCTGTATGTGATGAACTTTGTCTCCTTGAGCAGGGTCCTGAAGTCAGCCTTGGCCGTAATGTATTTGTCTTTAATGTAATCTTCAAACTCTCGCTGTCTTTTCTACAATGAAGAATTAACAGATGAGATTTACATGACATTTACACTTCTTTTGAAAAAAGAAAAACATGAACAGGTGGCAAAATAATTTAACTCACAATTAGTTTAAGATGCACAATAATACTGTCTTACTCTGTCACTGGAAGAGAATTTTATACAGCGAGGGTCTTCTTTGATGACCTTCTTCACTTCTTTCCACGTAGTTGTCAGAGTGATCTATAAAACACACAAGGGAAAATAACCATCAGCCTTATGTGTTTATTCATATGAGATGTGACATGGCCGCTGTCCTGAGTAATTCCACCAAACCAGCGACTGTCCCAAAGACGGCGGCCCCTTTATACGTGTCCTGGTTTGACTTCTTACCATGCTGGTCTCATCTAGAAGTTGTCTGAAGTGCTCCTTCTTCTTCTTTGCCAGCGCTTCTACGTGCTCGTTAAACAGCTTCTCCTTCTCCTCTCTCTCCAGCAGGGACGCAGACTCCCAGCGGTGGTCCTTCCGCAGGTTGCGGCGGGTTTCTGACCACGTTGCATCTGAAGAGCGCACCTGAGTGGAACAAAGACTCTTAATGAGGAGGGGAAATGCCATTCTGTCTCCGGTTGAAAATTTTACTCTGGAGAGCTGAAAATCTCATGTGCGGTATGGAACAGACATGCCTTTGAAAAATAAAAGAATTCATTGATTGACCAACTGACAAAACAAAAGGACTAGGATTCAATAAAAATTCCTTTGCAACTTCAGAAAAGCTGGAGAGCCTCTCACCATATCAGACATGAGTGCTTTGAAATGCTGGATGGCCTCCTCCCTCTTGTGCTGCTCCCTTTCTCGGTCGATCTCTTTGGTCTGTTCTGATCGGGCCTTCTGGACCTCCCGCTCCCTCTCTCTGAGACTGGCCTCGATGCGAGCCTGCCGCTCCAACTCCCTTTCCTTGTCAATGTCGATGCTCTGTTGGACATGAACACGTTCTGTCTGAATGCTGTTTGTGGCTGCATGACGTTTGACAGTTGAAGTATCAGAGTGAAGTATTCAGGCAGCTTTCAGTGAAATATTCATTACAGATGGGGGAAATGTTTAATGTTTAGGCCTAACAGCTGCTTCTACCTTGGCTTGTTTTTCCATGTACTGCTTGAAAAGCTCCTCTCTGAGTGCGGAGCTGTCCACAGCCTTGTATCGGGGGTCGGTCTCTAGCCTCTCTTTCACTTTGCTCCACCGATGATTTCCCTCTATGTGCTGGTCGCTTAGCAGCTCAAAAAAGTCTTGTTTTACCTAGAAGCAAACAGACACGGCCAACATCATCGCACACATGTTCAAAGCTGTGATCAGCAGTGGATGTCACTCTGCAGACGCCTCACTCACAAACAGGTTTATCAAGAGATAATGCTCTGCAACATCGTAGTGCCTCAACTATTTATAGCTTCTAGTGATACAACACATTGTTCCAAGGGCAAAAAGTCTGGCTTTGAACCGTCTGAATGATTGTGTGCAACCCAAGATTTACAGAAAATATTAAGACTTTAAGTACCCACAAAGCAGAGAATTGCTTTAAAAAGGTAAAGTGGGGGCCCAGGCTTCAGGTTTGGGAATACCTTCTCTCCCCTACTTTTGGAGTCCTCCTTTTCCCTTTTCCTCATCGTGGTGACGAATTCCACAAAGATAGCCTCCCTGTCCTTCATCTTCTCGATGGTTTTAAATCGTGGATCTCTGCCGTGCTTCAGAGCAAATTCACTAAATGTTGTTCTGCAAAGACAATGAAAAATTAGAAGAAATCAGCAGGTTTGTGGCAAAGCAAAGAATATCTATAATAACAGTTTGTTTAGGAGAAATTTGAAGAAAAGGACGAAAAAAGCTGACTTTCTACATCCAGCTTCCTAAATGTCAGTAATTCACAAACAAGTTACTTTACACAAAGATTCAGAGGGAAAGGAGCACATCTTTACCTTGGTGTCAGCTTTGCCTCCTCCATCATCCTCCTGAACTCATCTTTGGCCTGCATCAGCTTGTTCTTCTTCTCCTTCCTCTCCTCCTCCGCTCGCGTCTTCACATACTGATCAAAAACCTGAGAGACAAAAAGAGGAAGATCATGAGTGACAGACTTTAAAATGATGCCCTGTATTTGACACGACTTTAAGAGGGGAGAGAGAAACTGGACCTGTTTCCTCTCCTTTGGGTTGAGCAGGAGGTAACGTGGGTCAAACACTATTTTATGAAGCTCTTTGTCCCAAGTTGAGAATGCAGACACCTTCAGGTGAGATGAGAAACATTAGTGCTGGAAGGTAAAGTTCAACGAAATTCCAGTAGGGACATTAAATCCGTTACCCCTCTCTCCAGCAACATTTCTCTGAACTGGGTCATCCTGGCCTCAAGTGGTACGATAGCTCTTTCTCTGGCAGCTCGGAGCTCTGCCTCCATCGCTGCCTCTTTCTCTGAATCTGCCTCTTTCGCTTCCTCCTTCCTGTCAGGATTAAATCCCAAAGATCAAAAAGGCATTCTGGGAATTTGAAATCCTATGGAATAAAGAGGACTTGACTTTTGTTTGGACAAAATTTCCAATTTAGTTTAGTTTGGTTTAAACTTGCTTTCTTTTTTTGGCTTTGCTTGGCTCATCGTCCTGATTATCCTCAGTAGTGATGGATATCTCTGGCTCCTCTTTACTGACACCTGTGAATGGATGAAACAAGAGAAAATAAAGTGAGTAAGTAAGTGTATGAGTATAAACTCTCTGATATAAAAGCTTTTAAAGACTGCTTATTATAAAAACTGAATCATATGATGGTTTAAACATTCGACAATCTATCAGTGATATCCACAGTAATCAATAGAGTGTTCACGACTAAAATCAGGGGGTGGATGCGAGCGTGTGCTTTTGCCCACCGATCTTCTTGCTATCCTCCAGACCTCTCTTGTGCGGCGGTTCCTGGATGTGCTTGTCAACATCGGATCGACCAACCAGCTCCTCAGGACGGTCCCACATGGACAGCCGCGTTGTGGGGTTGTAGAAGAACACACGATCGTCCCCCGTCCAAACTACACACCTGATAGGAAGGAGAAGAGAGGTGCAGAGTTCACACAGGGAATGCTTCTGCCTCTGAGCACAGAGATAAGGTGATACTGTGTGGAAAGCATACCAAGGCGTGCCAGGGATTGGGTTGGTTGCTATGGGTCTGGCCTTCTGGGCTGCCTTTTCCTCTTCAGTCATCTCTTCTTCTTTAGGCTCCTTGACACAATGTGGGTATGGATATAGGTCATCAATAAACTGTTTAGCTAGTATCCACCATGCATAATAATCTCTTTACTTTATCCCAGTGAGTCCTGAGCCATCCTTAATTTATTACCACAAAAATAGGAGCAGTCTTTTTTTTTCTTTTTTTTTTTTTACGAGCATGACTAGAAAAACATTAATGAAGACAAAAACAGAATCATAACCTGCTAGTGCTTTTAGTCCTCGCTACTGTCTAAACAAGCTGTCAGTTCATTTCTTTAAGTAGCGTTCAGGAATTAATCTCCAGACTTTTCAAAGGGCATCCCAGAGTTCTTTGTTGGACATTGTCTGCATTTTGTTCTGTTCTTTGTCTGCATAATCCCACTCTGCTTCAAAAAATCTGGGCTTTGAGGGGGGGGGCCTGCTGTTACCGACTTTCAGTCCCTTTCTGCGTCATTTGGCTTCTTCACAGCCAAACATTTCACAAAACAATTTTCAGATGAGGCCCAGGGCCTGTCACATTTGAGCCAACATTCCCACCCCCCTGTGGTTAGTTTGGCCGGCCTGACACTTCTTTAAACCCACTATGTTTCGGTTCCCTTTATTAGTCGACTTTCATCTCAAACATTGTACCAATAATATGCTTTGAGCAATGCCTTGTTTCACGGTCACCATCTCTCCCCCATCAGGGAACCAGACAACTCTCATCTTCACTCACCTCCCTCACATTATTAGCGTTTTCGTTTTTGTTTTCTTCATCCTCCATCTCCATGGCCTCGGCCTCCTCCTGGGCTAGACGCTCTCTGAGCCTATCCGCTTCTTTTTCTAGTGCAAACGCAAAACAAATACAAATAATATTAGGGATGTAAAGGTAAGTGAATTTGGTTTTGCATCTTGTCAAACTTGAGGTAACTTTTCCAAACCTTCTTCATATTAACGACTGTCCCACGACTGTCGGAGGACCGATAAATCTCCTCCGTGCTTACCTTTCTCAATCACGGCCTGTGGCTTCTCCCAGGTGGACTCCAGCGTGCGGTTGTTATAGTAATAAGTCTTCCCATCCGCTGTTTTGTACTCTGACCACTCAGGGAGCTGCAGTGATCCAGCCATGGAGGCAGGGGCTGCTGAAAGTGACAGCTGGGGATGCATCATGGAGACCAAGGGCGGGCCCATACCAGGAAGCATGCCTGTTGTTGGTCAGACACAAGACAGACAAACTATAGCGAGTCACATAGTCTGCCCACCTGAACTGCTGACACGAGTGGATCTGCATAGACTGCATGAAATCCAATTTCCTAATTAGTTAGCTTACTAAAACTAACTGCATCTCAGATACTGGCACAAAAATGCTCCTCTTGCACCAACATGAACACAAAATGTGAAAAAATACATAACTGAAACGGCATGTTTGGGTGATTTTATAATGTTGGTTTGAAATTACATTTCAGTTGTTAAAGTGAGTAAGGGCCTAAATACAAATCCTAATTATATCAGGAGTTAGATCTCTGTGAGAGAACAGCTAAACAGTTCAAATAAAATCAAAATAAAGAAAAAAAACTGTCTATTTAGGATAACGTTAGCTTTTCATCTGACCTTTTGTGGTATCCAATTCCCTGCTCAATTAAAGAGTCGTAGTGAGTGTGTGTTCTCCAGTTATATTTAGCTTATGGGGGCTTTCCATTAGTACCAACTCAGCCGTGCTCAGGTCCAATTGCCTTGGCATGACTCAGTACAGGTAGTGTTTTTCATTATAAATGACATCCTAACAGAAAGATTCCCCAAATGATTTTATGGAACCCAACTACATGACGACGCGGTGACAATAGACCGACTGAACCTCGGCGTTGGACGGCAGTGTTTGTTGGTGTATTAGGCATTAACAACGTTTATGGTCACAGAAATAATGAAATTACACCTTCACCGTTAGTCCATTTTTAAAATAGGTGGGGTTTATCTCAAGGAGTGGCTATCTAACCAAGTGGCTCCCTGGCCGATCGGCTTCAGGAAGTCTGTAGCCGGCCTGACTCAGCCCTGACGGAGCTCCTGCTGAGTAGGTGCTAAACTGCACCTGTTTAGTGAGGCCAGCTCCTAACGGAAATGCAAAAAAAAAAACCCACACAACTATGCTATGCAGAGTTAATACTAGTGGAACCCTCCCACATTAGAAAAATTAACACACAGGCCCTTCCTTTGACCCCTAATTTTGAATTGGTACAGTGCCCCTTTTATTTTAGGGTCATCTTGTCCCACCAGTGGCCACTTAAGTGCTTACTGAAGAGCTTTAAATAAATAGACTATCACTTCTCATTTATCGTCATTAGAGAAAAAGGCACTTCCGCTTTAGTACATTTAGAGCAGGTGTGGAGGCTACAGTTAAGAATACTCAATACCATTTACAGTACATATAGATCACAACTGAGCAGAAAGTGATGCAAAGTCAAGTCGAGTTTTCAATTCAAGTTACTCACTTCTAAAATACTAGTTTCAGAAGCTAGACAATGACCCCTTTACAGTACTTTAGGTACTTATAATTGACTGGGCTATTTATATAGGCTGTCACCAAATGTATGCGTTTGATCATCAAGCAGAGTAGATGACTTGATAAGGAAAAAAAGAGCAAATTAAGAATGGCATTAGCATTTTTTTAAATCCTCAACAACCAGTTGACAGTAGACACAGCTTACACACAAATATCAATTAAAAAAAGTGGCAACACAACCACAACCATGCCACAGAAGAAGACAACACATGACCACAACATGTAGCCCTGTTACACAACATAAGTGCTACTAGGAGCTAGTGGTTGAAGTTATCAATATGATCTCTTTCTCTATACGAGTGAGTTCACCAAATGTATGGCTGCAAAAGGACTGCTCTTTCCAAACTTCAACATATCGCAATTTACTTACTAAGAAGGTATTCACATTACCAAATCAAAAATAAAACAAGTCTGACTGGTCCTGACAAGATTCGGGGAATAGCGCGCAAATAAGTGGACTTTTCATTTTTAGCCAAGGTTAACTACTCTCATGACTGCATGAGGAGCAGATCAAACCTGTTCTAAACCTGCATCAAATCAAAGGATGGTGGTGAGCAGGCAATCATCAGGTAACAAACATTACTGTGGCACGGAAATGCTGTTATGCTCCTCCATTTAACACAAAATTAGGTATGAGAACAATATAGAGGCAGATTCAACTTCTGCCTGTTGGAATGGCATAGGAGTTCCCACTGAACATCGAATGTCTCATGTTCACAGCATTCAAAGCCATGCCACGGTTAAGAGTCCCCATAGATACCATTGAACGCATGTAGACATCATTCACTATCATGCCAGCTACTGTGGGTCTGAGAGGCGAGCGGCTGGGTGTTTACCGTTGGAGCTGGGGCCTGCCTTTACACACGGCGCACCTACTATCTGCATCATTGCTACACCTGCAAGAACAACGGACAAGCAAGCATGTGGTTGAACACAGCAAGACACGAGACATCAGCTACCAAGGTGTGCAAGAACTGGTGTGCCTGGTCCCACCTAAACGCTGTCGTTGCATAACTACAGTCTTTTATCAGTGTGATGCGTACTAAAAGATATTAGAAATGTGTGTAGATATTTAGCATAATCTAACTCGATACTTATGTATTTGCAGCAGAACAGTTGGTGTAAAAAAGTGCCAGTAAAATGTTCCAACGAAACCCAACCTTTTTACTTGAGGCACTGCCCCACAAAGGAGTTCATCCCTTCATCCAGAAAAAATAATCACATCAAACAATGTAATTGAATTGAGAAATATACTAATTAAAAACTCAACCTATATAAAAGGAGGGGCATGTGCTTGCTGGCCACATTTTTTTGTGTTTGTTGCCGATTCACACGCACGCATTAAACCAGCTAAGTTTTAATTGCTACATTTAATCTTTTTTGTCTGCATTAATTTTGACCAAGTCACAGCACTGGCTAACTAATGATAATCTTCTGTCCAAACACTGTGTTAAATATGTCTGTGCGGCCTCTGGCAAAATGAAAACCTTGTGGAAATAAGAGTCACTTTAAACAGCTTATCAAAATCTTTTTTTTTCCCCCCCCCCCCCCCCCAGGTATGTGAAAGCAACACGCTCCAGTGTAGGGTGCCAATTCAGCGAGCCACGCTGCAACACCTCCAGACTTAACGGGACAAAACACAGTAAGGATTTGCTCAGACGAGTGTACAGGAGAAACCTGCAGTACAGCTAGTCTTTGACTGTTGCCCGTCTCACCTGGTAGAGGAATGTGCATGCCTGGCAAAGGCACCCTGAAGGGTGGCACCATGACAGGGGGGAAGGCAGGTATGGCTGCGGTGGGCTGGGCCACGCTGTGAGGCAGGGCGGCCGGCAGGAGAGGCACAGTCTGAACTGCCGTGACTGGTGATGGCATCGTGGAGACAGTCACCACGGTGACCGGCGACACAGCAACGGTTGAGGTTACTGTGGAAACAGGGGCGAGGTCTGCTACAATGGAGGCTACGAGGAAAATTTAAAAACGATGACTTTGAGTCCATGGAGGCTTGGGCACACAGCAGTGGTACCAAAAGGGGCACCTACCTGCAATGGTCACCGAAGGGGAGAGAGTGGTGACGCAGTCGGGACTGGAGGTGAGCGTGCGAGACGGGGTGGAGGACGGGGCCTGGGTGGGGGAGGCTGTGCTGGCTGTAGTGTTACCACTGCTGGAGCTGGCGGTCACAGTCACCCCCCCACTTGGACCAGAACCTGCAGCCCCCCCGACTAGAAGAGGGTTGAGTTCAGACTGTTGGATGATCTTGACACCTTCTGGTTTACTCCATGACGACTCTCTGGTCCGGGCATTATAGTAATATGCCTGTGGAGCAATAAAAAGAGCCTGTGTCATCAACTCCAAAGTAACAACGGCTTTGGAGTTGATCATTGATGATGTGATGATCTCCACTGTAGCTCATTTAAACCAAGACCATTTCCAATCATTAATAGCGGATACCTATGGGTGGAACTCCTTAAGGCAGTGGATGGCACATATACACAACCTCGCGTTATGCTCTTAACTTTTTCTTTGAAAAGAAATAACCTTACACTGCACTTTCATCCTACCTTTCCCTCTGGGGTCTTGTTCTCTACCCAGATCTCCTCTGCAGGGTTGAGTGGAGGGTTTCCAGATGTAGGAACAGGGGGCATCCCTGGTGGAAATAACATTCCTGGAGGAGGTGGTAGGTTACCAACAGGAGGGGGAAGGAATGGAGGTCTCTGCAGGGGGAAAAAAAAGTCCACATAGAAAAAGCGTTTAGTTATAAAGCTGCATGAAGTTCGACTGAAGATCTAAAGGGCCCAATCAGAGAACAAATATGAATGTGTTGAGCAAAGAAAAGTGCAGTCAGAAACTCAGTCAGCAGTAAAGGGTTCCTGATGAGTTTGCGTATCAATTTGCTTTCATTCAAAAGAGAATTGCACTGCAATTACAAATCAATTATAGTGGAGATCCAAGTGATTATATGAAAGAGGCCTAGTCAGATCCCTTCCTTTGTGTTTGTCTCATTATAAGAGCAAATATTGATGTTATTTCGAAAAACAGGAAAGAGTCAAAGCTTTCTTTTTCCTGTCACTTACACTCCAAACGGATATTGATGTGGATTATGTCTTTATAGAGGGAGGTTTTCCCTTCTTCTCTCTCCATCTCCTTGCTCTGATCCATCATTAAAGCATCTACCAAAACTCCAATCCGGAATATAAATTTAAAGTCCTATAATTTTTACCAGCATTAACCAGAAGCAAATAATGACGTATAAGACACAACAGCAAACAACCTGCATGAGCTGTCAAGTTTTTGTTCCGTTTACCCAGACCAGGGGTGTCAAACCATGGGTCACTGTCTAGCAGGTTTTAGTGGTTTCCCTGCTTTAACACACCTCTTTACAGATCTCTAGATCTCTTCAGACAATTGTTAGGTTCTGCACGGGACTGTGACTTTGTACTGTTCTGAATCAGATGTGTTGAATCAGGGAAACATCTAGAACCTGCAGGAGGACAGCCCTCCAGTCCCAGATTTGCCCACCCTCAAACCATACAGTGGCTGTTTTGAACGGTGGGCCCATTAGGAAACGAGCATATTTCATGCATTTTTATTTAACAAAATATGTTGCAGTGTTTTGTTTGTTGGTTGAAATGGAATTACATATGCCTAAAACAAAGAAAATACCTCTCAGTTAGACACTAACTCACCACACTGGCTTAAGATGACAAAACTAGAAAGGATCCTTAATCTAGAGAGTAAGACTACTCTTCATCTCATCATTAATCATCTATGTTGTCCACAAATGTGACATATTACCTGAAGGTGAGGAGGACCAATGGGTGGTGGCATGGATCCTGGTGGAGGGATGGGTGGCATGTTGGGGTCAAAGGGAGGACGAGCAAACGGTGGTCTTGGTGGGGGTCCCCTCATCATTCCAAAAGGAGGTGGGGGAGGCCTTAATAGTGGCGGGGGGCCTCGTAACACTGGAGTCTGGGTAGGCGCTGCTGTTGGAGCAGGGGCAGGGCTACGGAACCTCACCGCCTGCTGCGCCATTCTACAACAGCAAAAAGAGAGTTAAGGTTAACTAAAGCCCAACAGGTTTCACACCTTTAGATGTCACTTTTAACATTAAAAGAACAGTCTTAATAATCTATCAATTAACAACACAACTCTTAGTAGGTATGGTCCCACAAAATATGCTCTAATTTAAGGTTACTTGGATAGGAAATACAGATTTAATAATTTACTAAATTCTAAGTTTATCAAGAAAAGGTAGGTACTGGTGTGCATGATGTGAAGGAAGCACCAACTTGTAAGACTGGCTCTACGTTTACTTCGATGTCTGTTGCAAAAATGTAACAGAAAAAGTGTGATTTAGCAAAAAACACCATATGTTTGCTCAACAGAGTTTTATATGGTGTCACTGAACTTGGGTGAGAGCTTAAGATCAATTATATATTGATATAACTTATGTTGTGGTCAATTTTAGTATGTTTTCTAAAATGACACCTTAAACAAACTCAATACATCCCGCAGTGTGGGTCTAGGGGCAAATATATTTATATAAATACATATTTTCATCTTAAACCTATAATAACAAAAGCAGACATTTATCCCACAATCATAATGTAAAAAGAAAAACCAAAGTTTGATTTGAGTACCTTGCAGATTTACTATGGAGGGAGATTTAGTGAAGCATCAATGTAAATAAGTTATATATGCGTTACAGTGTATGTGCTGAGGTTTTGTTAACTCCAAATAAGTTTAAGAAACCCCTTAACGGTGCAGCAGTACCACAAAAGATAGGAATTTGGGCGAGACGCTTCGTTGTGTTAAAGGTTTACTTACTTTACGTAATCAGATTTCCCATTGACTTAAACACTGACTTATTCTAGGTCACAACCCTTTTAACAGTGAACGTAAACATCCTTCAAAACAAAATCCACCAGTGATTACCCTATGTTGCTAACTATGCTAACAGAGGCTAATCCATTCAAAATATTGAAGCTGTGCTGTTGTTTACCAATGTAGCTATCATGGCTTAGTTGGTTTGATGCAATTTGTAATTGTTCGTACTATCTAAACAAAAACTGAGGAGCATGGAATGACTGCAGTTTAGTAGGATGAGGGAAAGTATCTGTTTACCGCGTGCAACGCGAGGATAGCAAAGACGAGGCGAACCGCCTAGGAGCTAGTTAGCCAGGAGCTAGTTAGCTTGCGTGGCTCCACTCACAAGCAATTTCTGCTATATTTCAGAACATATCAATGCACACAATCTCTGACCAACTGAACAAAACATTTCCACTTGTGTCAAATCTAATATTTAGCCGATATCCCTTTGAAACATATATTTATTGTTTTCTGACCTGTTGTCGTTGAACCCGATAGTCTCGTTCTCTGCCTGATCCGCCATTACAGGAAAGTGTTACTACTCTCTTCCTGGAAACGCCCCTAATGTTTTCTAATTTTTCTATTCGTTAATCCTTGATGTCAATCACGGTGAAGCCCTGAATTTCAGCACTCTGACTGGATAATAATATTCTCGTGAATGTCCTGTTAAGGTCTAATTGGTCCGCATGGGTCCCATTTTTTGTGATGTCTTTGTCCAGTGTGTTTGTGTACGGCACAGACTGTGGGTGAGCATGAATAATAAGTGTCTTTCTGTCCAGAGTTTTGCAAAGATAAATGGTATTTTCTGTGCTTAAGCTATTTGTTGTGCCAGCTCTTTTAAGCAGTGGTGGGCAAAGAGCTGACATCTTTCAATTTAATGAGGCATAACTACACTAAGAGAACAGTGATTTATTTTTTAGGGAAATCATGGAATTAGGAAAAAATGTAAATGCATGTTCTAAGCTAACAATTCACTAATCATTGATCATGTAAGGATTGTGCCTGTTTATCTGTTTAAAATATATTAAAGGTTAATTCTATATGTATTGAGTATATCTGCTATCACGAATTTTAGCCTTAAAACAAAATCGAACAGCAGCAGTTGATATTGACATAAAACCTTAATTAAGACTCACTTTGCTTTGGCTCTGCAGTTGCTGTATTTTTTAAAAATAATAAAACTGGACTTATAGAGTTAACTTTATTTGCACCTTTCTTAAATTCACATTCTGACAAAAGTATCCCAAAGATAAAGTAAAGCTACAATATCGTGGCATAAGGTATACTTGTGCTGGGTAAGTTTAATAGGACTTCTCATTTAGGTGTTCACCTCATTACAACAGTGTGTGTGTAAATATGCTGAGAATAAGGCAATAGGAAATTTCTTTAAGTTTGTGATAGTGATGTATGTTGTTATCTTTTCATTTTCGTGTCGCAAAAACATAACAGGCAAACTTCAACATTTTACTTTTTTTGTTGTGTTGTGACTCAAAAAGGTATTAAATGGGACAGTATTTTATTTAATAGTGTGACAAACAGTTAAGCTTCACTTTACCGCCAGTGTAGCTCCACAGATAGAGAAAATATCCTAAAGCACGTTATTTACACCTTTCATACTAACTGACTGTAGCTGAGCTGAATGGTGACAACATCAGGTTTTTCAAAAGTTCCTAAAACTGGTAGATCCAACGAGGCAGTCTTGGCTGTAGCACATTTTCCTACCAAAGGCACCCAAGGCGAATGCTCTGGCCTGCTGGTGAGCGTGGCAGTGATTGCTGAGTCCCTCTGAGTAGCTGCTGACGAATGGCGATCTACATAAAAACCTTAAGAGTAAAAGTTGTTAAAAATGTAACTAATGAGTCAAAGCATGTAAAATAATGAAACGCTAAAAATGATTTCAATAAATAATAGTCTGTGAATAAAAATGACCATCTACAACATGTGAAAAGCTAGTATAACTGGGTTTAAAAAAACGTTTTTCTCTGTAGTTCCCTGTTATTAGCAGATGAATGCTAGCTGTGAATGACCGAAATTCATTTATTGCATGGGGTGTGAAAATAGCAAAACATGAAACAAAGCAAACTATCTGATATATTAAAATACTTCACCTCGAAGAGTGGATGTGCGGCATGGAGCAGGGGTCGGCTACATGAGCTGTATGAGAACACGAAGGAGGACAGTGGCCCACTGTGTGGGGCACCGACATGGGGCGCAGGTTTATATTGACCCCCATTAAGCTGGACTGAGCAGCTGGCACTGCTTGCTGGCCATAAACTGGGACGCTCGATCCCTGCTGCTCTGCTCTCTCCACCCAGCCAACGGGCTCCCTGCATTTCCTCCTCCTGGGACGATACTCATAGTCTGGCGTGACAAAGAAAGCAGGGGCTGAATAAAAAAAACAAAGTCTGCAATCCAATATCCTCTTACCTTGCAGTAAATATTCAATTTGTTCTGTACCAGGGAACTGCTGTCTGTGCATGTCCCTCAGTTTGTGAGCAGCCTCATAGTAGGGCCTCTTCTGTTCCTCGGTAAGCTTCGACCAAACACAGCCCAGATGAAAACTGACGTCTTTGCTCTCAGTCCACGGGAAGGCTTGTTGCACGGAGCGCCGGTGGAGGCAAGCCCACACGAAAAAGGCGTTCATTGGCCGCTTGATGTGTCCGCTCTTGTTTTGGACAGTCTGCATTTGCCTCACGTCTGTGGAAGGACATTTGGAGACTGAATTGTTTGTCGTAGTCGAAGCAAAAACAAAGACATTGTCAGAAAATGATCTGCTGTATGTGGAAATAGAGAGATAATCGTTTCCTTACAGTTTTTCTGTTTGTTCAATTCTTGGCTGTGCCATAAGTATATGTACTGTGGTGTTTTGTGTTTTCAAATTTTTAGTGCATAAGATAATGCTAATTGATTAATTGTAGCAATAGAGGGGGGGAAATGTATCATTAGAAGTAAGAAAGTAAGGAAATAAAGATAATAAACAATAGGATTAAAGATTGTCTGATAACATTGAAATATATAATTCAGCTTGTTTCACTTCTTAATTTTTCTTACACATTATATGCAATATTTGCATCAAAACTCAGAAAAATGGGGAAGTACACCATTATTTGAGTTATACACGGTTATATCCCTTGATATCATTATGGTACCTTCCTCTGTTGGTGGGATGGTAAAAATGAGGGCTGGACAGTCACTTTCCTTTGGGGCAGCGTGCTGAAAGAGTTGTACTTGGCTCTGATTCTGGGGCTCACCAGAACTTGTCTCTAGATTAATAATCTCCTGCTGACCTAAGAGGAACCAAGTTAGTCCATCAAATTGAGGCAGGTTACTCCTCAGTGGCTGTCACAGACCTCAGTATGCACTCACCTTTGCTGTCACATTGCAGAACATACTTTTGATTCCACTGTGCTTTTGTGTAGTTTTCTCCAGTCTCGTTCTGCAGCTGAACCTGGGCCTCTAGTCCCACTGGAAGACCCAGAGCGAATCCACATTTTATAAACTGACCTGGTTCTATGTTGTGGAAATTATGATTAAGGGCGTCTTCCTGAAGAATTTCTCGTTTAGTTTGGAGCTTCTCGGACATTGTGGTCATGGATCAGAGTAGGTATTTCACCTGTGTTGTCTCCTCTATATTCATCTGGATTTTTAAAAAACTGTTGCTGGGCAACAGAGAATGTCTTGTGTATAATTTGAATGCTCTCATCACTAACGTAATTTAAATGCAGGGTTTAAACACAAACATAATCTCAACAACGCAAAAGATTAAAAAAATTAGCCCAGACAATGCTATTTTCTGTACATCTGCTCTTCTAAATAATCACCACCTTCCCTAAAAGTTCTTTATGATCGGTTCAGAATTAAATTAATATGTAGGGAAAAAATAAGCAAAGCAGTTATTTGATGTTATAATTTAATGTTGAACGAAGTACAGAAAATATATTGAAAATAATCAAATCAACAGATCTGTACTGAAGAGAATAAAGATGATTTAAGTCAACTAAATTACAATAGCTAAGACTCTCCCCGTATGAACATAATCTTTAAACTCCAAAAAATATTCAACTAAAATCTATGGAATTATCCTTATGATAGTAACAAAATAAACATTTGGTCATTTGGAGGGCAGCGCCTCAGAAAATGACGAGAGGCTCTGCTCAGCTGTGTTCGCACGTCAAACAGGGAAAACCATACTCACACGCCGAGTCACACATTACACTCATTCACCCCTACATTTCACATAAGAACCCCCACCGTTTTGGACTAGTTTCCCCTTTCCCAGGAAATCTTCTTTAAAAACTCGGGAAATTATTGTTCCTTTACTCCACACGTTTTGTAGGTACCAGAGTTGAACCTGTGTCGTGACCCAGTGAGCTGCGAAGGGAAAAACGTGGATCAGAGACAAGTCATTTCCAACTGAAGACCAACTGCTGTTCCGTACCCCAAAAATGAAAGTGAGCAGCTTATGGACTTTCTTTCCCCTGCACAGCTGGTTGGAAAACACTTCTTTGCGTTACACATACACTGACAGTGTACAGATGTGAGTCAAAGAGGCAGATCTCTTGTTCAGGATGCAACCAATAAATGCCCAGAGACATTTGACAATAGACACTGATGAGGTTGCGTACAAAGAAAACATCAGTCAACAGTACTAAACGAATACTGACTGGCCTTTTAATCAGGCAGCAAGCGGGTAAATGCAACCAGAACGTATAGTTGAGTGCAGGTATCTATCGACAGTAGAAGTCTAATTATTGTAACGGAAATAACTTGACACGTTCTCTAGATGTATTAGCTAGTGTTGCCTCGGTAACATGACACCTTTAATTGACCTAATAAGCATCGATCTGTTGGACATTTTTGAAAATTGATTTAAAAAGAGGAGAAAAAAGGCAGTTTGCTTGCGGGGGTCCAGACTTAAATTTACATTTCATTCACACTCCTATGGCTCAAGTAGAAAAGCAACCATGCAGTCCAGTTTGAACATGTGCACGCACTCTAACCTCTGCTGGAGGACCAGAGTGCTGGCTTTCTGGGTATTAACAGAGCCACTGCTGAAAATAATGTGATGGCTTAGATTATCTGATTGGATTGTTTTAAAAACATAACATAGATTAAGTTAAGGCGGTAAAGCCATCCTATCTGATTGCCCTGTAATGACTGAATTCTTACAGCATTGACAGAAACAAAGAGAACGAAGGGGAATATACTTGAGTTGTAAAAACACACACATACACACACACACGCACACAAAAAGAGATTTTTTCCCAGCAGGGAAGTAATGACTGTGTGTGACATCTTGCCAGCGCATCTGCTTCTCTTTGTACGATAGTTTCTAACGTCAGATGGGCGCTGGGGGGGGTGCATTGGCGGGAGCTTCACAGCCTCTGTGATCCTGTCAGCATACTGGGATGATGAACATCAGGGCTGCTAGCTCTCCAAAGAGAGCACGAGCAGACAGTGAAACATGCAAGGTTTTCTTCAGGTACAGCACTCCTTCTGTAGTTCTCACACACACACACACACACGATGTCAGACATGCGCACACGCACATACACGCATTAGCAAAGCTTCATTTCCCAAAGTTGCCAAAGTTAGCAAAGGCATCTTGTTTGGGTGGGACCACGGCTGGGGCGATGGAGTGAGTTAGGCCCATTCCTACTCCGGGAACCCCCATACCTGCCACGCCACCCATCATCATGGGAGCAGCCATCCCCATATTCATGTTAATGTTCATTCCCATCATGCCCTGGTTCACAGGGAGTCCAGCTTGTAAACCCGTGTTCATTGAAGGAGGCATCCCAGCGGCCATGGAAGCTGGCATTGATGCTGGCATGCCCATCGTCATGGCATTGCCGGCCATCATGGGATTGGCTGGTGGTCTATTAGGCATCGCATGAGGCGGAGAGCTGAGGTTGAGTCCTCCGAAATTCTGAGCCAACAGGTTGACAGGAGGCACTCCTGTTCAGACACATAGGGACAAGTAAATCATGTAAAGTGCATATAAAGCCTCATAACGAGGAATAAGTAATGATATTTGTTGTAGTATTCCAATGACCAAGTTAACCTGCACAGTTCATTTTAGTACACTTAGAATATGCAACATGTCCTAAATAGCCTTATTAAGTTTAAAAACAGATGAATACAAAGACTGGGCTGGGTTTTTCTGTAGATCTTCCCGAGCTTCTACATTTTTAACTGCAGAATTATGGCGATACTAAAGAGACATAATCAACTGTCACAGGTTGAAATTAACAGGTTGAGTGACAGCGCCTAAAATATATTACATTGTTTCACATTACAACAAAGCACAACATAGACTCAAAATGTAGTTTTTCTGCCTTCCCATTAAATCGGTGTGTTTCACTGAGATCTCTACTTAAAGTCAGTAATACACATTACAACTCGGTAAAAGCTGAATGTTGAGCTGCATAACAGAATCTTTACTTGAGCTTAGAGCACCATACCTTGTTGCTGGATGATGTTGTTGAGAGTGGGTGGTGTCTTAGTGGGGTTGAGGCCTGCTGAAAGGAAGTCCAGGCTGATGTTGACAGAAGGATCCGACCAAGTTGACCCCAAAGATCCTTGACCTCCCATTCCAACCTTCTGTTCTTGTCCTATTGATTGCTGAGACCCTGCACTTCCCAAATTCTGAAACAAACCATTTTCATGATAAACTTATTCAATATTAACTGATAACTTTTTTGAAAAACAAAAACTTAAAAATCTAGAGTTAAATCTAAACATTTCCTGTCAAAATCTATGCCTTGAGTTTTTTATAATCTAAAACTTTAACTCATTTGTGTAGCCATAATTTACTGAAAATTGAGCAGTAAAGCACATGACTGCTTTTTTCAGTTATTCTTCCTATAGAAATAACAGATGATACACATACCTGTTGAGAACGAGACAGGGGCATCGATGGCATGGCAACAGAAGCGCCGGGTGTCATCCCTCCCAGAGAAAAGGTCATGCTCTGAGAGGCACTGAGTGTGGTGTGTGGATTGTTGAGCTGATGGTTTACTCCACCCATGAGGTCAAAGAGCTCAGCAGATGGTGGTACAGAGGGGTTTGCGGATGGGGCTGTGGGTGACTGGACACTGCCAAAAAGGTCATTGATGGGCTGGGAGGGACCAGAACTAGATGAAGGAGGTGGGTTTCCTGAAAAGGCATTCCAGTCCCCAAATTCTCCATTTCCATTAGACGAGGCAGTTGCTGTGTGCAGAATACAAATACTGATCTTTTTATTGCAAAAAAACATCCACACCTTTGCATTATGTAGAAAAATTATCATTTTAAACCTCCACTTAAATGTGTAGATCTTACCAGTGGAGGTGGGAAGGCTGGCAGAGGCTGCAGGTGAAGAGAAATCAGCAAAGCCCCCAATGAGGTCTGAGCTGCCTGCTGTACGGATGGACAAAAATAAAACATTTTACGTTGCTTTAGAAACAATCTATGTTTTGTTTTGTTTTTTCCAAAAACTGAGAAAAAGCAGGCTGTAGATACCTGCTGTGGTACTCTGACTTGATGAAGGGTCGATCACTAGCAGGTCAGCCAGACCTTTGCTTGAAGACTGTCTGCCTGTTGACTGAAATGAAGAAAGCCGGCGGTTAGAGACATGCACGAAATGAAGTTGTTCATCACATAGTGAAAACGTGTGTCTGCACACCTTTTCCTCTGGGCTCCCGTCTCCCGTGTAGTGGGCAGCAGCACCCAGGTCCAGGGTCTTGCTGCCCCCTGCGCCGCTGCGTTTGCGGGTAGTGGTAGTTGTGGTTTCTGTTGCTTGTGTTATCTGGATGCTTTTTGTTGTGACAGTTTCCTCCTCATCTTTAAACTCGATTGTTTCCTGCCTGCCATTTCTTGATGATCTGTCCTCCTCGTTGTCACTATGGCAACAAGATGGGGCATACATCAGCGCTCAGGGGATTATGCTTTTGATTTATCTGCACTTATTGTATGTCTGAGAATAGTGATCTATGTACATGATGCATTAAATTGTGGTGATGAAAAAAAAACTGAACAAAAATCTTAAAAACTTTTGTTTTTTAATAACCAGACAATGTTTACCTAATTCTGTCAGGCGAGTCATCTCGTTCCTTCTTTCTGAACTTGTTGAGTGTGTCATCAATTGTGCTGCCGATCTTATCACTTATCTCTCCAAGCTTTTCACTGAAGGGAAAACCTCCTTTGCTCTTGTCCCAGTCCTCATCCCATTTACTCCGATCCAGTTCAGTACCTGAAACCAGGTAGTCATGAAAAGAAAGTCAGAGATTCCTGTTACACATTAATCAGTCAGTAGAATAAAACTTCTTATTTCAAACACAAGTTTTGTTTGTAATTTAAGGAAGATAAATGTAAGACATTAATGCATGACTGGATCAAGTCTACAGTTATATATAAATGTAAGTGTCTCCTTACAATAAAACTACATTTCTGTAATTATCCTGCAATTCTGCCTGACTTGGCTATTGCAAAGATTGGCAACTACTCAAGTAGAAGATCCAGAAATCAGTGACTAAAAATTATTTTTGTTTTCTTTTAGAGGTAATAAATCAAAAGTAAAAGAATATATGTTTGCACTGCACAATCTGTAACCAGGAAATTGATTTAAGTGATTACATTGGGTTAAATGTTTTCTGTGTAGCAAAAGTCCTTTTAACTATTTTCAAGCACTGACAACCTCTTGAGAATTTGCTAAATCAATTAACTAATGTACCAATTTTCTCTTGAAATAAGTAAACTATTTAGAGGTATTAAAATGCCAGTTTTTTTGCTAAATAAAATCACATCTTAATCCACTTAAGCTGTCAAAGGAAACTTAGCGAACCACTTACAGTTTTTAAAACTGCCTCCTCCTCCACCCATACTGTCTGAAGAGACGCCGATATATTTATCCTTGTTCTTCTTGGCTTTTTTTCTCTCATCTCTCAGTCTGTCGTCATCCTGGATGAACTCCACCATCTCCTTCACCTTCTGACGCACATTGATCCCCTGATCCTTACCATTCTCATCTGAAGTCACACAGAAGCACAAGACACACGTGTACAAACGCACACACAGAGTCAAACACAAACATGAGATTATTTGTCTGTGATTCTACTTTATGTGGCATACCAACCCCTCAATTTCTGGCAAGATATCATCTTTTTTTAAAGAAAGACCCATAAAACAAATTTACAGAGACAATAAGATTTTTTATAAAAATTAAATGAACCATTTTTCATCAATGACAACAGATTTTCATTAAGTAACTTGCCAATGAAATGGTAGTTTTCTAGTGATCGCAGGTCATAGATGTGCTCTCTGGCGCTGGTCACCACTCTCTCAGAGCCATTCCTGATGAGATAGGCCAGCAGGAGTAAGGCCTGAGAAAAGGAGGATGTATATCAGAGGAATGGAGTGAGAAGCTGAAGATGATATTTTTAACTGTGGGAAGCTGCTCAAATAGAAATAATATCTGATGAATATTTATTTAAAAGTCAAACCATAAAAAGCATGATCAAAGAAAAAACATATTTCCTCAGAAAAACAGGCTGACTGAAGTAGGTCAACAGCTATTTGAAAATCAGAGAAAAAGAATTTGGAAAAAGAATAAGGAAAACTGTAAACACTGAAATAAAAAGACTTTTTAATTACAAACCAAAGCAGAGGATATTCATTCATACCTTGTAGACTCGTCTCCAGTTCTTCTTGTTGTCTTTAAGCATCCTGGTCCAGAGCATGTTCATCACCTCTGGGAACTGCTCATACATAAAAGTGGACCTACATGCAGACGCACATTTGGTCAAATCATTAGAATACAGAGAAAATACATAAAGAATATGTAGAATCATGTTATTGTGTGTTACACGTACTTGGCTATCTCTCCCATTAGTTGTCCAGAGGGTCCCCATGGGTCATCATTGGTGGCCTCTCTAACCTTGGACTCAATCTCTGAGTAGTTCATTACCACATTGGTGCTGTGGATAAAAACACATTTTTCTTCAGAAATCCTAAACTAAATAATAACTTTCATTTGCAGTATTGACAAGCAGATATTTTAAATGTATTCCCTTACAATTAAACTGTCAACACATCACCCAAAAAACTCTTCTCTTATGTCCATCTCCTCCTCTGGCACACAACACACTCCCAGTAAAAGGATAGCAGGATCTGAGCACAAGCAGCTGCCTTTGACTGCACTGTTACCGGTGAATACAGACGGCAAAAAGCAGTATTTCTAATCTGCAATAAGAGGAAAGCTCAGGCTGCCAGTTCTGTGGAGGTGGATCAATAATGGAGTGTATTCATCACACCCAGTCAGGCGCAACCAATGGCTGCTGAAAGCTGTTGTCTGTAACTCTGTCTTGAGCTTTTTGTTTCATCCTGATGCCCCTATTCTCACGTCTTTTCTTCAGTCATCTTAGTCATTTTTCTTCACTTGATTCTTCTCTGTACTTCCTTTTTGCAGTGTAGTAAACATGTAGTGAAATATGTGGGATTGGACTTTTTCTCCAAATTGGCATAATATTAATAAGAGTTTTTCTATACTACAAACACTAAACAACACTAAATCATCATAATACATCTCTTTACGATATCGACCTATCTATTGTGTACACTGCTTATTTTGACTAGGGGAGGCTGGAGCCTTACCCAGCTGTCATTGGGCGAGAGGTAGGGTACACCCTGTCCAGGTGTACAGTGTTCAAATAAAGTATAAACAAGAGGCTACCATACAAGGACTCAAGCATACCGGGCACGTTTCTAACAAAAGCCTGCATTGTTATCTTTTCTCAGAGACCAAGCCGGAAAGACATCAGAATATGACCCCTAACTAAACCTTAGAAAACAGTAAAGAGGACGGGACTACAACTAAATGAGATGGGGGCTTTTTAACGTGGTGAGTCAGAAATGGCACAAATACTGTAAGCCGGTTCGAGGTTACCAGGAAGTAAATTCAAGATTCATGTAAACATGTAAAAATGATAAATACATTTAAGATAAGGCCTCTTCTATGCTTGCCACAAATAATGTTCAGTTTATTCAGCTATGTTTTCTGTCTGTTCCTCGGTTCAGACACCATGTTCCATAAATTATGATAAAAAGGAGACCTATTATTCTGAGAGCCCATTTATAAAAAATGGAGAGGGAAAAACATTGGCAACGTCTCTCAGAGCAATGCAGGGCAGTCACTTCGAGGGAAACCATAACCTCATTAACAATCAGGAATAGACTTAAACCAAGAAACTGAATGTATTCCAATAGCCAGTTAACCAGTTAATTTGAAATAAAATAGTAAAGTGGTGAAAGTAAACAGCATCCTTTTGTTTTATGTCACACAGAATGGAAAATTATCAGTGAATTTTTTTAAATTTCATTCCAATTCACCAGTTCTGAGTTTGAGCTAGAGGCATCGACCATTGTGCTATAGATCTAAACCTGAAAATATTCAAAACCGCGAAAACTAAAACTGTTCATAGTAAAGTAAATGTTACGAATTCAAGACAAATCATACTCAGCAACGTGTAAATGGTCCAAATATTTAATTAGCAAGAGCCTATGGATAGATGATATGTTATTAAACCCCAGCAAAGTGCTGTTGGATGTATTTCAGTTAGTTTCACCAAGCGGTTCCACATGCAAATTGAACAATAATAATCTTTAAAATGATCATGGCTTTATCAATCTACAAAAAGGTTTTAAAATGTTTTAAGAAAAATTGTGAAACAGTTATTAAGTCCATTTTAATGTGACTGTAACAAAATACTACTTTACAAAGCATTTAAAGAACCTCAGCTTTACAAGACAGTATAATACCATTTTTGTCCATGTCTTTAAAAAGAACTTAAGAACTTAAAAAGAAATGTTTGTTCCACAGCGTGAGCTTATGTATCTGAGGAAAACAAAGGATTGCTGCAGCTTTAAGCCTAACCCTGAGCTGGTTTGGCTGTGAAATACTGAGTATTGCATGCCCTGCGGCTCGGTTCGGCTGTGGACAAACACCCAGCAGAGGAAGCTGCTGCCCCGCCATAACTGTGTACATATGTGTACATATGGATGCAAGAGGCATCACAAAGGAGCATTCTTAGTCGACACCATGTCGGAGCACTACAACACTGACATTAGCTACCATACAATGGTTCGCTTGGTGTTTAACAAGCTTTCGTTGTTCGGAACCAGAGAGTGCGGGCCTCCATGGACCGCCGTGGGGTATAAATTGTAGCTGTTGTGGAGGAAACGCGGGCTTCACGTGCAGCCATTTAATTTACAATGTTCTCCCCCCCACCATAAATAATTAGCCCTTGTGTCAGTGTATGATGCTGGCTAAACATAGTGCAGGTAGCGGGCATCGTGAGGCGGGACAGGGCGTGAGTCTGCGGCAGCACTCAGAGGAACAGCGCGCACATAACAGACCTGACCCGGGTTTAGCATAGCTCGCGGAATTAGCTAACTAATAGCATCCGTTAAGTCTCAGGCACAAACAAATCCCCGATTAGAATTTGTGTTTTTCCAGGGTTGTAACGTATGAAACGTCGCGGAAAGAAACACAGTGGGTGATACCGCCGAAAATAAACATTTACACATGTGCCACAAGGTTAAGTATTGGCTCGTAGCCAGCTAAAGCTAACAGCTGAGGGCTATCTCCGTGACGTCACGGGCCGTATTCTCTCCTCTGTCAGCGATAAAAAAAAAGCTGCTGATGTTGCCCTGCTGATGCCGCCTGGCTAGCCTGTTAGCTCGGAAGCCACTTAGCGGTTTAGCATCAGCTAGCCCACGAAGCTCCGCCTGTTACTCGGTACTCACGCTTTGTCTACGAGCTCCCTGACTTTCCACATGTTCAGCATCTCCACACGGAACTGTGGGCTCGCCGCCTCAATCCTGCGTCGCCCCCGTGTCGCTACGTCGCCCAGGCCAGAGGTGGTGTCCGGTTACAGACGACAGTCCCTACACTCCTTGATGAGCTCCGGTGGCACAGCGGCCGATGCGGGTAAGGACCGACCCCAGTTGCTACGGAAACGTCGTCCTCTGTCGACGTCACGGGAGCGTCGTGATGTTCCCTCCTAGAGAAAGGCAGCGACGCAAGTATATAACAATTTATAAAATATGATAATAATATTTAAAATGTACGTTTTTATTAAATAATCAACCATTTCAATTAGAAAAACTATTGGCAAATGAGTCTCGCCTTATAAAAAAAAAAAAAACATTGTTTGCAGTTTGGTTCCAGTTAAAGTTCGATGGACTGCTCTCTGATCATAGTTAAGCTTCTCCAGAGTTACTTTGGATCAGCGTCTTTGTAACATGTTGCATGTCACTCATTTTTTATTTGGGTTTCAGTCACGTGAACGAAAACAATGTGGAAGAGCCAGAAAACGGATGGAGAGGGAGACAAAAGAACACAAAAAGAGTCAGGAAGAAAAGAATAATGTAAAAATAATGTTTCAATTCCTTTTCTATATTCCTATCTCTCCAAACTCATTCAATCATGTTTCCTTTTACATCAAACTTCAGTCTTCCTTCTCCTTCACCCCTTTTTTAACCACAGGATATCCAGAAGTTGGTAGAAGGTATTTCATTTAATTATATTGCAAATATTTTGAAATTCATTTCCCTGTTGACCCTGAAGTCTAATTATTGGCAATCCAAGCAGCCTGTGGACTGAAAATGAATAATTCAAGCCAAATGGAGAAAACAACAAAATATGGCAGTCATGAATTGATAATATGAAAGATCTTCCATTGCGTCATTAATTAAATTGTAGAATAAAATTAAAATGATTTAGAACCTGGTCTCCTGTACTTCAGCTAGCATCAGTTTGGAGATTGATTGATCTATTTAGAACAAACTGCTGTACTCTGACATGCTAAACTGTCCATGTTGTGCAAAAATGAGTGCTGACCTGAAGAGTGGGGCAGCTTCCTTAAAAGGTGTTGCTCTTTTCTGTGCACACGACAACTCGCAGAGGGCAGGTAACAGTGACGGTGACTAGGACTGCAGTGGGACATTCCCTCTGGAATGTGTGGGTGGCCATGAGGAGAAGCGGAAGCTGTTTATTTTTATGGTGTTCTGCTTCAGCTAAGTATGGAACATGTTGAAACATTTCATTTCTTGGCTTGAATGCACAACATTCTCACTCGCAGACACACAAACTGATTCGACTTTCTACGATTCAAGATCACAAAATGGATATTGCATGCTCTTGACGGATTGCATTCAACTCAGATTTGAGGCGAGCTTTCATCTCTGAGGTTAAACTTGCAAACACATCATTTTGTGCAGTAAAGCTCACGTATCAAAGAGACGAAGCAAAATGATTCAAGCACGTCTGACAGGGCTACGAGGCCCTGACAGCATATGTTGATGTTGTTTCTTGACTAAAAGTGTTCTGATTATGCCCTCAGCATGAGTGCACTCTTGGCTCATCCTCTGAGTCGACCAAAGCTTGTATTATTGATGAATTGGCCCCTTTATGGTTCCCCAATCTGCTCTAGAGTGCGGTATCAAAACAAAACAAAAACATATTCCTGGTAAAGCAATGCTTATTTGTAGTGTGTTTTTATTCTTTTATGTCAGTTTCACAGTTGAGGTTGTTTTCTAGGTTTTGATGGTACTTAAAGTCATCGAAGATGCTGGAGTTTTTAAGCGTGCTGAGAATTCCCTGCCACCTGTTCGAAGTGGAGCAGAGGGTCAGAGTGAGTGCTTGAAGCAGAAAAGCGGTCCCTCCCACTCCCAGAAGTCAGTGTTCTTGAGTATTTAAGCATCTTGAGGACTTGAATGTGTTATCAGTCTGCGACATTATAAACATCTCAGGTAAAAAAGATTAGAACCTATTCCTTTGTGTCTTTGAGAGCACGTCTGATACTTTGTTCAAATCTTTCTAGGTCTATGCAAAGCTTGACATGGGGACCCACGTGCACCACGGCACCAACCTCAGCACGGAGCAGAGCCCTGACCCCGGGTCTGACCCCGGCGCCGGGGCGCTGACCCGGGCGGGTCACACCACGGCGGCCGTCCTCCTGGGCTGCATCCTGGTTCTGGGCATCCTGGGGAACTTTCTGGTGCTCTTGGTGTTCTCCCGCTTTCCCGGGCTTCGGACTCCGGTCAACCTCATCGTCATCAACATCAGCATCAGCGACCTGCTGGTGTGCCTCTTCGGGACTCCGCTCAGCTTCGCCGCCAGCGTGCGCGGCCGGTGGCTGACCGGCCCCTACGGGTGCCGCTGGTACGGCTTCTGTAACGCGCTCTTCGGTAAGTGGCGGAGACACGTCTGGAGAATCCAAGGCTCAATGTACTGTAGGTCCTCTTGCATCCAGTCGGCATAAGGGTCTATAACCTGTCAGGTTTAATTGTTTCAATGAAGAACGAGGGAGAAAAAAAGCATCATACTGAAAATTCAAGAAAAAAAAAAGCTAAACATTAAGTCAGAATTATTGTCAGGAGAAACAGTTTCAGCCTAATCTAAAATAATCGGATTCATTTCCATGTATTTAATACTTGTCAGGCGAGAATTGATTTCTACTGGTGAATCATCTACAAGACTCTAACATAAGGTTGATCCTTGTTGTCAAAGTAGGATTAGAATTTGAGCCCCTTAGAGAAAAATGCCTGTTTGAAGATCAATATTAATGCACTGCATGTTTATTTGTCAGCCTGTTCAACAGGATTATATCATGAGAATAGGCCTACTGTGTTTTCTGAGAACACATGACATGAGTGTCCCTGTCATATTAGCTGTCATACACTCAAAGCAAAATTTAGACCAATGAGACTTCAGTTAGATTCAACAAAGATACATTGAATGGATTGGAAGAACCATAAGATAAGAATTCTAACCTGCTTCCTTCTGTTCCTCTCTGGTAGGTCTTGTGTCTTTGGTGTCGCTCTCTCTGCTGTCTTTTGAGCGCTACTCCGCACTGCTACACAGCCCCCAGTCAGAGTCCTCACAGTACTGCAGGGCCAGACTGGCCGTGGTAGCTTCTTGGCTCTATTCTCTGCTGTGGACTCTGCCTCCGCTGCTGGGCTGGAGCAGGTTAGCACTGCCACAGCACTAACCCATCACCTCACAACTCGTTGCCCAAGTCTTTGATTTGCAACGACTGCAACTTACACTCACAAATAACTTTAAAAAAAAAAAAAAGTATTTTGTTGTTGTTTTGTGATATGTTGTGGAGCAGCTATGGTCCGGAGGGTCCCGGGACCATCTGCTCCGTCCAATGGCAGCAGCGCACGGCCGCAGCCCGCTCCTACATCAGCTGTTTGTTCGTCTTCTGCCTCTTCCTGCCCCTGCTGCTCATGTTCTTCTGCTACAGCAGCATCCTGCTGGCTGTCCGGGGGGTGGCGAGACAGGTGGGCTCGCCGCTTAACCTTTGACGTCTTAGTCGGTAAGCATCCCCTCGCCCCGCGCCCCCACCGGTGGTTGAAACGCAGCGTGTTCCTCACCAGGTGGCCAGGATCAACCGGTCCTCAGCCGAGTGGACGGAGAGCCGCGTTCTGCTGATGGTGGTCGTCATGGTGACGGGCTATCTTCTGTGCTGGATGCCTTACGGTGTGGTGGCCATGCTTGCCTCCTTTGGGCAGCCAGGTGTAGTGCCACCTGCCCTCACTTTGATTCCTTCAATTCTGGCAAAGAGCAGCACTGTCCTGAACCCGTTCATTTACGTGCTGCTCAACAACCAGGTAAAAGCTCATTTGAGCAGTTTGTTTTTTCATCTTATTTTATGGGTCTTTTTGAGACAGAACAACTCTAATAGTACAGAGAACTTTGTCTCAATAGACATAAAGCACGTATCCAGTGACTACACTCTGATCCTCACTGTGTGTGACATGGATTTTCTCCACCTGTCAGATTTATTTCTTTATCAGCACCACTTTCCACATTCAAATGAGCAAATTTGGTGAAATGACAATGTTATTTAAATGATAAATAATTCAAACCCATTAAAATGTTATCAAACCAGCTGTGATTTGTCAGTATTATTTGCTTGAATCCTTTGACTATAGACGTTAAAACTACTCATAGCTATATTGAGCATTTATTCAGTTGTTTATCCATTTGTCACCACTAAATGCTTTTAGCCACATCATGTATTCATGGTTTACTCCTGTGTGTTGGGCACAGTAATACCTACAATACTTGGTGTCTCATTGTCTTTAACATGAGAATTGTGCACTCTTAGTTCTCTAGGTGTTTCCTTTATATGATGAAGTGCAGCTCAGAGGTTCCTTCCGCTCCAGTTCACCCTACGGGCAGCAGGGGCGTGTGGCCTCCCATCCACCCCACAGAGGAGCTGAACACCGAGCCCGTCACGCCAGCATCTACAGACCAGCAGCTGCAGCCGTCTGTCCAGATGTTAGCCGATAACTGTGAGACATGAGAGGTCTACAGTCGATACCTATATTTCCGTTCCATTCTGTATTTGCATCCTGTTATTTTGGGAGTGTTATTTTGTCATGGCGCCACTGGAGGGCGCCGTGGGTTGTACAGCTGAATACACCAGTGAATAAAACATCCACACTTCATCATAAAATGTGGCGTTTTAGCTCTTATTTTTTTAATCAATATTCAACAGTAAACAATAAAAAACCTTAATGATGGTCAACACCAAAATAATTTATTAAGAAAATAAACATACATCTTAAAAAACTATACAGTCATCATGTCTGGTGAAAACTGAACTCTCAGTGAGAAAAACTGGTCTCAAGACACATTCACATTGTGATGAGGTTATGAAGAAGTTACAAACATGATGAAATACTTTCAGGTAGGAGGTGCCAGGATGTGTCAAAATGCAGTGTATTTCTGCTCTCCTTGGAGGAGATGAAGAAACCAGAGATGACGCTAACTTTCCAGAGCAGATAGTCGGCTCTGGATATAAGAGCTGTCAGAGATGTAAACATCGAACCACCTTATGAGTCTTTAAACACTCCACTAGTATACACGCATGGAAACCGCACAAAAGTCTTGTGAACATTTCTAAAATACACATGTTCTGCTTTAGTCTCTCTCCTGTGAGGGGTAGTTACTGCTGAGCTGGAAGCCGGTGATGAGGATGTGTCCGTGTGGTGAGCGGGACAGCAGTTTAACTGGGGTGAGGAGTGTCTGCTGCTCTCACCCTCTGGGGAAAGAAAGCACAGAGTTCACATTAGACAGCAGATTGGATCAATACTGACAGAAGCAACTAGAATAGTTGAAATAACATTTGTCAGAGCTGGGTCTGCATCTGTGGGGATGTGACTCACACATCTCTCACATTCACACAGTAACGCAGGAATATGTCTGCGCTGCTGCTTATCACCAGAGGGAGTAAGATAGGATTTATAGCCCTTTTGCAGCATGGAATTGTTGCTCCTCCGGCTGACTTGACCAGAGATTGGGTGTCACCAGCTTGTCAAAAACTTAAAGCCAAAGCATTAGAAATTATATTTGCCACTAGAGTCTAAACAGTAAACATAAGGGTCTCTACCAGCCAGTTTTAATTTAACTGACTGCGTTTATAAATGAGGTCACCAGCAGGAGACTGCAGTACCTCTGCAGAGATATTTTGGCCTCCTTGCCGTTTTGGGTGAGCTGTGAGGACTGCCTATAAATAATGTTGTGGTAACCACACATCAGAGTGAGAGCAGCTGCAGAAGTAGGGAAGAACAGAAAACCGTGAGTGTTAAAGGGTGGGGTTAAGGAGGGTATCAGAAACGCCCTCAAATGGGTTTGTTTTTTTCTGTCATTTATTTGAACGCGCCATGCTTGAGCTTTGGGTTTATGAAAAGTGTTAAAAATATGTACAGGCCACCCTTTATTTTGTTTTATATGTACAAGCTTTAAAGTCAGCATTTGGTATACACACCTTCATTCTTCCACTCAGCCTGAACCCCCTTAAGGCAACATTTCTTCAAATGTGATCCTACACTGCTTAAATAATTTTGAGGTCTGGGGAGGATTCATCCTTCCATGTCTTGCTATTTTCTGTTCACTTATTGTATCATTTGGTATAGGTCAGCATTTTCTCCCAGTTTTTGTTCCCCAAAAATACAGCCACACTTCTATTGAGTGCATTACTGATGAGGGTAAAATGAACATTGGATGAATTGTATTTTTGCTTACTTTTGATCATATTTACTTTTAGGTAGTGTTCACGTCAAACATAGTTCATTTTAAGCCTAACACTTCTTTTTTTTTTTACTTCCACTTGTCCAGGTTCCTCTCTTCTAAAACTACACATCCTTTCTCCTCACTGTGATGTGTATAAAGATTTAATTCCAGTTTTAGTACATTCAAAACAAGTAATAAAACATAAAAGCAGTAATACGTATGACAGAAATTCCAATGAACTTGCTATTGGTGAATCCTTATCAGTATATAGCCTGAGCCTCCCACACCATGAGATAAATCTTTGTGGACTTATACTTTTGACTCCTACATGACACAAATCATCATAGAATTAAATAACTTAACTCATTCTGATTAAAGCTCATGTAATGTGAGGTTATGCTGCTTTTCTGTGGGGGGGTTTCAGGGTAAATCTGATATGTTAAATTCCAGACTTGAAAATGGGACAACCCGATTTACAAAAGTGTATTAATTTAGCCAACATAGCTAATGACTTTCAGGATTTGGTATTAATAATCCTATGTAATATTTGTGAGGTGTCAAAAAAATAAATGATTTCCAAATGCAATACTTTCTGTTGATGGAGTAAAAATATTGTGTTTCTCATCTTGTTATCCTCACCTGTGAGTAGTTTTGTGGAGACACCATGGGCTCTGGTTTAGTGTAGTCGGGAGGGTTGGCATTGGGGTCATAGCCAAGGCGAGCCAGCATGGGGGCTATTTCAGCCATGTCGCTGACCACATCAGAGGGGATGTGTCCCACCCACTTGGAGAGGGCTTCAGTGTTCACTGGCTTCATGACCTGGTCTGTGGAACGCTCGACCCTGAGCAGAGACAAACACTCAGCATTTATTTAATCATACAGACGTGTTTTTTTAAAGAAAAGTTTGCCAACATTGTAAACACTTAAGCACTATTTTTAGCCATTGTTGAAGACAAAACGGGTTAGGGTGCTTTAAAATCTGTTTTCAACTAGGACAAAACCATTTATTTTAGATTTTTAGTTTTAGTATTTCGTATCTATAAATATTCTGAGGTATGCAACTATTTACTGAAATTACCTCATTAACTTAAAATTAAGATATTTTCAATACAAGTATTTTGGTTTATCCAAACAAAAAGAACCTAAAAAGAAAAACAATACTTATGTGTGTTTACATTTTAAAAACCACATCCTGTAATCACATGGATCATATAAAAATCTGCATGACTAATACTGCACCAGATGTTACATAACTAGTCAAAAATGAGGGTGCCAATTCTCTCAGAATCTGGCCTAATTCTTCCACATACACTCCAGGTTGGGGTTAAGCAGCGTGCAGTGGCCAGATTCCCACCAAATCCCCTGAGCATCCGCTTTGCTTAAATCACGAGAAACAAGCCGAACAACTCAAATTAAAAAATTTCTGTGCGGGGGTCTTTAAGCTTTGCTTGACCTTGAAAGATTTGGCCGCTTTAGAGGCAAAGTCTGGTTTCCCCGTGGCAGCTTGTGTGTGGCGTTTTTTTTGTTCAGAATGTGCTTAGAGCCCTCCTTCTGTCAGAAGACAGTACAATACAAGCCGCCACACCACTGGCCATTGTCACAACACGTCATTCAGAAAACATGTTTGTGCTGTGTGACCATCAAATTGGTTCAATTTATCCTTTTGTACAGAAGTAAAGAAAATATGACCTAGACAGCACAGTCAGTTATGACATGCTGGACAGTCTGTGAGTGTCATGGTCAATCCTATGGCCTGACATAGTAAAGAGAGATCAGGTAATGCAGTGACCTGTGTCACTTTCCTTTAACCCGCATTCGGTATTGCACACAAAACACGGGAGATTACACAGAAAGAAAAAGACCAAAATGCCATTATTGGCAGGAAAGTCCCAGGATACATTTTTCTGACAGGCAGAGTGATGTATGAGCTATCTGGGAGCTCCCCTCAGCAGCCTGAAAACAATCTAAATCCTACATCCAGAAATATAATATCCAAGCTTGCATGATGGGATTTAAATAACCAGATTATTATCTGAGTGATTCTCTATCACGCATATGGAATCTATATGCACTGGGTCTCTGAAATCCATGACCGAGCTCAAAAATAGATTCAGTACAGAGAGGGCCTTTATAATGGTTGCTGCCCGGTAGAAGACTATCAACATGCCCCTGGAGAGACTGCATGAAAATGTGTGCCATTATCCCTGTTTATAAACAATATTTCGGTCTCCACCCTCTGTATGAATAACATCACTCTGCATTCCCCTCTAATTGCTCCGGACCTTAAACACATCTGCTTGAAAGAGTGACTGCACAGCACATAATAAAAAGTAGTTCTGAGAGATCAGAGCACATCCCCCGTCTGTGGACCGCTGCTTTTAAGATGAATATTCTGCATATTCATGCTTGTTACCCAAGGTAAGAGACAGACTGGTTGGAACAAAGGTATTCAACAGCTGTGGAACATCTGGTATCGTTTTTTAGGTAAATTCCCCATAATTCAGCACTTAGAAACACAGAAGAAACTGTTGACCTTTTTGAGCTAAAGACCATCTTAAATCTTAAAAGGAGATTATTTTAAGGAACTAATCTCTTTTGATGATGTATTGTTGGCCTGGGCCCCCTTTTTAGGACTGATACTGAAGCCTTGCAGGCCTCACCTTATACAGATGGTTTCAGTTCAGTGTACTGAGGTTTTGATATATCTGCCTCTGAAACCTTTGTCACCACAAAAGAAGTGAGAAGGTTTTATTTCTAACATGTTGAAGAAAGTCAAACAGGACAAGGCTTCTACATATCTAAAAATCACACAAAAGAAACTCAAAACAAATAGAAATGTTAACATGGCTGAAGACATTCTGTATTGTTCTTCTACACACTTAAAACACTCACTTGGACAGGGACACTCCGCCAGCCTTTCCAATCAGCTCTTCATGGTGCAACACTGCTGGGTCCCACTTCAGCTCGAGAAAATTAAGCAACTTCTTCATTTCCTGCTCCGGGTGGAGAACAAGTTGCTCGTAGTGGACGGGCAAACATCTGGTATCCCCCACCGACTGGCACTGGCTGAACATGGTGTCCACTGCACTGCTCCACTTGGTCAGACAGTCCCTGTAGCTGGCCAGGTCAAAGCCTGAGATGGTCACCTGGAAGGGAAGAGCAGGTTTGAGGAGTTGGACCGACTACAGGAAACAAGGATTTAAAAAAAAAACCTGAACGACACCTTACCTTGCGCGATATCATGGAGTGCACAGTTGCACGTCCATCGCGTAGCATCAGGACAAATTTGGCTTTTGGGAAGATGCGTGCCAAATAAGACAGAGACTTCAGTGCAAATGGGTCTTTATTGCAGAGACGTGGGGCAGGTTCACCATGGCCAACAATCACCTTGAACACACCCGACAACAGTAGGTTAGCATGGAGGTAGAGAGGGGGAGGAACCAGTGGATGTTGTTTTGTGAAATGTGTGAAGGAAACATGGGTAAGACTCATTAAGTAATGGAGGAGTGTTTCTGGCTCCTCAGAGATCAACTTACCTCTAACAGGAATGCTCTCACGGCTGAGTCCAAAACCTGGTCAGTGACACCAGCCTCGTCCAGGCGTAGTCTCTCCTTAACCGAGCGGCTCCACGTAGCCCTCATGGCCAGGAGGCGAGGAATAACTCGAGTCTCCTCTCCGCAGCGCACAGCATTGTGGGCGTCCAGCATGACGCGCATCAGCGTGGTGCCGCTCCGGGGAAAGCCCCCGATGAAGATGATCGGCGTGTCTTCGGGAAAATGTTCAGTCAGGGACATGCTCTGATTGCCTGAGCCCAGGTTGAGCTCCATCCATCGGTAGCGATGGCTTTTCGGAGGACAGTCGATCCCGCTCATCCCCAAGTAGAGCAGGGAGGCGGAGCAGAGGAGCACGCAGCCTAGCAGCAGGTTCATTCTGGAACTTCTCATGATGGCTGGGTGTTTGGCAGTCAGGAGGACATCCAATCCAGTTCAGAAGCAGCTGAAAGCTGGTGCTCGGAATCAGATGTGACTGCTACCACATGTAAAATGTCAATTAAGTTCAGGTAGATGCAAACTGATTATCAGGCTGATGATTGGTCCAGGAGAAACAGCTAGAAGGGAAACCGAAGAAGACGATTCCTCACTCCTCTGAAGCTTCTTTGCTTTGTTGTAGGAGAGATGGACCCAGGCCCACCAAGCCCCCAGACCAACAACATGTCTTCCCCATGGTTCCTACCTAAAAAAAAAGAGGAAGGGGTTGCACACTTTAGCACTAGCTGCACCAAAATCAACGTTCATTATTTCACAGGGTGCTGCTGGAAGAGGATTACTTCCCTAATTTTATAATGTCCTGAGCAACAGAAAGTGTAAACAACTTTACCCTGAATTACCAACAAAGACTCCACACATCGGCCACTGACCTGCATGTGTAACCCATTGCAGGCAGGCAACGGTAACAGTTGTTTTGCCAACACTTTTGCACGCCTTCTCAGAGGCTGAACTACATCCAGCTTTGGTTCACAAAGCAACCATTTAGCATTTTTCCTCCGGGGAGCCGCTTACTGTTGAGCCGTATCAAAGTTCACTGCGGCTTGCCACACACACACAGACATACACACACTCTCCTGCAACATATCCTCTAAGATATAACCTTCCTGAGCATGAATTACGATGCCTTCATGTTTTCATTGTCACATCACTTCATTGTTTCTGTCACATTGTGCAATATTTGTTAAAACTCGGAGTACTATTTTACTATTAGTAAGCGAGACAACCTACAACTTTCCTGTTTCTCTTGAGAAATGTCAACACAAGGTTTCATCAGAGTGAGCAGACTCTACTTCCGTATTTTAGCACCGAAACTACAATACAGATTTTGGTTGAAAAAAAAGCATAGATTATTTCTCATAGAAGCCAATATGAAATTTGCCTCCCGTTACCAGTGGTTTTCTGCCATCTCTCTAGCTCATACTGGATATGGACAGAGCCTAACATCTGGATGCCATGTGGGGAGCGCTATGCTCGTGGCACAAGAGCAGCCTGCCGGAAAAATCTCTCATGGTCAGAGCTAAATGAGAAAACCGCTGAGTATAAAGACATCTGGGCCCGAGGAGAATCCAAAGACGCTGCCTAAAGCCACGCAAAGTCTTTTTGTATCCCAAAGCTTTACATGTTTTACATGGGAATGATTATTTTGATACAGAGATTATTCACCCCCCACGCAAACACAATTTGGATCATCCAAGTTAGAAAGCACATTTAACCACTTCACTACAACAAATGCCTTAATTTTCAATGATTACTGTACCATTCTTATAACTGATTTGCAGTTTTAAACCCATTCAGTTAACCTGTCATTAGAGGGAAATATATAAAAAGCTCTAATGCTGAGAGGCTGAAGTTGAATCTTAACTTTCCTGTTAGGAAACCATTGTTTTATCTCTCCAATAATAACTCTCACAATAATTTCTTAAAATAGAATCATTATATTTTACATCGCATTGAATGCACTTCACAAAAGAATGAAAAAGAAAAAATGAAAATGGCGAAATTTATCTGAAAGACAGTCTAATATAACCCTTCTGCTAACCTTGGCATCACCAGGTGGGAAAGGTGGAAAAGTGGATTCAGCACAGATTAGCACTGGGTCCCTTCCCAGATTAAGACATAAACAGATATTGAATAAGCCACAGTGTTCATTGATAAAAGAGAAGCCAACACACAAGCTCCTATTAAGAATTAGATACTGACCTGTGGTCATTTTCTCTCAGTGTCTGACAGCTGACAGAAAGCACCCAGGTTCACCTCACTGTTACATTTTAACGGGAAAATATTTACTTCCTACCATACATAAGGTCTGGCAGGTATTCCTACATTACTATGCAACTGTTGTTATATAATCTCCTGGAGTTTCAATTACCTGCCTCCATAAATACTGACACGTTCATATTTGAGCCTCTGTGTTTTTTTCTGGAACTCTGTTGGATTACTTTCCGCGTCGGTTTCCGTTTATTCTCTGCCCATAGAAAGTTAGGATATCGCCATATTTTTTCCATCTTATTGCCGTTCGAGGTGTTGTTACTCCCTCTGTGCTACAACGTCTGTCATAAGAACAAAAAAGACCATTAAATTAAGGTCCGCCGCGTGCAGCTGCTACGTCGTAACGACTGCATTTCCTCACTCCGCTCAGCAGAAATCCACGTACGCGGGCGTCATATTTAACAGGTCAAACCTGTCGGGTTTGTTGGTATAAATGAGATTATTTAGACGCAGGCCCAGCGTTTAACATCTGGCCTGGCGGACTCCGCATCTGGTCTGTAAAAAATGCCCCCGGCGGGCGGACAGCCACCAGGTGAGGACCTGCTAGCAAACACACCGTGACAGGGATTCAACCCCTGAAGGTGACACACGCGACGCGGGCTCGTGCGGCCAATAATCGTCGTAAACCGTACGTGTCCACTTACCAGTATCCGCGAAACTGTCGAAATGCGAAGAGAGAAAAAAAAAACACACACACACACACACACAAGAACCTTGATCCAAAAGCCTGAAGCGTGCCGCTCCTCTGGCCTCATAGACGCGTAGTTTTTTTTCTCTCTTTCTCGTTTTTCGGACGTGTTTCGGTCGTAATGTCCACAACGTGTTGCAATTTCGAAAGCACACAATTACACAACGTCTGCCGGGCCGCTTCCAGTGGAACTTTGGACCGAGTAGTGGACAGCTTCCACACTTGAGACGGAAAAAAACACACACACACACACACACACTGTGGACACGAGCGCAACCGCACAGGGAAAGCTGGGCGGTGATTGGCCAACAGCCGTACCGATGTCTTCTTAGTCTCCTCTTATTGGCGGACATATTAAAGGGCAATTCCGCCACTCTGAAATTCCTTTTTTCCCTCCCTCCTAACTCGGAACTGAAATTACTTTACCACATCGATTGATGTGCTCTTGGTAAAAGCCCACCAGGGAAATTTAATCACAGAGTGGGATTTAGTGTCTGTTGCAGCCGCCTCACTTAATTTACACGTCTTTAAGACATATTCTGGTTTGCTATTTGTGAGTTACAAGAATCTTTAAGGAAAATAAGAGAAAGTGTTACTGTGTCTCTGAAAATTCAATAAAACCTTCAAATTACCTTTGAAAGAATTTAGTGGAAAAGACAAGACATGGAGAATCACTAATTTGTGGCTTTTTGGATCATGTCAACTCAGTCTATCATCTCTATCTCTGTCTTTTGGATAATTACAAAATAGTGACAACATAACCTTTTTGTGGCTAATGCTGCATTGTCCATGCTGTGAAAAAGGGGATAGATGCCATGTTAAGTCAACTCTGAGTGTGTAAAACGTCCCTTTTGCTGTATTAAGGCACTATGACCACGTCAGAGTCTCAACTTAGTGGGGCCAGTGCAGAACATTCATTAACCTTGTTTGTTTTCTACTTTTTGTGTTTGCCTATGTTGCAACAGTATCTGACTTTTTAAAAAACCATCTGCTGATTTTTAAGCATTTTCATGAATTGATTTGCATTTTGGGGACTGCTCAATTTGTTGCTTTCTGTCTTTTTGATATAAGATGTATATTTAAATCCTGCTTATGTAGCACACATTGGAGTGTTCCTTTGTATTGTGTTTGATTTGTGCTCTGTGAAATGCGTTTTCTGACCCCTGAACTATGAAACCAGATTAAGGCTTAGTGAGGTAATGTCAGGTCCAGGGTTTAAGAGTCACAAAGGATTTCACTACTCTTTCTTAACAAATGTAAAAGCACAATCCATCAAACAGTGGAATAAAATTAAATCTAAAACCAAAAAACACAGTAGAGCAGTAGTGAAGGAATCTCCAACTACTCTTGGAGAAGATTTAAAACCTGTAGCTTTCTGGTGAGTATCTGAAAGAGATACACTCAAGATCTTACTGAGCAGAACCACTTATCCACTTATGACTGATTACAGCCATGCTTCAGACTGCTCGCGCTGACTTTACATGGTTTGGTTCGTTAGAAATATTCTGTTTCCAAATCACTGTACTGTAAGACTTCTAGCACTCCCGAATTGCAAGCAAACTTTTTCACATTCCAGTCCTCAGTGTGCTTATCCACGATCAAGCGCCAGGACTTTCACTTTGTTTTGCTATTCCGACTGCAAGGTGCTCGGTAAGAACAGGAAACTGATGACATATGTGAACAGGAAGCAGAAAAAACAAAAACGTACAAAAACGTAAGCAACACATCCTTCCTCTGCTGCAACACAACAAAAACCGAGCTGATCCCCGGCCAGTACTAGAAGAGTATGTGCACGCACAGTCTGCTGTTTGTATCCTGTGTTAACATCCGAGTGGTTTCAGAAACACACCTGTGAAATACACATACAGGAACACTGCAATAAGAACTGCTCCAAGAACAATATAACAAATTTTCTTTTTAAAGATTTTTAAAAATAGCTTGAAATCAGACAAAACAAAGTGATCATGTAATGTGCTTTATTTACAATATTGCACTAAATATTTTCAGGCAAATTGAAGAGAGGAGATAACACTTTATTCTATTTTCTGACAATGGAATGATTTAATTGTCCATGAACTCTTCATGTTTTGCCACATAGGTGAACTACAGGACCAGAATAAATATCCTGGATCACATGATCATTCAGACAAAGTAGCGAGTCTCTAGCAGATGTTGGGCTGGTAGCTGCCGGCTCACCGCATCATCTAATGTAGCGTTAAAATATTTAAAACTGATGATCATCTCTTGGCCCATACCGTGGAGCCTTTTTTTGTTTTTGTTTTTTTATATAAACAGGGGGATGTCTCTACATGACCACTGATAATGATATCTTCACCATCTGTGGTCATACAGCCCCTTCTGTTGGTCAGCATGTTGTCCAGTTCAAACTGTAATCCAGACCGATGCGGGTCAATGTTTTCAGCCTGGCCGCGTCTGCATTACTGTGCAGCGCCATCCTCCATCTCTGTGTCTGCTGCTGCTGCTGCGGTGTTTTCCTGCTCCGGGTCGCCTGGTAGGACGCCTGCCACAGTCTGGATGAGCTCCTCAATCTGTTCCTCTGACAGCCGCTCCTCACTTTCTTCTACCATCTGATAACAAGACGAGAAATAAATAAACTGGGCCTGTTAGGCCATGTATTTTATTTATTAATACAGTCGCCTGATGCCTTGCTTGACTTCCTACTACTTCTTATGACTTTTCTGGAGCTTTTGACCACCGTGCCACATGGCTGTTGTGACAGATGGAAGTAGCCAGCTTTCATATAATTAGGTCGGGGAGTTCCTCATAATCCAGACCTACCAGACTCCACAGGATGATGCAAACCATGTGATATGATAGAAAACCAAATAATTGCTTTAAAATAACTTTTTTATAACCTCTGTGCATGCAAATGTGAATAATTCTAAAGCGTGACAATCAGCAACCAAGTCTTGCATATGTTTAAAGATTTTATGTAACTAATATCTTCAAAAGCTATTGCTGAACTAGGCCTATGACTGTTTCTACGCAAGATAACATTTAATTACTTATGAGCGCCCCCCAATCCCGCCTTTCAAATACAAGTGGTCGCCTTGATTCCAAATAAAGGGGCAAAAAAGAAGAACAACAACCAGCTGTCAACTGAAAATACATGGCAGGAAACATGTTTACACCACAAGTCTGAAAGGGAGAGAAAAAAAAAGAAAAACAAGTGATTTTGCCAACATGTTCCTCTTTGCTAAAAGATTGCCAAAGAGCTCGTGTCACTAAACGCAACAAGAAGCTTCATCAACAACATTAACCACACACAATTTGTTACCATCAGTCGAGAAATAGGGTCAACTGTTATAATAACAGTTTTCAGTCCTTTAATGATCAAGAGCTGTTTAATAAAAAAAAAAAAATTTTAAACCCTCTTTGATCATTTTCAAAAAATGGAATAGAACATTTTTCATATCTTCGATGCTGAGTGTTTCTATGTGGGAGAGCGTGTTGGTGAAGTCAGTGTTTCTGACAATGTTGTAATTAATGATCTTTGCATTCACTTCTTCTCATCTCCAGTTTTCTCAGCTACAGCTAGTATAAGGCTTCCTCTTTTCTGCCTCAGACTAAACACAAGGCTGATTCATATCCCATCTACTGACACAAAGTGGTATTGCAGGAAGGTTTTTCTACAGAATGGCACAGCGTTGTTCTGTGGCTGTATAACTCGTGGAATTTGCATAATGCGTAATAGATTTTTTTGTCTAAAGGAAATTATAGCAATTTTTCGGGGAAAAAATAAAGTCCAAAATTGAGGGTCATCCTTAGGCTTGACACCCCTGTCATAATGCATTAAGTAATTTACTAAGCATTTTGAGATCTTCATTTTTTTAGACATTGACTCTACAAAGAGCTTGTTTTGCATGTGTGGGGGCTACATTTAAGAAATTATTCCCATCAATATAAAATGTGGTGTTGTCAGCGAGTTCGGATGTCTTTGCGTTTTCAGACGCATTCTGGTGTTTGCCGTAAAAAACTAAGACAAAAAAAAGCAGACATTTCCTTTGGCTTTAAGAGGCACCATAGAAATGAGCACTCAGGTGATGGTAGAGAAAATGACTCACTAGTTGAATCTCCACAGCCGTCTGTGGTCGGTGGTTCAAAAGCTGAAGTTTTTCTGCCCTGACGAGAGAAAAGAGGGTTTGTTTTATACTTTACAGAGTTGAACATGCAGTATTTCGCAGAGATATGTCGGATATCTGGAAAACTTTTACATCGGAGGGGAGAAATGTTCCTCTCAGATTATACTGACTTTGTGAGTTTGTGAGGCATCATGGTAGTCAGGAACTCTTTGACTGTCTCGGGGCTCTGTCTGCTGCACGGCGTGTTTGACAGGTATTTCAGCGTCTGTGGCAAAATTAAGATTATAACGTTTCCATTATTTAATAAAACTCTTAAAAATAAACTGATTAACAAAGGAAAAGGACCAGTGCCCACCTCATACATGATGGTGTTGAGGTTCTGCTGGCCGAGGCTGTGTTTGCTCTTCCCGCTGTCCTTCCTCTGTTCTTTGAGGTCTGTCAGAAGTTTGAACACCTGACAAAAATGTGCAAAAACAAGACTGTTCTACAAATTGATCCTTTGCTCAAAACACTAAAAGATGTTATGAGAGACAGGCAGGGCCTTACCTCGTAGTTACTGAGCATGGCAGCGTTTGCATTTTTCCTGTGAACAAAAAAATGTAGGGTTTGGTGCACCAGTTTTGTATAGAAATAACTTAAGAGGCTCCATAAGCAGCGCAGAGTATTTATAACGTAAGAAGGAGTTATGGTCAAAAGTCAGTCTGTCACTCTACTCCAAATATTGACATTTTAAAGTGGTCACGGTTCTGATTAGAGATCAGGCCTTAGTAAAATACAGATAAACCATTATAAGATCAATATTATTTTATAATATGAGAGCAAACACATGAGCTCCACCATATATTTACTCGTTTTAGAGATATCTGCTCTGTAAAACTTAAAAAATAAAACAAAGAAATAAGATCGATTTAGTCAAAATTATAGCGTTGCTAAACTCGCATCTCTCCGTCAATAAATTAATTCCGAAACCGTCTGCCAGACCAACAAATGGACAGTTTATGAATCTGGATAAACAGAATTAAAATATAAGAAAATGTAAGAGAATAGTCTTACACTTCCATGTCGCCAGGTGCTTCCGTCCGTCACTGCTGTGTCCGGGTAGAAATCATACACCAGTTTATGCGTTCCGCCAGAAATAACTAGCAATGATCGATTAGTCGGCTTTTGAAAAAAGAAGCGAGAATTATTTAGAACAGAACAGCAATGAAGAGTATTTTAGTTCCAAATAACAGACAGTTCGGACAGTAGCTCCAGCTGATATTCAGCCCAACTTCCTGCAAAAAATTGGATGTTAAGGGGTTGTGACCTGACGGGTAGTTGTGTACATAAAGGAGATATTATATCCTCTACCCTAAATGTAACTAAGTTAGTCAAAGACAAGTTAGACTCCAGACATTACAAATATCTCTGTTAAACTCCATGCAGATGATGTACGAGACAGAGAGAGTTTAGGGAGAATTGTGCAGTTTTAGTTTCTAAAGGGCTTAAACTTATATTCAGCTTTTGATTATAAAATGTGAAACTAATTTGGTTCACTGCTCTCAGAAAATTACATTTTAATTTCAATGAGTTTTACTCATGATTATTTTATTCAAATAAAGTAATTAACATGAAGAAGTATATGCTCCAAAACACTTGTTTTCTAAGGACAGTGGCAAAAAATATAACAAGAACTGAGAGGCCAACGTGCCAAAGATAGGAACTGTTTGGTATGTGGTGGTGAAGGAGAGACAGGTGTTGAGCTAGCAACTGAGAGCCAGCATTTGATATCATTCTTACTGAAGTCAGCAGTCAACCTTGGTAGATTTTATTAGCAAATCAACATTTAAAGGCTCTCCTTTCCCAGCAGTCAACAGATTTTTTTCCCCTCAGGAAGGAAATACGCATCTTAATAATCCAAATTTTATACATACACACAACACAGTAGAAATAAAGGGTTTATCTAGGTTTCATTTGCCTCTCCAAATTGTTTACAGAAGGTATACAAGATTGGACATTCAATTGGTCCACCCAAATTAATTAATTTGGTCTCATTTGGAATAGTTGTGGGTGACTGTCAATGAGGTATTTGTGAAGGAAACAGGGACAAAAGGGATTTCCAAACAAACCAGGGAGTGGATTTATAATCTGTGGCAATTTAAATACTTTAGTCCTCCCCAGAGTGCCTCTCAAGGTGCCTGAAATCCTTATAAAGACCACCTGGAGGATCTATAGGCACATTGTGTGGAGGAATCGAGTTATTTACACTAAATGTGTATTTTAACCTGTGTAGGATCTGGATATGTGTGGTTGTCCCCCCCCCCTTGCGTCACGCTCCGGTCTCGGTGACGCGCTGTGACGTAGCAGCAGAAGGAGCCGTTCGCGTCTCCGGTGACGCTTTTTAAAGCGACACCAGCGGCTCCAGCGACCACTGCTTCTCTCTCTTCCATGCTCAGCTCGTCCAACTCTGACTTCCAACGTCTTTTGCAAAGCCAAAGTAGCTCAACTTAAAACTGCCGTTCACTAAAATGGCGAGTTCTGAGGTAAGATCTGTCCGAACAGGCCACCGCCAGCACAGCTGGACGCTAACAAAACAAGCTGTCACACTCCGATCTCCGTACTGGTTTTAGTTAATGTTCCACCCCCTCTCTCGCTCTCTCTGTGTCTGTCTGTTTGTCTGCAGGGAAATAAGCTTTGGGGAGGTCGATTCGTGGGAGACACCGATCCAGTCATGGAGAAGTTCAATGCGTCCATCGGGTATGACCGGAGGATGTGGGATGCTGACATCCGAGGGAGCAAGGCTTACGTTAAAGCTCTGGAAAAGGCCAAGCTGGTCAGCGCAGATGAAATGGAGCAAATCTTAAGTGGGATGGATAAGGTGTGAACACACTCATCTAAATGAGATCTGAACAGGCATGAAGTTGAGGAGGAGAATTGCTGGCTTGTGTAGTTCCACTGTGTAGAGTCTGGTTAATGGATGGCAGCTGAAATGTGCCATAGTGCAGGATTCCTGTATTCTGTTGAGTTTCGTGCGAACAATAGTGTCACCATGTGACAGGTGTCAGCTGCCAAACAGCTGCACTTCCCCTTTATTCAGGTCGCTTTCCAGTGTGATCCCTCTATCCGAATGTTTTTCCCTGCCGGTGGCAGGAGGCAAACCGTTCGACACAAGCAGGCACAGGCTCAGAAGTTTGGGCCAAGGCCCCTTCGAATGACACAGTCCTCGTTTTGGTTGGCAGATTTCTGAGGAGTGGTCTCAAGGCGTTTTTGTGATCAAACCTGGAGATGAAGACATCCACACAGCCAACGAGCGCCGGCTAAAGGTGAGGGATGCCTCAGCTGTCCACCAATGAACTACAATCCACACGCATTTTCATACAAATGGCATTAGATTGTTTGATCGACTGTGACATGAATTTTGTTTTGTTTTTTAAAAGTAGCGTACTTTCAATGCAAGTTTCTTGTTCTGGTAAATCTTTTTGAGGCTTTTCATAACAGCTTATGATTAGCCTGTACTACTGCACCAATTTCCCCACACCATATGTCACCGTCTAACTGTTACACTTGTTTTGTTTTGTTCCAGGAGCTGATCGGTGCTCCTGCGGGGAAGCTGCACACTGGCCGCAGCAGAAACGATCAGGTTTGTTGTGCTCTCATCGTAATCGGGGGGGGGGGGCGGCTGGTGGAGCGGTGCAAAACCGTAGTGTGTTCCGGTTAACCAGGTGGTTACCGACATGAGGCTGTGGCTGCGAGATGCCATCGCCACCCTGACGGACTGCTCCCTGCAGCTCGTTTCTTCCATGGTGGAGCGGGCGGCTGCGTAAGAGACACACACACACACGCAAACTAAAACAGTCACATCTGCTGGGGCGCCTTCTTACAGCGGCCCTCTGGTTTCTTGTCTCAATCGCAGAGAGATCGACGTCCTTTTTCCTGGTTACACCCATATGCAGAGGGCTCAGCCAATCAGATGGAGCCACTGGATTCTAAGGTGATCCTCTGTGGCTGGTTGAGTCAAGACTATATCAACGTTAGACTCACATGGTGTTAATGTGAGTCTTTCACCTCTTTTCCCGTAGTCATGCTGCTGCTCTGAGCAGAGATGTTGACCGGCTTCTGGAAATCAAGAAAAGAGTAAACGTCTTACCTCTGGGCAGGTAGGCTGTGAACACACCCACTGTCTGCCCTATACAGACATGAAAAAGTAACTAAAATGCATCATTATTTATCGTTGGATTCAGTGGAGCTATTGCTGGAACGCCATTTGACATTGACAGAGAGCTCCTCCAAAAAGGTTTGCTGACATTTTGCACTTGCAGCTTTTTTGTTTGTGATTCTTAAAAAAGAAAAAAAGATGAATCCTCACAATTTTTTTTTGTCATTGCTGCTTCTGTAGAGTTGGGATTTGATGGTATCAGTCTGAACAGCATGGATGCCACAGGCCAAAGAGACTTTGTTGGTATGTAAACGATGCTCGTGATCAGCTATTCAATCTCAAATGAATTTAAGCGATTTTGTTAAATTAAATATTTCCCTTTTTTCTCATTCATACTTCAATTTTTCAGTGGAGTTTTTGTTCTGGGCTTCGTTGTGTTTGACCCACCTCAGCAAGATGGCCGAGGACCTCTTGCTCTACAGCACAAAAGAGTTCTCCTTCATCACACTCTCTGATGCCTACAGGTCAGTTTGTTTGTTTACGACTGAAAAAAACATTTTGCAATCTTCTTGGGCTGCTGGGCCATTTGTATCTGTATTAATTTTTGTGTGTGTGTATGTGTAGCACAGGCAGCAGTCTGATGCCCCAGAAGAAGAATGCTGACAGTCTGGAGCTTATCAGGAGTAAAGCAGGCCGTGTCTTCGGCAGAGTAAGACTTAAAGAAGCACAAGGTCAAAAGAAAAATGAAAAGCTATATAAACCCTTTGGATGACTCGTAATTTAATATATTATTTGTTTAAATAATTACAGGAAAGGGCAATCACAGGAAATGAAATACTAAAATAGAATATTCTATAAAAAATGTATTTGATGGCATTTGGGACGTTGGATCTCAATTTATTGAGCCCTTTAGTGTCTGGTTTTGGGATGAGAAGAGGATAGATGAAACATGGTAAACAGACCGTTTTAATTAGTGGGTATCAGATTCACTGGACGTGTAGTTGACAAGTACACTAACGGACCAAAGTCATAGTACCAGAATAATTACTGAGTCAGTCTGAGAGTGTGGAAAAAGAAAAGTGACAAAACTCCAAAGAATGAGTTGAGAAAAGTGGGAACATATCTGTTAATGAGGCATTTTATCTTTCTCACTAAAACTCACACTGGCTGACAGATTTAACTCATCTCTGACGTAAGAACTATTGGTTTTTCTTGTGAAACTTGTCTTTTGTTTTACATTTCAGTGTGCAGGATTCATGATGACTCTGAAAGGTCTTCCCAGCACTTACAACAAAGACTTACAGGTATGAAACTGCATCAGTGTGCATGTATTTGTCTATTTGTTTTTTTTTTGTCATTTCAATGCAAAAGAGGAAAAAAGTGTCTCTGACCTCTTCAGGAGGATAAGGAGGCCATGTTTGAATGCTATGATACGGTCCACGCTGTGCTGCAAGTGACAACTGGAGTCATCTCAACTCTTAAGGTCAGAGTTCATTCTTCTACATATTGAAAAGAAAAATCTACTATGAAGAGGAATGGTGGTGCATTTGTGTCTGGGTATTTTTCGTTAAAAATTAAAAGGAGCACATTTCCTGGCAGGCCTTTCTGAGTTAGGCATGAAAACTGTATCCAACAATCACTGAACAGCTGCCATTTAATTCTGCACCAATTTAAAGTAACTTTAGTCTTTAGACTGACGGAATTTGCTTTTACATCTTTTTAGGCAGAAACTGGACCTCTATTGTACCGTTTTCTTGAATGAGCATTGGGAATTTTTATATTTTCTTCCTTAACATAAGACTTAATATCAATAATATAGTGTTGGTTGCTTCCTTTTTTTAAAAGCCTTAATGCCAATGAAGAGCTCTTGGGGTCTGGGTGGACTTTGCTTGTTCTCCCTGTGTAAACTTGGGTTGTCTTCCTCCAACAGAAAAAAACACATTAGGTTAAGTAATCATTTATTTTAGATTATACCTCTTAGGAATAAGCAAAACAAAGAACGAATGAATAAATGGGGGAATAATGCCAATGAAAGGAGAAAAATTCCAGCAAATCCCCCAAAATGTGGTCTGTCTGTCTGAGCATTAAAAAAAAAAGTTATAGAATTTCAGTCTTTTTCTCTTGTGTTACAGATTAATCAGAGTAAGATGGAAGATGCCCTCAGTCCTGACATGTTGGCTACTGACCTGGCCTATTACCTTGTGAGGAAGGGGGTGAGTGATGTCAGTGCAGTAAGCTGTGAGAAACACAAGTTAAAAAAACAAAACTATTATTATTGTTTTTTTATGACTCCATCTGCATGCAAATCTGAGGAAACAGAACTTTAAAAAAAAAACTGAGTTCAATTCAGTCATTTGGGGTATAACTTGAGGATGAAATGAGGTGGTACGTATCACAGTGTGACTGATTTTCTGTGTTGTAGATGCCATTTAGAGAAGCCCACGGTGTCTCTGGTAAAGCTGTGTTTACTGCTGAATCCAAAAACATTGCCTTGAATCAACTCACTGTTGAAGATCTGGCCTCTGTTAGGTGAGTGGCTTCTTCTCTGTGTCATGCATACTCCCAACCTAAGCCCATAATTCTGCAAAAAGAGGTTTCACTGAGCAGGGCAGGAATAGTTGACCCTGCCACTCCGGCTGCACTTTTCCTTCAGCCGTTACTCTCGTACGACGTTCAATCCCCTCTCCTTCTCTTTGGTCTGTATGCCGCAGTCCACTGTTTGGAAGCGACGTATCGTCAGTGTGGGACTACAGAAGCAGCGTGGAGCAGTACGGTGCGGCCGGAGGCACAGCCAAGAGCAGCGTCACCGCACAGCTGGAACACCTGAGGACCTGGCACAAGAAACTGGCACAGTGACTGTTGCCCAAAGTCCCGTTAACGTGTGAATGCTGTATAAGTATAAACTGCCAGACAAAAGGTCAAAGGAAATTATTTGTTTCAAACCTGAAAAACCATATTGCCTTTTAAACAGACAAGTGTCTCCTCTCTAAGAGCACAGCGGTTAGATGGTGTAGGATCTCACAATGATTAGTTTATCATGCTCAGATTTTACCTGCCGATCTTTTACCATTTACCTAAATAAATAAGTGTTGTTACTGAACTGCTTTAAGACTTAATGATTTGAATTAAAGGGCTTATATTCCTCTTAGTTAATGGAGGTAAATTAATGTAGGCTTAATTGATTAATCTAGTTAAAGTGAGACTATACAACCCATAGAACCAAAGATTGGGACACCCTGAAGTTAAAAGAATCCTACAAAGACACAAATGAATTCACTGGTTTGTACTGCTCATTTATTTTTCATTATTAGTAGTCAGTTATAATTCTCCCCAAAGGCATTCATGCATGTTGATTCCATATGAAACATTGCAATAAGTACTCAAACACTGTCATGTGACTAGCAGATCCACAGCAGATGGAAATACAACTACAACTCAATAAACATTCTTAGATAAAAAGTACATTTATTCAGTGCCTCAATAAACATGATTGAGGTGGAAGAAAATGTGAAGATTATCTAGTGACATTTAAGGAAAAGTAATTTACCCTATTTCAAAGAATAAAGTATGGTATACATGACTAAATGTAGACTTTATCACACGCTGGAAAAAAGAGCACATCTAAGGAAATTAGGATTAAAGTACTATAAAGCCTCAATGTATGGATATCAAATATATTTTAAAGAAAATAATCAAACATTAAGAATGTTGGCATGAAAATCTTCTGGAAAAAAACAATTCCTTCACGTAAGGGTAAGATAGTAAAACTACCACAGGGATTGTGCTCTATATATTTACCCATTGAAAAAACAGTGATCATTGAATCATTCCCATTTAAAGCAACAAGAGTCTATAGTCATGCAAGCGGATGGGAGAAACCATACTAAAGCACCTAACAAGATATTTACCAAGAATAATGTTAGCATCAAAACCATCAAATATTAACATTAGCTCATCAGCACTGAAAAAAGATTCAGCTGAAATTCATTTATAGTTTGACCTGATTTCAGTGATTTATGAAGTAAAGGCTGTTCTGTCTTCAGGGGAAGATTCTTCATGCATTCTTTAAACCGGCCAATAATCATACAGCAGTGTCTGAGGTATCGTCGCTAAACTACAAATGGGAATTTTGTTGCAGTGCAAAAGGAAAAACACCGAAAATGTTGGGATTAATGAGCACAATAAAAGGTTAGGACTTTTCCTTCACTTGCTGTTCATTATTTTTAAGGCACATGGAGATGTATTTTTTTCAGAAATGCCATCTCACAGCCTAAACTGTGACAATAGGGCTTTTTTTCCCATAAAGAGTCTCCTGCTGATATTAAGCACCACTCCATTCCATATTAAACAACCTGGTGATGGTGCTAACTGGCCGGATTAACGCTGCCTGAGTCCCAATGCAAATTAGTTCTGCCCATGGACATTCACACACACACACAATCCCTCAAAAATGACAGATTTAGTTGTTCAGTTAATTTTTTTTACTTGAAAATGACCTCAAAACAGCTTTAGCTCTGATCCACAGAGAAAGGCTGGCCTTTTATGTTATTCTACCTGTAGAGGTTGTATGTGTGCAAAGTGCATGGATGTCCTGTGTAAAATATTTCCCCTCCCTGACACTTAAGAGGCATTATACAAACGTGTCAGCGTCTCACCACAGTGGCTTTGCTTTTGATGGATCAGACGCACAAATACAGGAGCGGATTTAGTGTATCAGAGCCAGAGTTGCAAGGATGACGGAGAAAACATTGAACCACAAATGGATCACACCCCTCTTAGCCGTCCCCGACTTGGAGGAGTACACCACCCTGCCATCCAGAGGCTGCGTGGGTCTGAAGATGTCTGTCATGGGGAGCCCCGTCCAAAAGCGGCACTGCTTAACCACTGCGTCCAGCTGTGAAGGAAGAGGCAAAGTCACTGGGGTAACAACTTCCAAATTTAGTTTCACTGAGCTGTTAGACTTTTTTTTTGCTTTTATCTTTTTTTCTACTTTGGCACTGGTGAACTTAAATGTAGACGTCATCGCATCAGAAAGTTCTACTGGGATGCATCTGGGAAAGAAGCCGGTCACCTGTCGACTACTGATGGACAAAGTCCTGTGAAACAAGGTCCATGCGACAGCCTGCTCACAGCCTGGAGTGGTCATGGAGCCAACGTAGCGGTAGTAACTGTGGAGGTCCTTAGCAGCCGGGATGATGTCTGCCAGCCGGAAGTCTGGGATCACTGTGCTGCTGCCTAAACCCCGAGTCAGAAAGGCAGAGAGGTCAGGTTTCAGGAAAGCTTTTCAGTGGATTCAAACTGTCCTCAATATTAAAACATGGACAAAATACGCTCAAGTTGTATTTTACTGTCTTTGGGCTAATTTCTGGCCTTTTTGGCCTTTCTTTCAAAACTTATTTAGCTACTTTTGTGTCTAGAGCTTAATTACCATCCCCTCATGAACAATGGGATTTTTTTTCATTTACGTGTCTTTTGTCATGATAATTAAGACCATTTCGATTATCCTGGGGCACATTTATGTGTGTTTATTTCTCCCTTTGTTCAGTATCTCAGTCTTGGAGACACTAGACTCTCCTTTGATTTCCTTGTACTGGAAAAAACTTAATAATAATCTGTTCACAGTCATGTTTTTTAAAAGTAAAAGTTCATACCGTTGTTTTGTACTCGGCCCAAAGCATCAATTACTGTGTCCAAATGAGGGTGATCCTCTGTTGTTTCCTATATGGTGACACAATTAGGACAGAAAACCTTAAGAGTTGCACATTTATTATGTTTAAGAATCTATTAGGAATTTTAAGTAATAAAGATGAAAGTATCCCAGTTTTTTACCTCAAACAAGAAGGCGAGCAGAGCTATACCTGCCATGTCATGTTCTGCCTCTGTCAGAGAGCCATAAGGCTCTTTAATATGGACTATGTGCAGCTGTGTAGATAGAAGACGAGGGGTTAAAGTACACAGGAGTATCCCTTTAACTGCAAAGAGCAGTAACATTTTTTTTAAAAAATGAGCATAACTGAGTATAGATTTGTGGGAGTAATGTTTTCCTCCACGGCCACAGGTGGTATGCCAGCGCTTTTACCTCCATGGGGAACCTCTCCCCATCAATTGTGTGCTCGGAGCCAGGTCTCCCATCCCCTCCCCAGTGGAAGTGAAACTGGGCAGCTCTGTACGTTCCCGGTAAAGCTCCACCGGACAACCTCACTGACTGTGGCAGGGCGAAGTGGGCTGTGAAGGAATGAAACTGTCACCTTCAAACTCACATTCTACAGAGAACAGGTACCATTTGTGTCTTAGAGAGCTGGTAAATAAAAGAGAAGAGACTAGATCTGTCTCCTCATTACCAGAGTGTCCTTTGTTTTCCAGCGTAATGTTGATTGTTTCACTGTGACCGATGAAGTTGAAGGTGGGCAGGGCGCTGTTGATGTGCACTTTGTTGGTGACAATGTTAATGGGGGACTGGCGTAATCCTCCGCAGCTGGGGAACTGATTTGCCCAGCGGCTTGGGTCTAAACAACAGAAACAGTGATAAGAAATACAGAGCCTCATTAATGGTTTTTCTCTCAGTTCTGTGGAGAGAACAGGGTATCAGAGCCTTTTCCTGTTCTTTATGCTGTACCACTTTTTAAAGCTTCATATGTACATATATATATATATATATATATATATAATCAGTACCTTTTCAAGTTATACAGACTTTATTTTGTCATTTTATTGAATAATTGTTATGTCCTAAAATAATAGTTGCCCTTTCATATCTGAACCGGTGTTTCTGACCAATGGGTGATTTAGAAATGAAAGGTTTGATAATTTGATATATGGTTTAAGGTCTGTTCAGAGACGGTGTGAGTCAACTGCAATGTCGAGCGATACATGTCTGCAGGTTCACGACGAGCAACCAACAATGTTCTGCGTCTCACCTTTGCATGTGTCATCACAGTACTGGCTTTGGTAACACCACTGAGCTGTAGAAAAAGCACAGCCCTAAGATCAGAAACACATTCAGGCACAGACAAAGCTTTAGCTGCAGTATAGTTTATCAGTTCAACTGCTTTTTGCCCAACCAAACAAGCAGCCCTCCTGTAGTTAATAGATTAGTTTTAACTGAGTTCACTTTCATGCTCCATTAGAGCTGTACAGCGTTTTTTTGCTCAGTCAGCAGCCTTTCTAAGCTAATATTTGTTTTTTTATGCAACTGTGTTTTGAAAGTACCAACACAAATGTGTTTTACATCTAGAGCATCTTTGAGTTTATTTTTTAATGTGCTCATCAGATAGATACCATAAATTAGGAAATACATTTGCAGTACATTTTTGTCACGGGACACTCGGTGACCCTCCAACCAACATTTTTATCTGCCTTTAAGAAACAAACAAAAAAAGGAATTCTAATATCTCTGATAATGGTGATGAGTCGAAGCCTGATTTAGCTGTTGTTATACTGATTGAACTCAGTGTAAAGTTGATACCCAACTCCTTCCCTGTCTCCACAAGGCTGCATTGAACGTGCCCCTCCATCAGGTACTGATGAGATAATTTAATGTTGTGCCTCTGTTGTGTATTGTGTTGCTGATGTGAGTGAGACTCCAGTGTCTGACTCTGTGGTGGGAATGAAAGAGAAGCTCTTAGCTAATATAAGAACGCAGATTAACCTTGCAGCCTACCACAATGCTGCCCTTTGAAAGAGGACAACAGTTCTCACCAAGTGGGAACAATGCACAGGTGGAGGCTGGCTTTACTCCACCTGGCTCCTACACCCGTGTAAGACCGAGCGGTGGAGAAATGACAATCCAGTCATTTACTTTATTCTGTTATCTTTCAATTCATCACTAAGCTTTCTCAGAAATACCCTTTTTGAAATAGCATCCTAGAGAAATCAAGCCCTTGAAAAATTCCTTCGGTAGAAAGATCAACACATTCTTCCTTTTAGAGACAATAACTTGCAGATTTTTTTCAAATAAGAACAAGCACTACAAAATATTAAAAAAAATCATTTTTGACTATATTTTGTGCTGGTGACATTTTGGAGTCAATTTGCACAGTCACGACTCTTTCCATAATGCATAAATTAATCAGAAGAATAGTAACCTGCAAGTGTTCAGATTATTAATCTTATGAAGTGATTTTTAAACAAAAGAGGCTAACTTTGCACATTTTCAATAGCTCAGATGACAGAATCGGTGCCTTGGGATCCTCCTAAAACATGTTTCTTAAATGCTTGTGCAAAAAATACCGTTGCTTAACAAAACAAGGCACCTGCTTTCTTTTCTACTGAATTTCAGAGGTTTTTGGAACCGTTTCGCTTTGTTATTCTCTTGGAAAACCAAACCAATCAAGTCAAAATTAATAGTAATGAGGTCCAGCAGCATTTCTTGACTGGTAACATGTTTGAATCATGGATGATCTTGTCCTACCTTTACACTGAGGGAACAGAAGAAGCAGGGTCTGGAGGTAGAGAGAAAAACCCATGACTGGGACCAGCGCAGGGAAGAGAGAAGTGCCCGGTGAACTGTCTTCTGCCCTCACCTGCAGACTCGGATCAGCACTTGAGGGTGGGGTTTGGGGGGCGGGGGTCATGAGAGTGTCATGAGGTGTGTGTATGTCTGTGTTAGTCAAAGAAAGGCAGCAAGGAAAAGGGACTTTGAGCAGTTGCCTGGTATGTGACAGTGAATACAGGCCTGGTGGCAGCTGGACAGCTTTCAAAAGAATCTCCTGGCGTTATGAATAGCTGAAAAACTAATAATTTAGTTTAGAATTCTGTTCAGAATTTAGTTTAATTTTAGCCAAAAATCTTTAACCCAAAAAGAAAGACTGGCCAAATGTATCCTATGAAAGTAAAGCTTTACTCATCACTATGTACATTTTGCACCCCAAACATGATAAATCAGGATTTTCCTTTTTTATTTTTTTTTAGCAAACATTTAACAAATTTAAGAAGGGGGATATTTTAAGTGAAATAGAATAGCCACATTTGGTTTTTTAACCAAGACAGGAGAGGCTATTGTTTGTAAAATAGGGTATGAACTGTTATTGAACACTACATAGGACAATTAGCCAGTCGAATAAAAGTCACCTGAAGATGTCATGGTGTTTTGTACCATGAGTGGTTCTTATTTCAGCCATCATTGGTCAACAAAGAAAAGGTCACAAACATACCGTTTAGGAATATGTTTATTTAAACAGTTAGTTCAGACAGACTTTTACATATCATGTCTTCTTGAAATGACAAAGTCTTGAAATGTTAACGGCATGATAAACATTATAATGTAGACTGATCAGAAAATCGTTTTAAAGAATATTTACATTTGTTAAAGGAGTTTTTTTTCTGAGGAAGACTGAATAAAAAAGAAATTAAAAAAACATCCTTCACATGATCCTATTTGACTCTGATGAGCTAAAGTTGGCTCAGGGCCACATAAAACACCCGCACTGAACTAATATTATCATCATTATCATCATGCTAACGGCTGATCATCACCGATTGAGAACAGGCACAACATGATCTGTAGTGACAATAAAAACAGACTCATTCCTAAAATAGACCGACTTTACTCGTCCAGTCCTTCATGTATTCCTTAAACCTGACATCGTACTGTAAATCCTACAGCAACTTTACAAATTAACTTGTGAATAAAGTGTGATTAAAAGCGCTTTTCAGTTTTCGATTTTAAGGTTCTTTTAATTGTTTATGGTCTTAATGGGCCTTCTTGTTTATCTGGGCTGCTTTTAAATGGTGAGCCCTCGGGACCCATGAGGCTCAAGACCTACATTTTTAAATGAGCTCATGGCTAAATTCTATTTATTGAAGTTATTTCAGTTTCTTATTTCATTTACTTCTAAATATCAGTCTTTTGATTATTTAATTACTTATTTATGTACTTATTGTTTTATGTTTGCTTTCATCATTCTTTTTGCCCTTGGGTTTGTTTAAAAATTATTTTTACTTTTCAATTGTTCTTCCTCAAGGGGATCTTCCACACCAGGGACACGACTACTTGGTAGTGGGGTTTTATGGGTTTGCTCAGTGATGTTTGAGTTTTTTGGGGTGGGAGTGATATTATCATGTAGAGGACTATGTGCTGTCTTTGTATGAAAAGTGCTATATAATTTAAGTTTGATTTGATTCATAATAAACCTGCTCTACGAAATTCAAATGAAACATAGAAGCGACCAAAATATTAGACCCCTGTATGAGAACGAGTAATTCTTCATGAAAATCAATATCTCCGTGCATTTTAACAGTTAATAAGTCTATTATTAAAGTGATAAATGGATTAAGGCAACGCTGAAAATGTGCTCTTCTACGCTATTGGAGATTCTAACATGATTTCTTATTACTCATAAGAAAAAGTCATGTTGCGCTTTTGTTCCCTCTGGTAGAACGAAGATGGCAGACTCTGGCGTGAGAAGCGTCAGGACATTTTCATTGGAGGTATTTCTGAAAGCAATAAAAATACATATACATTTAACAATAAGCTTATCTTTCGCTTTCCTGTAGGTATTCATTTAGTTTGAAAAGGAAAACAGGAAGTCTGAGGTAAATGTATGTTTTTTCCCAGTGCTGTATAAAAATAGGAGATCAGAAAAAAGGACAAATGGAAATGTATAGGCGGGTACATCTTGAAAAATGTGAATGTTAGTTTTCCTTGAGACGTAGTACAGAGAAAGTCACACAAATACCAAAGAAAATCCCAAACCGTGTTAGCTTTTAACCTCTCCTAATGCAGAGGTGTCTGCATTTCTGCCGTGAGTCTTTTAAGCCTGTTCAACATTAGTTTGTATTAACTTTTTGTCAAGTCCTTATTATTCACACCGTATGGTCCCATGTGAACAGAAAGGCTGATACTTATCAAAATACCAATGAGATGAGGAGAGGCGATGGGGGAGCTCAGCCCAAGTGGCACTATCTCCTGTTACCCTCCTCTGCTTATCCTTCAGCATGACATATGGAAACCACACGAGCACATGCAGCTCAAATGGACATGCAAAGAGACCAACAGTTCCTCATGAAGCCATCCCAGTCTATTGCTTTTCTCTAACATCCTCACATGGCTACGCAAGGTGAGTGACTGAAGCAAAGAGATGCATTACCATGATGTTGCTGGCCAGCCTCCCCCAATTCCTGCCAGTTTGCCTGTTGTGCTAGACAGAGGAGAAGGTGGTGGCACTTTTAAATACTTTGTCTTCCGCTTTGCTCATTTTAGGAGTCAGGGTAGCTAATGTGTTAATTTACAAAAACACTGATTAGAATAAGTGGGTATAGAAAAAGGTTAGTTCTTTATCAAGCTGGATTTAAATGACATCTGTTGGTGGAGGGTTTGAAAGAGTGCTATATTCTTTTTGTGACAAGATTTTCCCTTATCCCGGTCAGAACTAACTCCAGAGTGTAAGTAGTTTGACTGTAGGTAATAATCGGCTGTTAAGGGTCAGCTTTAGGAAATTTGGAAACAAACGCCATATGAATGGCTCTGTGGGGTTCATTTTTGGAGGGTAAGAAATTTGGTGATTTTTTTTTTATGCAATGCAATTGTTTATTCTGATTATTATTTTTATCTTGGGTTAAAAGTTTGTAAAAAATAATGGTAAGTTATCCAACTATTTAAAAAAAGTGTATCTAAAATAATGAATTATTAAGAACAAACAAGCTGGACATCTTGAACTAAAAATGACCTGATTTCTGTCTCAATAGAGGAGGATCTAAAATGTTAGGGTTCAAATATGTTATTCTGTGTCCTGCACCGAGTTTAGTAAATGTGTGTTCTTAAGAAGAGAGAGAGAAGCGTTTAGCCAAATCCTTCCTGTAGCTGCCTTTCAGACGGCTGCACTGTTTGTGGAATAGGGAAAACAATCTTTGCAAGGCAGTATGAACTAAAAATATTTAACCACTTGTTTAAGAAAAACAGTCTTCTCATTGAGAAAGAATGACAGCAATGTCACTAATGTAATTATCTCCCCAAAAAAGAGATGTATTATTACCAGACAAAGGAAAAGCTATTACTATATATATAGAATGAGAAAAGTTCATTGATCATGGTTTTTTTTAGTACATGGGTCAATTTACTGTCAGCGGTCTATCTATTTCCCTCACCTGCAGCACAGCGGCAGCAGCCACTACCAGCACAGCCAAGAGCGCCACCTTGCCGATCCAGCCGAGGTCCGCGGTCTTCAGGATAAAGAAGCGCGCCCAGCCTAGTTTCTTGGCTGTGTGAGGGGGGTAGCGCATGCTGTTCACTCCCTCCATATTCAGTTTCTTGATGAGACAACTTCTCAGGTGGCTCAGCTGGTCAAAGGTGTGCTTGCCGTGATAGCATCCCATGCCGCTGTTTCCTGTGGGAGAGGGAGATGAGGGCACATGTAGGCTTCTGGATTTATAGTTTTCAATACAAAAAAAATCTGCATATGAGCGCTGAATATGCTCCATTAGCATTTCTGTACCAGACGATTGTGTGTGTGTGTGTGTGTCCTTGCCACTGCTCTGCTCACACCATATATTGTTTCGGTTCAAAATGTTCTATTGCGAGGTAATGATAAAGACGGCGTGCTATCTCAGACAGTTGTGCCAAACATAGACCGAGTTGTGGCCACGTACGCAAGCAGTTATCAGGAAGTATTAAGACGGATCCCGCAGGTCGTTACAGTGTGGAATTCTGTGTGTGCTGCTCTGTGATACGCGTCGATGTTGCTGCTTTTCAGCTACTATTTTGGCATCTGGGACCCCGGTGAGTGAGTCCCCCGTGCCCCCACGGATGATATCAACCGGGTGGCACGTACAGTAAGTTTTCTTCTTGACATTTAAAGAGGCAGATGTTTGCCAGAGAGGTACGGTGTGGCAACTTCTGTCGGTTCCAACTACGTTTGGATTAAAAGAACACGGGATAATGAGTCGGGCTCACCGTCATAGCCTTTTAGTCACTCTGTACAGGGAGGCTGCTGAAAGTATTGCTGAGCACAGAGGTGCAGATTGTGTAAATTTGCCATAGCTTTTTGGTCCACCAGTTTTCCTCCCTGGCTCTCTGCTGGTATCCCCTCACTCAAAGGAATTCCGCTTAAGTAAAGAAAGCTGATGTAACTGCATGAAGGTCAGAGTTTTTGCTTGTTTAGGCTGATGTGTAAGTTTAGGGTTTGTGTCTGAGAGGACAGAAAGGAGTTCTTCAGGGACTGAGGGCTGACGTTAAAGGAAGGATTTAGTAAGAGAAACATGGGCTAACAGAGCTGGGCTGCTAGGTTGTAGAAAATCATTGTTAGGGTATGAATATATTTAAAAAAGACGGTCTGTTTAAGTAAACTAAAGTTAGATGTAAGTTTGTTATTTATCCATTCTTTTCTTTCAGTCTACGTGTGTCTCAGATGTGTGAGAGAGAAGTTAAAGCGATGGACTGCTGAAGCTCAAATGTTTAAAGATAGATTTTGTAGCTGTCTAACTAAAATGAGGAAATAGGGTTTGTTTAGTTGATGATCTGAGTTTTGATGTTGCTTTTTCCCCTGTTTTTTTCTGAACATCTTTTTTGGGTTGTAACGAAATGATTTACAGAAAAACATTTCCATGAGCATTCTACCAAAATACAGTAAGTGCAAATTAGAACTTATACCAGTTCATAGGAATGGATCGTCCATAGATGGTTGGTCACATACGTACACAAACCGCCATTACTGATCACCACTGAGACAGAGGCAATTACATGGATGATATGGAAGAAATTAAAGGAAAATTAAGCATTTCACATGTCCCATTAGGACTTTTACATTATTGCCTTCTTCTTTAGCATGCCAGGCTCAATGTTAAGAGGAACATCCTGTCTGTTTTCTTTGTGCTTGGTGAATATGTCCAAAGTCTGGTGACATTCTTCTGAAACGTCGATCTTTAACTGTGCGTTCATTTTAAATTATGCCACAACATCACACTAGATGGCGACATAACATTCCTAAATTTAAGAGAAGACATGCCATTTTAGGCAATAACGCTCCTGCTTTATGGCATGGTAAATGAGAAAATAAGCACAAGGGAACTTGTTGTCACTCACCCACTCCTCCAAATGGCAGCGAGCTGACAGAGTAGTGAACAAGACAGTCATTGGCCAGCAACCCTCCACTAGAAGTCTCGTCTCTCATTCTATTTATCACCTTCAGAATGAGAAATGAGAAATTGTGTTGAGCAGAAGGCCGAAATCAAACCCTGGTCTCCAGCTGTGTCTCTGATGTGTGCAGCTGGATACCTTGTCGTCTGCTGTGAAGACGTACAGGGCCAGAGGTTTCTCTCTCCTATTTATAAACTTGATTGCTTCGTCGAGGCTACTGATGGTCAAGATGGGGAGCAGGGGTCCAAATATTTCTTCTTGCATCACCTTTGACTCTGGTTTCACGTCCTTTAGAACCGTGGGAGCTAAATACACCATTGAAAAAAAAACAACATTTACCAGAACCCAGCAGAAGGAAATGTTTAAAGAAAAGATCTGGATGCCCGATGGCAGATTCAGTACCTATGTAGCAGTCTGACTCATTGTTATCTCCTCCTACAGCTATGGTGCTGTCGTCCAACATGGCCATGATCCTCTTGAAGTGGCGCTGGTTGATAATTCGTCCGTAGTCTGGGCAGGTATTTGGTTTTTCTGTGTAGAACTCCTGCAAGAAGAACAAAATAAATAACTGCAGGTAAGAAACCACAAAATGTATAAATGTAACCCCCCTTTTTTGGCATTTCTTTACTACTTTTTTTAATCTTTAACTCGTGGAGCTCTGCTTCTTTGTCTTTAGTACCTTGATGGACTTCTTGACCTCTTCGATGACCTGGTCCTGGATGCTCGGGTCACATAGGACGTAGTCGGGGGCGATGCAGGTCTGACCACAGTTTGTATACTTTCCCCAGGCAACACGCCTACACAGCAGCATCAGAATTAGGCAGAAATTCTTAGTAAGGAACATTAGCTGTAAAACAACATGATTTTTTGCATACTCCTCATGTGAAAATATTGCATGGAGATAGTTTCAGAAGAATGACTTTTTCCATATTTTAACGCAATTCCAAGAAAAGTAGCTGACCTGCAAGCTATGCTAATGTCGCAGTTCTTGTCGATGTAGCAGGGGCTCTTGCCGCCCAGCTCCAGGGTGACGGGTGTCAGGTGTTTGGCGGCTGCCTCCATGATCACTTTGCCCACCATGCTGTTGCCGGTGTAGAAGATGTGATCGAACCTCTGACGCAGCAGCTCCTGGGTTTCCGACACCCCTCCGGTAACCACAGGGTAAAGCTCCTGACACAGAGTTGGATAGCATGGAAATTTAATGTCACACATAAGCAGTTTCAATTTCAAGTCTCACTGTTTAATTTTCTTAGCCACCCACAGTCCGGGTATCATTCCAACACTAATATAGTTCTTATATAATCTCCAAGAGTAACACTGCATATTTTACCAAGTAGAAAGCATTGGTGTCTCCTTAAACTTGAGTTTAGTTTCTCTGTGTGCTCACTTTTTAAAATTCCTTTACAAGCAATATATTTCCCAAGGATAACAAACATTGGAATAACATTTTTTCAAATTAATTAAAGAATCAATCCTGCCAAAGAAAGGCCAGGTTTTGTTGCACTGCCTGATGCTAACTTACTTTGTCGATATAATATGGCAGTAGGTCCTCCATGACTTTTGCGGTGTGCACACACACCTCTGAGGGCTTCACCACTGCAGCATTACCTGGACACACAAATGTGAAAAGCAACACACAGTGGATTAAAAAAGAGAAAGTCATGTGAAGTCATTTGATGCCAACAATTGATGCACTTTCTTCAACCACTCAACATCTAAACTCAGAACAAAGCATTTGCCTTATTAAATTTAGTTTCTAAAAATAATCAGATATAATGCCCTTTCTTCACAGTTGGGGTAAAATCATGGCATTTTGAAAAAACAATGCCTTATCACACACTTTCTTTCAATACTGCAGACTTAACCAGGTTTTAGAGATGATTTAGATAGATTCACTTCCATTACTCTTTACCAAATGAGGAAGCAAAACACTGAATGCATAGTTTCTGAGGTTATAAGTACAAAAAAAACATTCTCAGTTGTTCTGAAAATAAGTGTAAATCTACACAAGATAAACGCTAAATCTCCATATTGTCCTGTTCTCCTAATGTGTGGCCATGTAGCCACATTATCATGCGAAGTGCTGCATTTATAAATGAATAGCTCCTTCTAAAGCTCAGACAGGCCATCTGAATCCCTTTTGTCTTCTCTGTCAGCATAACATTCCTGCCATGGGCACTTCTATTTCTTACGTCTACGTTTGTGTTGTTTTGTGTTCATTAACGGAACTATCTGTCCATCTATTTAGTTACATAAGGCTTAATCAGTCGTGTGCTGCAACATTTACTGGACTCATTCAGAGAGAATATTCTGTTATGACACAGACTATGAAAAACAGAAAAGTCCTGACCAACATTAATAACATTAACCAATGAGACATGGATTTATTATCCTCACAATGAACAAACCTTAAATCTACAAACACGTGTGGGTATTTAAAAAGCTGACAGGTGTTGAGATAACTAAAAATGCTATTGACATTGACCTTTGACCCAAATTTTTTATGATCCCTATCGCACATTGGTTTATCAAAGACTTCTGACCAACTGAGCTGACATAAGCACTTGTGTGAGATCTGATACTGTTGGAGTAGAGCACAAAGTCTGCGCTGTGCAAACATTTGCTGCAGGCTCATTCCTCTGGGCAGGAATGTTTCAGTCTAGGCAGGAATTATCCCCAAAAATTGCAGAGAAACTCCTCACTTGGCACATAAAAGGAACTAAGATTTGAGTTGAAAACAGCAGTGTCATGCAGAATACGTATGAAGCCACTTTCCACATCCAGATCTGAATCACACAGGGATCAGAGTTGAGAGCTTGAATTTTAGGCCTGTGCGCAAGTAAAGGACAGCCTGTACGACAGAAATGTATCATTCATGAGATGATTCGATATGTTGGAGCTAAATGGATAAATCGGAGTTTGAGCAAAGTTGAGAAATGCGTTTCCTTACATAATATAAAAACTAAATATTGTGGGGTGGAGTTCACAGAATGACCTTTGAACCACTTACCACAAAAGCTGAAATACAATATGAGACATTCGTTGGTGCCTTGGCAAAAAAGGGGAACTTAAGCGGTCCCAATCACATAATGAGTTAAGAATCATTGAGTTAGGAATTACAAATAATGGAATTTACTGGACTCAGATCTCTACACGTTGTGGTTTCCGCACGTTAGTTCAGAGGTCTGTGTACAGAAATGTACACAGTCCTTTGTCCCTAAAGTCTTTCTTTTTATTTGAATTTTGTTTTTACTAGCTGGATTTCATCTGGACGGGCATAAATGTTGCGTCACAAATGTCACAAGAGGGAGAGACTGTGAAGCTAGATATGAATGGGACCCTGACTTCATCAAACAGTGCCCTTTCACCCGCCCCACACACACCCAGCACGACATAGTACCAGCAGCGATGGCTCCTATGAGAGGCTGGATGGTGACGGCCCAGGGGTAGTTCCAGGCTCCGATGATCAGCACCACGCCCAGAGGCTCCGGTTGGATGTAAACGGTGTCTGAGAGCGTCAGAAGGTTTTTTTCCACGGGCCTGGGGGCTGCCCAGTCCTTCAGCTTCCTGATGGCCAGACTGATCTCCCCCTCAAGACCCAGAGTCTCATAGAGCTGTGTCCCCACATCACTCTGAGAATGAAGAAAACAGCATTGGGGCTCCACTGCTTCTCCTCATTCAGTATGCAGAGTTCTGTTAATATGCAAATCAGCCTGGCCCTGCTGCTGCTGCTGCTGCTCAGCCCCAGTTCTGTTCAGACAACAGGCATGTTTACATCACATTTGAAAAGAGACTATAACTATGTTTGCCAGGTATACAGACAAGTAGAAACATTGGGATAGGGCGACCTGGCAGAGCCATACAGCACACATAAATACGGCGACCATGAAGAATAACCTCTATAATGGTTCCTATACAAAGACAGACCCTGGAGAGAGAAGCATGATAAAAATGACTGGCTCTCCTCTACACCCAGGTGAGCAAGGCAGAATCAGCAAGGAGCCCCCTGTAATACATTATAACAATGATGATAAGATAAGGACGACTCTGTACGACAGCTCTAACTACTTGATAAAGGCCCGTCCATATGAGGGTTAGTGTAGAAAAAAAATAAAAAAATAGCTAAATATTCATGACCCTCTAGGTCTACAAAACTCTGTCAAAAGACAAACATGCTGTGTAGCATGTGCAATGTGTAAACACTGAAAATCCTCTGGACTTAACTTGGATTAATGTGTTGCTAAATGCTCTGGATCAGCCTCCCTGACAGGGGCTATAGTGGAAATGCTCCTCCATACTGCTGATTGTTTGTTTTGCTCATGAAAGGTCCCCATAGAAAAGGTGAAAGAAATTCAGTCTTTGATTAAAAAATAAAATAAAAATGGGAGAGGGGGGTAGCTTTTTTAAGTCTATTGTCGACTGGTCTTAAATCCACAGACAATTTTTTCGAACAACAAGGAACTTTTCTTCAATGTTGCACTTAATAATGATCATTTTATTATTTATTATATAAGCCTGTGAGCTTTACATTATTTATGACTCTGATGAGCTACTTTCTCTGTAGCTGGAGTATTCATTTGCTGTGTTGACTCCTTATGAGAGGGTTTCTTTGGTTAAGGAAAATGTTGACTGTAATAACATTCTCTTTCTGTATATACAACCTCTTTTCTTTCCCTTATCTTTGTGATACCTGCTGCCACATCACTTGTTAAGATATTTGGAAGTTGGCTCATAATTAATAGGCTGATTGACTGTTTAAAGTTTTGTTTTGTCTTTATTGCCCTTTGAAGTTATCACCCACCTTATTGAGGTCCTTTTTTATGGCATCTGAAATATCTTTTTGCCTTTCATCGAACAGCCGCTGCAGGTTCTTCAGCTGCTGGATCCGGTACTCCAGAGGTTTGGACCGGCCTGTTTCGAAGGCCTTCCTGGCTCCAGCCACCGCCTGCTGCTCCCGGGACATCCTGACGAGCCAAGAGTAACAACGGTCTGATCACTCTACCAGGTAATCTGGGTCCTGTTATTCTGCAGCGTCGGTTCACTGCTACAGAATCCCACCATTTCTTTCCTAAATTACATTTACAAATGGTTTCATGAGCGACACCGGTGTTTTGTTCAAATCAGAAGCTTTATGTTTAGAAGGGCCTTAATCTGCTGGATATGTCAAAGGAATACTCAAAGCAATCAGTTTATATGAGTAAACCTATATGAGAGATATTTCTATTCTGAACAGAGAACCAGGATCAAGTCATTCTGAGGTTTAAAAGCCCCTAAAACTGCCCAAGGGTGAATTTGTCCTGAACAGTTACACTGAATAATTCTAAAAGTCTGAAAACATTGTGCACAGAGGGAAACATCTACCACACAAACACAGTTACCTATGTGGTTATGTAATCCATTTAATAGTACCATTATATATAGAATTTAGTGGGTGTCTGATTTCAACTGGATGGCATAAAGTAGTGTACAACGTTGTAGAGTATTTATTACAAAATCGAAGATCTTAGAGGCTTCAGAAGAAGGGACACACTTAAAGGACATAGGCTACTGTCCATGGAAACACGCATCTGGGCCTTTTCACTGAAGAATGACTGCGCAGCTTTTGTTCGTGATGAGCTGTTTTTCCCCTCGACAATGAGCTGTAATATGAGCGAAGGGACTGTGCAACAGCCGCCTTCCATAACCCCGTTAAAGCTACAGTCCCCACCGGTTAACATCCGGTTCAGGCGCCACTGCATAGCGGACTTTCAGCACTTTGGAAATTCTCGTGGGACAAAAAAAACAACAACTAATCTGTCCATTTAACCACGCTGGATCTCTTTTGTTGTCATTATACGTATTGTAAAGCGTTCACGGTGCGTTTTTCCCTCTCCTCGCACCGTGTTTTGGGTCCGCTTCCACAGCTGATGGCTGTGTGTCTGTTTACGCACCCAGCGGATACGCGCACAAAGCGCCCGCACGCAGAGGTTTGCGCTCAGCTCTGCACAGCTCCAGCTCCAGCTCCCTACCTTTAAAGATATCTGCGTTTGGTCTCTGGGATCCTTCTCTGTCCGGACAGCCCGATAACCTCCTCCGTTGAAGCTGATCCTTGTCAGCGGCGCAGAGACAGCCGCCTTCCACCGTTAGGTCCCACCCACATGACGCCCTCCCGGCGGGGATTGGGTTCCAAGCCTCTCCCTCCACCCAGACACGAGCCTGTGTTTGCTCACAGCACCCTCGTACCGGATCAAAAGAAAAAACGCTTTTGAAATTGGCATTTGCTTGGCATGGCAGAGTGCCGAAGGTTACATCTGTCTTCTGTTTACTTCGTAATGATGACTGTTTCTCATGCGCCACCATCAGGCCAAATGCGGTACTGCAGCCTTTCTGATTGTTTTCAACCGTCTATGAAAAAACAAACAAACGAAATATGCCTTATCCTCTCAGAAATAGCAATTATTAATGAATCCAGATCTCTCAAAGCCTTGAATTGGATAAGAATATAATAGTTGGATAAGTTGTCTGCTATTTTTGCACAGTTTGTAAAGTATGAAAGAGTTGTCCTCCAAAATAATTGTCAGCAGTAGTTCCTTAAGTGGAGCTGAACCAGCTGTTTATACCTCAACAGTCTGCTCTTTTTCTTTTACAAGCATGTATAAACATGATCTTTATCATGTAAATTAAATAAATTCTGCATGAAAGTTATGAGGGTTGCATTTTTTTTCCCTTTCTTTAAACCTTTTTTTAAACCACATATATGTTCCTGCAGGAATTTCAGCATATTTGAACGACACTGGAGCATATTTGAACGACACCTCACCACCTCACGGTGGTGAGGTGCTAGCACCGTTACATCACAACCAAAAGGGCGCCTGGTTTGAATCCCCTGGGGGAGCAGGGGCCTTTGTCTGTGTGGTTTCCCTTCAGTCATTCCAGCCCCTGTCCAAAAACCTACATGTTCGGTTAATCGGACACTCGAAATTCCCTCTAGGAGTAAATGTGAGTGTGTGTGGTTGTGTGTCTTTTTATGACCCTGCGATGGACTGCTGACCTGTCCAGGCAGTAGGCAGCACCAGTCCACCTTTAGTCAGTTGGGATAGGCTCCAGTGGGATTATTCCCACTGGGAATAAGCAGCAGATAATGGATGAAAGGTGCTCCAAATATTAGATCTTTGGTTTGATTGCAAAAAAGCAAGATTTTATTTAAAACTGACTGACAACTGGATATGACATTTGGACATGTGCAGTGTAATTTTTTTCAATTCATGTGACACTGAGCAATTATTGTCAACCTCAGTTTCTTCTTTCACTTCCAGACTTGTACTGTATTGAAGCACAATTTGAAAGTTTTGTTCCCCCTGAGCTGCGATATTGATTTTTTTCTGAAACTACAGCTGCACTAAATCCTGTCTCTTGCTTTTTCAGCAAATCCTGCTGCTCTTTCATTCCCAAGCAAGACCTATTTCACATTCAGCCTCTGCCTCTCAGATCCCGGGAGGCCTTCACAGCACAGGTCAAAGTCAGAGCAATATGTTAGTGTGTTAAAACCCACTCGTCTCTGCCATACAGCATGTGGAATCATCCCAGAAATCTTTCAAGTTTACAGGAAATTTCGATCGGGATTAACACATCAAAACCAGGTAACAGTGTTTGTGTATTGTGAGGGAAGGAGAGCTGACGTTAGTGAGGAACAGAAGCACACAGCATCATTCACACCTGAGTGTCGAACCTGAGGAAGGGAGTGTGGGCACAGTAGACGAGTGTGTGTTTCTACACACACCTAAGATTGTCAGGTTTGAACTAGAGAATTCACACTAGGACAGAAGAAAAGTCTATATGGTGCGTCTTTCCAGGAGCAGTGACTTAACTGAAGACTACATTATAGTGATGGTCTAATATGTTGCTCTCAAGCACTTCACATTTTCATAATTTGGTTGAAAAAAAGGCATACCTGCTTTATTCATCTGCCCTTTTTATACAAATCTATGTCAACAAAGCTTGGAACACTTCATAAATGTAAAGATGTATTAATGTGTTAAAGTGCCTTTTTGAACTAGAAATAGTGAAACAGAAGTGGAGACTTCTGGATGCAATAACATTAAAAATTTGAAAACAGACAAAGAAAAAAACATCCTGAATGAGTTATGTCATGCTAAAAATGACGAATGGGCAAAGTTTTCTTGTTTTGTACTTCAAAGAGGACCACTTTACTGAAGAAGGCCTGTGTTTGGTGTTTGGAACAGAACAGCCATTAAAATTGTCTCTCAATTTAATAACACAAGGAACTTAAGGATTATTTCATCCACTGTACATTAAAGACTCTGAGAACATGTTAGCTTAGATATAGAGCTCATGAAAACTGAACGGTTATCATGATTTGACGCTTTAAGTGTCAGCCACAATTCTGTTGTGGAAACCATTGCATTAGATTTTTGTATTTACATTTCTGGAAACCACTGTAAATGTCACTCATTGAATCTACGAGAGCCATTAAAGTTCTGCTATGCAAAGATATGAAACACTTTCCTGCCTTGGCAGTTCCAAAGCTTATCAACCCTGATCTAGAGTGAGACTTACTAACTGTTCTGGCTCAGAAAGAAAAGAGCCCAGGGGCTAAACATGTCTCCAGACTTGTCATCTACTGAAAATATTTCCACCTGAGGGCATTTTTAGGTAATTTCCTCAGTTTTAATATTCTTATAAGAAGAGACAATATAACACTGGGATGAAATTCCTCTGTCACAACCTTGTTATGATGTTCGCTTCCATTTCCAAATGAGAAGTTTTAGCAAATGAATAAATAAAGAAATAAAGAAACAATCTAATTATCTATGTGACTAAGTTTCTGATTAGACTTTAAAAAGTGTAAAAAGACTAAAGCTCCAGTTTAGCTTTTGACTCTGCTCTGTAGCCACATTCACTTTTGCTATTGGCCTATTTAACATTCTAAACTATTTAACATTCTAAACTAGAAAAAAGTAAATAAGACAGTTTTTGTTGTTGTAGCCCTAAGAAGAAGTAACTAGTCCAGTACTGCCATCTAGTGAATAAATTCAGAATTAAACACATTTTAATTCTTGTTTTAAAAACAAAAACAAATATTGAAAAATTCATAGACACTATGTAAAACCTATATTTGAGTTTTCAAAGAAAGATTTTCTAAGAAATTGGAGTTCTTTTTTTGCATTTCCTTATTTTCTTTTCACGTAGTGGGCCACAGCGGTCACGTGGGATGACTGGGCTCTGGAGGCATGTGACCTGGTTTTGACAGCCCGCATTCATTCGCTTCCAGTATCGATCTGCTGCTTTGTTAATGTCAGTCATGTGACGGCCATCTGGAGTTTTAATCATTAAGTTAATGATCTATTGTCTGTGTGAGCAGGAGCCAAAGTAGAATACCTCACTGCCCATTGGTGCCCATCAGGGTAGATGCTTTATTCTTAATGGCTTTATCTTATTTCTCTTCTGATTCGGACTACAGCAACTACCCGAAGAACAATTAGGGCAAAACATAGTTAAATACTTTTCATACATGCTCTCAGACTCTGTGTTGAGTCTGGAGCTGCGTTGTGAGTCTAGCACCAACTTGGGAACTGAGCATTGCACTTCACGTTATCCGGCGTTTTGATGTCTGGAAACGGTGGAAACGAGCAGAATAAAGAAAAAAAAAGGAGCTCGGTTTGTCACCTCCAGGCATTACAACCGGCCGAGGCCTCACACTTATGGAACTACTTCAATACACTTCCCCTATCCACACACATCGCGTTTTTGTTTTTCATGCGCGCCAGGACGCAGCGGGGCTGTGGAGGAGAGGATGTGCCACAGACTAGCCAGGCGCCTCCAAACGCCCTTAAAAAACAGTGTATTTGCTCAGTTTTTTATCGATAGAGCTGCTTTCCCTATTTTAATACGGAAATCATCGTGTTTGTCCCCTTATCATACTCCGCAAACCCATTCAAACTAATTTCATACGTCTTTAGTCAACTTTTCTGCTCTTTTTTTCAGATTTAGCAGCTGATTGCTGCGTCTAGGTAAGGACAAGTTCAGTCTTGTCTAAATGAGCGCATTAACGGGGTGATCGGGGATCAAACGCACAGCTATTATCCGGACAACCATTAACAAGTGTGCACCACATCAAAGACACGCGTTAGTAAGGACTGACATCATCTAGTAAGAAGTGATCCGAGGGTGGGGCTCAGGGTTCGACCCCAGTCCGTGGAGGTATAAAGCCATCCAGAGTCCTCTGGTTTTTCAGAGTCCTGACGACCTGGGGTGCAGATATAGTTTGTGTTTGGGCTCTGAAATATAATGGCGTACGGGTCCGACATGATTGGTAGTAACGTTTCTGAGATGCTCGCGTTTTACTCCGGACAGCACTGGCCTTCTGCACCAACCCCGGAGATGAGAAGCGATTATGGCTACGCGCAGGAATCTCTAATCGGTGAGTGGACAAGGGACATATTACGCACGCTCACTTTTTCCTCGGATGTATAAGAATATATTATCTGTGTTTGACCCAAATGTTTAAACTATCTTGCAAATGACAATGTGCAACGTTCTGTTTTTCTCCAAACTGAATGGAATTTTCACCAAGTCCTATCTAAATGCCACTTCCGCTTAAGAGTTAAGAGTGTTTTCTCTCTTTAGTGAACCGTGATGCAGGCTTCAGAATCCGGTCAGGGACCCAACGGCGCCGGAAGCGCACCACCTTCACTAAGGTGCAGCTGAGCCATTTGGAGAGGGCCTTCTCCATCACACCGTACCCAAACATAAAAATGAAAGAGTCCCTCGCCACAACTACTGGGTTACCGGAGTCAAAAATTCAGGTATGTTTTTGCCTTGTGCTAATATTGCCTATGTAGGCCTTTTTCTGTGTTGTGCGCTACAACAAGCTCATTTCAGTTTTTTCATTTTCTACAGGTCTGGTTTCAAAATCGACGGGCCCGCTACTTCAAGAGCAAAAAGCCAACAGTAAGGGCCTCCGACCCCCAAACGGATTTGATCCAACCCCAGGTCACATACGCAGCCCCACCAAGCCCATTTCCTTACCTAACTCCTTCATTCCCATCCACTCCCAGTCTGCCCTCCCCACCAGGCTACCCCGTTCCCAGTCTACCTCAGTCCAGTAGGCTCTCCACAATCCTGGACCACCAGGCCAGCTCACAACCCAAACCGACGACCCCTGACCTCTCGGCATCCTGCCCCCTGGACGGACTGTCTCAGGACTATCGCTTCACTCATTTGGACTTCTGTGATTACTTCCAAAACCTGTTACCACACCAGGAACTTGAGGACTGGGACTTTGCGGAGTTGGAGTCTTTACTGGAGGGGGCACAGGGTTCCCAGCCTGAGGGCAGCAGATGTCCTGCAGGGCATTGTGAGCCCAGCAAGAACCTCCAGAGCCAGCTGGAACCACAGGGTTTAGACAGCAGTGATCACAGCTTCACAGACTTGTCTGATATGAGTTTCCAGGACCTTGTGTCTGACATCAGTCTGTCAGATATGGACATTTCTGCTGCATGGATTGATTACCTTTTGGACTGAGATGACAAAGAAGTGAGTCATTCTCTAAACTGTTACATATCATTTATGCTGAAAGTCCCTGGAAGAAAGGTTATATAAAATTAAATATTTAAAACTGGTAATGTGTGAGAATCATATTTGATATGTACTGATATGAGGCCTTTTGCATCATTCGACGGTAAAACCTTGCTGAAAAACATGTGGTACACATTCAGAAGTACCTGATGGGCAGACTATACGATTATGACTTAACTGCACGGTAATAGATTATAAATACAGAAGAATTAATAGTTTTTTCCATATTTTGTTAAAGGAAAAATTAAAGATTTAAAGTCTCTATTTTCTTTCCCGGACCAGAACAGGAAGGGTGGTGATTGTTCATGACCGCAATTACAGACACGTGTCGTCATGCGGCGCCGTGGCTTAGTTGGTTAAAGCGCCTGTCTAGTAAACAGGAGATCCTGGGTTCGAATCCCAGCGGTGCCTTTTGGATTTCCATTTCTGTATAATTTATGTGTTTTTTCGTCTTCGTTTACGATCGTCTGGCTTTATATAGCAACAAAGACTGATAGCTTTATAATCAATCAGAAACGTTTGCCATAGCATAGAACGAGACTAGTAAGTGCTCTTTCACACAGGAAGACGTTGATTAAGTTACGTGATTTTCATTTTCAATAAGCACAGGTAACACAATAAATAAATAAATAAATTACTCTTGCCAGACAAACGCTGTTGAATACCATTTACTTTGTTCAACGTCGTCCTGAGGATTTGTTCGGGTAAGCGTCCGCTGTTGAGTTCATTTATCTTTTTTTTTTTAATCTTAACTGGGATGTCTGAACCTTGGGTTGTATTTAGTTGGAGAATAAAATAGTAAACACTAGCGAAAATAAAGACAGATGAAAATGTGAGTTTTTTACAATATTAAGAAATTATATTTGTTTGCTGACGCAATTTAGTCAATAGAGGGCGCAATTTCTTTAAAACCAAATATAGAGAGTGCGGAGATCAGTACAGGGTCACAGTGCAGTAGTAGTTTATTTTTTTAGGATGCAGAATGATAACACTGTATAACTGAGGCATTGTATACATTCATATCTGTATGTGAGGGTAAATGTACTTACATGCACTACTATAACTTTATGGGAAGTTTTTGAACTTCACAGTTGTTAAACTTGCACAACAGCATCTCAGATATATTGGTGGTGTAAAGGATCTGACCGCTAAAATTGAGGTTTGAATTAGTTTCAGGTAGAGAATAAAAGTATACACAACACTTAGAGGTAAAATGCATTGCATCATGTGTAAATCTAGTTCATCTAACAAACAAGTATTACTGGGGAATTAATCATGTGCTAAATGCTGTCTGACTAAGCCTACTATTAACCACATGCAGTAGCAGTTTTAAGTTTATAGGTTTAAAACTATAGATGAAGTTTTCTGCGTTGCCACAGGCCTATTTCTTCTCTGCCCTGGATGCATCAGGTGCCTGTTCATGTTCGCAGCCCAGCCAGTACTTTGCAATCGATCGGGGGTAAGAAGGGAATGCAGCAGCCACCCTTTTTGTCTGGAGAGACACTCTGTAGTACTTATCTGCAATCATAAACAGAACAGACAAACCAAACAGCGTTAAAGTAAGAAGTGCATCATATACATGTAGATACTGTGCATACAATCCAACCCAGCTTCATTTATGGAGTCCTTTAAAAAGCGCATATTTGACCAGACTGCTGGCCAGAAGAGTACTTATACACAACAAAGACGGACCACGTTCATTTGTATTTTCATACCTCTCTTGAAGAAATAGACATTTTGAATTGGGGCTCTTTTGTACTCTTCTTTAGGGGTTACATCAGTGAGGTCGCTTATGTCACTGTAGTCATCACCAATGTCAAACCAGTCGTCATGGAGCCACAAATCATCAAACAGGGAGCGACTATGTCTCGGCCGGCTACGCCTCCTGTTGGGCCTCCTCCTCCTGCTGCTCCGCCTCCTCGTCGCTGGAGGAGAGGGTGCTGTGGGCTGGGGAGTGAGATGCACCCGTCCAACCATAGCAGCATCCACAGGGACTGGAATGCCCTGCCAGTCTCTGCTGATGAAGCGAGGGACAATGTCGTGGCTAGCGACTAAAGAACGGGAAAAAGATAGAGATGATAAAGATTTGCGGAGTAGAAAAGTTAGAATAAGAGATTATCACAAGTGTTGCTGTGCAAATAACACAGTGGCGTCTTACAGGAGCCTCCAAAAAGCTCTGTGAAGAGATCCTCCAGGGTGTGATCGCAAAACAAGTTTGTGTATTGAGTGAACAGCACAGACGGGGAGGACCTGGTCATCTGGACACATGCCTCATGGGTAGGCTGGTTCCTAAATTCATACAGGTAGTATTTATCACCTGAAAAAAGACCCAGACACAAATTCATTTTTAAAAGTCTGCATACATTTTTTCATTACCAAATTCAAATACACACATAGAGCACAATCTTCAATAGTCAAACAACTCGCCAAGTAATAAATGAAATAAGAATTATGGTCATTTTCCCATTGTCTTCTTTAGAACTGACTCCCACACTATCAGAGAAGGTTTGCCTGATGGAACTGGGAAATTTGCAGGTTTAGGTTGAAAAGGAAAGACATATATGAGAGATGAGATAAGGTGGCTCTGATTCAGGACATACATGTATAACAATACGGGTAAAAATACCTTTGAAAAAGTAGGCTTTTTCCCTTCCACGGTGATTTGGCGCAGGTACGGCGAAGGCAGCATCGATATCATTGGGTATGCCCTCAAAACCAACAGAAATATCTCGTGGGTAGTCCTCGTCCAAAACATCACCATCAAATCTCCAGTACTTATTCCCCTGGGACAGAATATATGCAAAGACTTTGATAACAGTGGGGAAAATATGGTTGCCTTTGATGAGGGAACATTTTTAAATGAGCGAATGATTGACAGGGATCTGCAAATGATTTCTTTGTGAAAGCATTTAACTTTTATGGATCAGTAAAACGACCAAATTAAAAGACTAAAAAAAGCATGTGATCTCTGTGGGCGACTTGCCCCATACATCTATCCTGACCCAAATATAAGCAAACAGTTAACCAGAAAACGCTCTGCCTCATGAAGCTAAGCCAGCCCCCCAACTCATGCTGTGCCCATGTTCTAGAAAGATATAAGCTCCTACCTGAAAGATGTAGGATTTTCCTTGGCAGTTCACACGTGTGAAGGCAGCACTGACGGGCCCAGAGATCCCCCACACATCCTGGATACGTTTGGGGTAACCAGGAAGTATGGATTTTTCGTCCAGTTCAAAAAAATATTCACCTAAGACAGGAACAGGTCTTGGATCAGTTTCGTTGAGTGTAAGCATGATATAAATAAGGCAAACTAGATTTATGTGTAATTTAAGATGAACTTTTATGGGGTACTTCTGAAAATGTTTAGATATGAGAAAATAGAATCTAGAAGAGAAAACTGTGGTTGAAGTAACTTTTTCTCAAAATAAAGTGTTAGTTTGATTGGTATTGCATGTATTTCTATTCTTTAACTCATGCAAATGTTTCTGCGTAAACTCCAGTAGGACGAAATCTGCTGAGCATGTGTAATTCATACAAAGATTATCAAACAACATGGAGTTAATTTGGAATAATTTTAAACTGATCCATGAGCGAAAGCTTGAAACAAGGCCTTCAATTTAGGGGAAATCACTCTTATAAGCTTTAAAGAAAATGAAAAAATCTCTTGTGGAAACTTTTATGGATATTCAGTTCTTACCTCTGAACGCATAGATGGAGCCATTCTTCAGCTGCAGAAAGGCATCGAATGGCTGACCACTGCAGGGCGCTGCGTCGGGGTCAACGCTCGGGCCGACATCAGGGGGGGTGGTGAGCGGAGGGGTCGGAGAGGAGGGAGCTGTCGGCACCACGGTGTTTGCGGTTGGTGTGAGGGTGGTGGTGAGCTCAGTCTGTTTTGTCCCTGTTTCCAGAACTTCTTCAAAGGTGTCCCCTCGAGAAACTGAGCACAGACCACCATGTCTTTTAACCAAGATGTTATTATGTCATTAATAAAAGAGATACAATCAAGTTACAGCACTCCGGAGCTGTGCTTGCCTTTCTTGGGGCAGACGGTGTCAAAGTCTTCGCAGCAGCTGCCGTAATACACACAGATGGAGTCACACTGGCACTTACGCATCGAGTCGAAGGAGCCACAGCGACCTGCACAGGACTCTGTGAAAACGCAGCGTGTTTGTTTAAGCGCACACTTTGTGTTTCAGCTACCACAGAACGCACATCAACTCGACATATTTGAAACACCTCTGTACCGATGGCAAGCAAGAACCCTACATTAGAAACTACATGAAGTACGAAAACAAAAAGAAAAATAGCTCATCAAAGAGATTATTTTGACTGTTGTCATATCTGTGTCGTTCTACTTTCAAGCTGTAAAAGGAAGAAATAACAGTTTTGTGTGTTTATCATGTGAACTTCACTCTTTAAAGTGTCACTCGAATAAAGGCATAGTTTGGTCCCAAAAAAAATATAGTAGAATTATGCCTGAACTGCCTTTAAAACAATCATTCTACTAGGCCAAATGTACTGTGGTAGCTACTATATAAGATCCATTTAGAGGTCCGTACTTCATGCACTGTCCATAAATCCAGTATATTTTCTCTTGAATGCAGCTGTAAACAACTTTAAATACATGCATATTTATTACATTTTATATGCAAATTCAAATGTGAATATTAATAAAGAAGTACCAGTTGGCGTGTGACACACATGGGCATGGATATGCGTAGATTTCTACAAAGCCCCCCTTTGTGACTTACCCTCTGCAGCAAAGGTGGTGGCCAGCAGGAGGACAAGGCCCAGCAGAACCACTGCTGGCTTCATGTCAGCCCACAGAACGTATTCAGATCTTTAAGCGACACCGAAACAACGGAAATGTACGAGCTGATGTGCTCACAGGGAAATGAGCTATCAGAGATGGCTCGCAGCTGAGTGGCGCACTTTGGGGTGTTCAACGCCGTGTGCAAAGGATCAATAGCTACTTTTTTTCAGAAACTTCTGACCCCCGTGCATTTGCATTGCTGATTGGTCAGCGCTCAGCTGTGACAATCATTAAGCCGAGTTGGTCGATCTTTTCCCCATCTGTCCTCAAGTATCCTACGTAAAACATCCAAACATAAGAACAAACAAATGAAGCAACTCCAGACTGTAATTTTTCTTTTACTGCTCAGTTATGTATAATCCTCAGAAAAAAATCAATTTTAAATGTTACACCAATGGTGTGTTTGATTGGAAAACAGTTCCAATAACAATGAACCACTAAACTAGAAACTCCAGATAGATCTCTATAGTTATGTGGAGCAGATAATATTTGTGCTTCATACTGCTTTTGTACAGTGTTACTTAGAAAAACAGCAACATACATTTGAGCTCAATCATTGCTTAACCTGGGGCTGTCTTTAATCTCTATTGATCTGTGTCCTAAATAAACAATCCCAAAACAAACACAGAGTTCATCAAAATGTAACTCCGATAAGTGCTGTAATTCATTAAAAAGGGAGGAAATAAAAAGGACAAGAGAAGACAATGTGGGAGCTATTTTATTCATATCTGTGGAGCAGCCGAGTTTTTTGGGTTGAACTGTTTTTCTTTTCTGTTTTTGGGGTTAGGGTAAGGATTAAGACCATCAGGAGATTGTCTGATTGAGGTTTCTAATCAGATTCAGCACCATGGAGAGATGCAGAGTGTGCCTGCCAACAGATTACAGGAATGGCCACACTTCCTTGTCACTCACTGACGAGCATTTGTCAGCTTTCCCCTTCTCCCATTCGATTCAAACGAAAAAAACAGTCAGCGTGAGTCAGATTTCTGAGCATAAAGGATCAGCCAGGGATATAAGAACCCAATCAGTAAAGGAGGTCATATTAGGTTTAACAGTGTGTGTAGATATCTTTGATCTAATGCAGCAAAAAGGTGTCCATAAAGCAGGTGAGGACAGGTTACATAGCACGTGGACTTTGGCTGTCTGTGCAGCCTGTATCAGTGGCTTGGGTTGCCGTCATATCTCTAATAGCTCAAAGGAACAAAGCACAGCAAGCATGGAATTGGAAAAATAGTTTTTCTTCTGATGTAGCATTTAGAAACCTCAGCGGGGGTGAACTCTAGCGTGACCAGCAGTATTTCAGAGTAAAAGCTGACAGCAGTTGTCACGCAGCAGTGTCTTTGTTTTCTGTTCAACCCCCTATCAGTCCAGAGGTCCCTTTGAATAGTGTACCAGTTTTCAAAAATGCCTGCATTTGTCTTTATTACATTGTCAAAAATGATTTCTCATTAAAAATATATTGACACCATTTTTTTGTTGTTGATGTTTTTGATGAAACAGAATTTTATACACACATAAATTGACGCTGTTTGCGGTTTAAATACAGTTACCCAACCAGGGTGTTTGACAAACTGAAGAAACACAAAACAACAGTTTTTTTTTTATCACTCATATCAATTCCCAGTGGAAAGTTACTAAACTGGAACTTTAACAGGCTTTAAATTATCAACAAATGAGAATGTACTGACTCAGGAAAATGACTTTTATAGGCCTCTGTTTTCCATGACAGGGCTTCTGTTGGGTAAAGCATTATGGGTTAAGTTAAACAAAGAATTTTATTGTCGGGGTTTTTTTTCTCGCCGTGAAGAATCAGTCTGTCAGATAAACAAGTGCATTTCCTTGCTGGTGATGATAAAAAGGTTGACTTTTAGAGCTTGATGACCTCCAAATCTGGTAACACAATCAGTCATGAAAAACGCTGAACCACCGCTGTGACTCTGTCTTTTTGTGTTATTGAAAAAAAATCAGACTTTAAAATGCATGTTTTGCTTTTTTACTCTTAAACTTTGGAAACATCCAATTTAAGTTTGAAATTAGTTACTCTGAGCTTATATGTAAAAAAAAAAATTTAGTCACTTAAATAAATCTATACTATAACAAAAAATAACATAAAATAATTATGACTTTTTGTCAAGTTGTAACCACATTGTTTCCTTTAAAAGGAAACAACGTAATAAACAAATAATAAACAATGATCACTCTTTATCACTGTAACACATTGAGAGGTGTGTTTTACATTAGCTATTTTATATTTACCAATGAAGTAGGCTTGGTCATTTTCCAAGAGTAGCTAGATGTGTCGTGATTTTCCTGGCAAAAAATGCTTGTCCTCAGAAATGCTAGAACAAACAGGTTCTCTTTGTTATCAAATCAGTGTTTTGGTTCAACAAAGTCGTGTTTTATGACTTAATGGAAGTTATTCCCTTATCTCAAATGAAGTGTAGGAACAAGTAATTGATGAAACAACAGAGAGCTTGTGGTGATATGAGGCCATAAAATTCTGCATTGATCTGTTAATTCAGAATGTCTTATTCCTATATTCTTTTAGCAGTTACTTATATCATGCAATACCTTAATTTAATCTCTTTAAAACCATTTGAAGTCAATTCCAATCAGAGAGTATGAGATTTCAGCCAGGACTGAAATCTTTGTGGATAATTCAAATAGTGTGGATTCTTTTGCCTTACCAGTTTCACCTTAGGAAATGTGGATGTTTTATGTTAACTTTGTTGTAGATTTGTGTAAACAAAAGTGTCTCACTTTTACTGTCCTCTATATTGTCAGGATCTATTAAACGAAAAGCTTCTAAGCATTTCTGTTCAGCTCAAATGTAGATTTCACTGTTGACCTTGGGGTAAAATATTTCTGAGCTCAGAAAAAACATATATTCCCTTATGTGTTGTTGATAATTCTTGAGTGGAGTTGTGCATAATTTCTTTGTAAAGTCATTATTTTTTAGATAACACTAACGGCATAAGAAATAGCAGTTGTGATAATTGATGCAAACCTTAACAAGTTAGAGTTAATGCTCCATTTAAACTGTGTAATATGTCCTTTGCCCTTATAAAAATCATATGAGACTGCAAAATCGGATATTTACAATGTTTGGACAAGATTAAACTCCAGGATGGGTTTGTTTGAATGACAACTATAAACTGTACAAATGACAATAATCTAAAATCAACATCTGCAGGTTTAGGCAAGATGTCATCTTTTAAGGGGTAATTTTAGATGAGGAAAAAAGAAGCAGCTCAACCTACTCACATGACAATAACGCCGGGGAAATTACTATGTAGTATGTTTAATTGAAAAGACAAAGCAATCTTCCACATTTTGTATTTTGTAACACAGTAAAGGGCATATTCGAACAGAACCAGGCTTTCTCCCTCTGTCTATGCCGGGCATCAGACTGAATGAACTCATTAGTTCTCATTCAGACTTTAACTACAAAGGCAAATTCTATAAACATTATGTCACGCTTACCCAAGTATGGGAGAGTGGTAAAATCTGCAAACAGACCAGTAAGTCAGATATAATTCAGTAAAAGTTATTGGGATTTCAGAATAGATACCATTTTCAAAAGCTTTAAACTGTATTTGTTGCACGGGACAGAAACTGAGATTGGTTTTCTTCTTCCAAGTTATGAAACCCGTCTGCAAAATCCATTTTTTGTAGACCTTGGATTGCTGACTGTAAGTGGGCTCCTGCACAGGCCCTGACCTTTGGTTACACACGACCAAGCTGCACTCCTTCACCTGATAAACCCTCCTAATGTTTGGCTATCTGCCTCATCCTTCAATCCCGGCCCCTCTCTATATCTTCACTGCTACCTTTCCCTCTTTCCCAACAGCCTCACTGCCTTTCTGTAAAGGATTGTGATCTTTTTAGTGTTGAGTTAATGTTTGATATGCTACCACAGATATAGATGGGAAACCGTCCCGGTTCTACCGTCTTTACCACAGCAGCCCACTGTGCAGCACATCTCTGTAACTAGATCACCTGACCCTGCTTGGTTTTTTCCTGTCCACCTTTCCTCCTCCTCACACCGGACCAGTGCTCTTCTGGATCAGTGCTCTTCTCTGAGTTGGCTGTCAGGCTCCTGGAAACTTTTTCTACTCTTGTTTTTTTTTTTCCAATTTTTCTGCAAGCATCATGGGTAACATATTTTACTGGCTGTGGTACCACAGAAACTATTTAATCATTGTCCTCACTCCAATCGTCTTCCTACCCCTGCCGTTAGCCATTCCTGGAACGGTAAGTGTGCACGCATAAATAACAATTCAAATGGCATCTTTACGCAACTAGAGTTGTTTGGATGAATGTGAAAGCCGTTCCCCATTTTTATTTCTCTAAACCTAATTCTTTGCATTGACCAGTTTGTGACCAATGTGTGGTTAATAAGAGCCTGTCGGTGGAGTCAATAAACCACAATGATTGACAAGAATTTGTCCTCAGTAATGCAGAGCATTTAACTCTTTCAATTCATTAGTAATGGATCTTTGAAATGGTTACTCTTGGTTGATGCAAACAGAAATCTACTCTAACTTTGGAAAATGTGGAACAGTGATATAATTTTAGTAGCTTTACTAAATCAGACAAAATCAGACTAATATCACTGAAGTAGTTAATGTATTTTCTTCAGACCAGAGAAGAAAATCAATCTATCTGAAATACAAAAATAAGGCTCATTTAGTATTTTAGATACAAGACATTTAAGGTATGCTCTTTATTATGACTTTACAGTGACTGTCTTTGCACAAACATTCACAACCATCCATCCATTATCGTAATGGACTGGAGCCTATCCCAGTGGTCAATAGGCGAAAGGTCCGCCAGTCCATGGCAGGGTCACACAGAGACAAACAACCATGCACACTCACACCTAAGGGCAATTTAGAATGTCCAGTCAACCTAACTTGAAGTTTTTTGGACTGTGGGAGGAAGCCGGAGAACCTGGAGAGAACACACGCAGACACAGGGAGAACATGCAGACTCCACACAGAGGGGGCCTGGTTCCCCCGGGGACTCGAACCCAGAACCCTCTTGCTGTGAGGCGATGATGGAAACCACTCATTCACGACCATACACTGATTGTTTGTGTGATTCATGTGAAATGTTGGCCACTAAGGTTTATTTGTCTTCAAACTTTAAAACATGACAAAGAAAAGGAAAAAATAGGAGAAAACATTCCACTCCGCTTTTCTTAGTAACAGAGAATGAAAACAAAAGAATGAATAAAGGCACTGTATAGTTTTTCCTTTACCATGAATATTCATTTAGAAAACACCACAAATGGTCATGCAGCCCTCTGTTCATCATGGTTCCTTTGGCCAGTCTGAGTAAGATTTGCTGTTAGCTTAAATTCTCTTTTATACAGTAATCAGTTAATAATTGAAATTACGAAGTGTACTCCATCACAGAAGAACAGCAGATAAACATATTCATCCATCACAAATTTGACTTCAAGAGAAGTTTATCTTTGACAATAATTGACCAGGTAAACGGTGCATGGACCAAAAAGGCATGGGTTTGTAAAATTTGAACTGAATTAAACAGCATTAGCATTTGATTAACAAACACATTTTACAATTGATTCAATTCCCTTCAATTATTTTGACTTCTAAAAATGGAAGTGCCTTGTGCAGATGAAGTAGGCACATTAAAGCCTGCGGGGTTAAGTGTGATCTTACCAGTGGAAAGTTTTGTGTCGGGTAGTCGCTGTGATTTTTTTTTTTACTAACCTACCATAAATGTTATCTTGTCATACAAGAGCATTTATTTTTATGATCAAGGGTTCCTTCTATCTGAATGTGTTAAACTCTTATGGCCTTTTAAAGAGAGGCCGGAGATAAGACAAAGTACATAGAAGCTGAGTAACTGTAAACTATGACTTTGTGTTGGTTTCTGCTTCTGTATATTTTTTCCTCCGCAAAATGTGTTGAATTATTAGCCCAAAAGGGAAAAGACAGTCTAAGTCATATCCAAAGGTGCCAAGTATTAAGTGGAAAATATGTCAACACAATTCAAATAATAGTTAAGGTTGCGGTTAGAATGCTGTTTCCAAACTCTTTGTTTTAATCAGATGATTTTGAACATATTATCCCACAAAAATAGAACCTCTGACTCTGTTAAAGGGCCACTCCACCACTGCTGGTATTTGTGAGTATTTTTAAGATTTTTTTCACATCCATTTCTCTGTGTGTTTACAGCAAGCAAAATGTGGCTATGCGATCATCATCATGGCTCTGTACTGGTGTACGGAGTGCATGCCTCTGGCTGTGACTGCCCTTCTGCCCGTCGTCCTCTTCCCAATGATGGGCATCATGAAGGCCGAAGATGTAATCTCCCCTTTTACACTTCTATACCTCATTATATTACTGTTTGGAGAGATTGTCTCTCATCACGTTAAGCTTCTCTGATGTTTTTCGAAAAATGGTATCCCTTGTGAGTCAGCCAAAAGCAGAAGATTCAACAGTTTTGTCTAAGGGGAAGAGAATGAGAGCAAGTAAACTGAAAACTGAAACCATTTCAGTTTATTTGCTCTAATTCTGCATCGATAACTCCAAAATACATTTGCCCGACACATGAGGATTTCTGGTAAAGCTAAGAGAAATTAAATATATACCACTAACAGAGTATGGAACATTTTCTTAATCTTAACTGATAACACACATCCTGCTGAAAATGATCATTTAACCATGATTCAGTAATCTGTGAGCATTTTAAATGCTATATATCTGCTGATCACAGTTTTGAAACTTTTGTTGCAAATACCGGTAAAAGTGATGCATTTTATGACACGTCAACTGGTCTACCAGTTACTGTACCATCATGTGTGTTTGTTTCCTTACAACTGTTTCTGTGTAATATCTTTTAGGTCAGCATTGAGTATCTGAAAGATTCCAACATGCTGTTCATCGGTGGTCTCCTGGTGGCCATTGCGGTGGAGAACTGGAACCTCCACAAACGCATCGCTCTCAGAGTTTTGTTGCTGGTTGGTGTGCGTCCATCCCTGTAAGAGAGCCTTTAATACAACTAACCTGTTTACAGGGCTGCAGCTAGACGCTAGCTCAACTGTGCTCTAAAATTGATAGTGTTTGCCTTTTTGAATGCTTGATTTAGTGTTTCTCTATGCGCCCCTCTCACATAGGTTAATGATGGGCTTCATGGTGGTTTCATCCTTCCTGTCCATGTGGATCAGCAACACAGCTACCACAGCCATGATGCTGCCGATCGCACAAGCTGTGCTCCAGCAGCTGAAAGCCACAGAGGCCCGGGCGGAAGAGCGAGATATCCAGGCAGCGGCTGAGGAAAACCTAGGCTTTGAACTAGAAATCACAAATACTAAGGATGAAATTGTTGACGATAAAAAGCCAGATTTAAAGCCCCAGCTAGAAAATGGTGAATGTAAGTACAATTCCTGCAATCTACATGAAGGATTTACCTAAAAGAAGCCTAGCGGTAACTTTTTTTTTAATGTGTTGGATTCCAGATGACAATAGGCTTGCATTAGAGTCCCAGCTGGAGCTGAGGAGGAGAGCAATGGACGCCAAGTACGACCTCTTGACCAAAGGGATGAGTCTGAGTGTGTGTTATTCAGCTAGCATCGGTGGCACAGCCACACTCACTGGTACAACCCCTAACCTCATCCTCAAGGGTCAAATTGACAAGTAAGACATTAGTAAATGCAGCTAAAGAAGTGCAGAGTGGGAAAACAGCCTATCTCATTAATGTTCAGTTTAAATATAGTTTTTTTTTTTCTCTTTGAAGGCTCTTCCCTCAAAATGGAGACGTGATCAACTTTGCCAGCTGGTTTGGCTTTGCTTTTCCCAACATGGTGCTGATGTTGATCATCTCCTGGCTCTGGCTACAGTTTATGTTCCTTGGCTTCAAGTAAGTCAACCTCATAATGAGACGGTTTTTAACTTAACGGATATCACATTAAGTTCTCATTTTCTTCAGAAAACTTGACATTATTGTGCAGATCTCAACATATCAGTGCTGGTGGCCTTTGAGGCTTCAGAAGGGCTCTAACCGGGTAGCTTTTTCTGTTATCTGTGGACTTATTTGTCGCATCACTTTGTGTCTCTCTTCCAAGCCTAAAGAAGACCTTTGGCTGCGGCGGGAAAACCGACAGAGACAAGGAGGCTTATGCTGTGATGAGGGAGGAGTACAGGAAGCTGGGCGGCATGAAGTTTGCTGAGGGGGCAGTGCTCACCATCTTTGTCCTGCTCGTGCTCCTCTGGTTCACCAGGGAGCCAGGCTTCATTCCTGGTTGGGCTACTGTGCTCTTCAACAAAGATGACAAGTAAGATTTTTCTTCTGTCTATTTTTTAGGATCCCCTCAAAGGATTGAGCTGGTTATGAGCATCCCATTGCATATAGTGAGAATTTGAAGTGAATGAAGACCACAGAAGAACTATCTGAATGAAAACTAAATTGAATGTCGCTGAACACCAAAAAAAAAACATGAGACAAACCAAAACATAAATCCAAGAAAAACGAGAACAAACAAAAATGGAATTAGATCTCCACAGTGCAGTTGTTACAAATCAAGAAAGAAGCACCAGAAGGGATGTTCCTGTCAGGAGGGAACCTTTCTGTGTGGTGTTAGCATGCTGTTACAGTACTTTGGGTCCTCAACACCATCTAAAACGTTAGGTTAAGCATTGATTCTAAGACGATCACAGGTGTAAGTCCTCAATATCGTCACTGTGATTGTTTTCTTCACTCTGTATTGGCGTCTATCCTGCACCCTCTTTTGACATATTTTTTCACTACAGAGAGCAGAAAGCCTCACAACCTATTTACACAATGTGCTCTGTGTCCCTCAGCTTTGTGTCGGACGGAACGATTGCTATCTTAATGTCAATGCTATTCTTCGTCATCCCCTCCCGATTGCCCAAATGTAGCAGCTATGGTACCAACGAGGCAGGTGAGATCTCTTCGCCTCTGTTTTAAACAACCAGAGCCTTTCCAAAATAACGCTGCAGATATGACCCTGCTGTCTCTCTTCAAATAATCACTGTTTCATCTTTAAACTTTGCAGGTAAGCTAATAAAGGCTCCAGCAACTCTGCTGAACTGGCAGGTGGTCCATGAGAGGATGCCCTGGAACATCATCTTGCTGCTGGGAGGAGGCTTTGCTCTGGCTGCCGGTAGTGAGGTGAGCACCCTTCAAACTGAATGCGCCGCTCTCAGGACTTGACGATTGTTTTGGGTATCTCGGTGACACCATTTCCCTTTTGAAAAAAAATATTCGAGTCTCAAACCGATGTTGGGATATTGCATTTAGGAACAGAAAGGAACAAAAAGTGAGAGTGGGAAGGATATAAAAAGCGCAAACATTCTGGCAAACAAAATAGTTTGAACATAATGTTTCAAAAACATCTACGCTTCCAATTCCGATGTTTCCAGGTGTCAGGTTTGTCCAAGTGGCTGGGAGACAGCTTGGCCCCTCTTCAGAAGATCCCTCCCTTTGCCATCTCCATGTTGCTGTCCCTGCTTGTTGCAACATTCACAGAGTGCTCCAGCAACACAGCCACCACCACCCTCTTCCTGCCAATTCTGGCTTCAATGGTAAACCAATTACAAGCCCCACATAAAACACACAAATCTGCCACACAGATGGTTTCTATGATCATAAACGGTTGTGTTTTATATCTCTTAGGCAACAGCCATCAAGATTCATCCACTCTATGTGATGCTGCCCTGCACCATCGCTGCCTCTCTGGCATTCATGCTGCCTGTAGCTACACCACCCAATGCCATCGCCTTCTCATTTGGAAACCTGAGGGTCGTAGACATGGTGAGATTCATACACATGCAACACACGCAGCCAGTTGAATCTTCTGATTGACATACTGTGATAGTACTCTCTTAGTAAAGTACTGTTAACAACAAAGGACAGTCAAGGTTTCGCTATCATAGGTGAGGTTCAGGCAGAAAGGGCAAGGATGGGATGGCAGGTCAAACCAAGAATGCCCTGACCACCATTCATAGAGGGGAAGACAGTGACTGCTTAGAGGTGCTCCACACAGGCACAGTGAAATAAAGAAAAAGAAAAACATCCATGTGAAGCACTTTTCAGTGCTTCACATTTACAACAACTGCTGTCGTGATCAGTGTCCTAACTATTCATGAAATTTTCCTAGCTGCCCAGCTGAGCAGTTCTATTGTCATTTGTACAAAAATAAGTTACTCAAATACTTTACCCGCTTTACAATGACTGTGCATGGATACATATCTGTTTCATAGTAACACAGTTTTTGGGATTATCTGGGACTATTTCTAAGATCTGGATGGATTAATCAATTTAAATTTGAATGATTTATCCAGAGATTTTTTTTTAGATACACATCTGTGCTTGCCATGGTAAAATGATGAACATCGGAGATACTATCGGGTCAGGAGGGAAAGTCTGAATCACTGTTATTGTGTTAGTTTATAGAAACGACCTACAACTGAAACGAGACACTTTGCTTGTTAAAAATTTCTAGAAGTGCACTCTACTTGTATCCTGGTCAAAATATGCTTTTCTGTTCTTTCAGGTTAAAGCTGGCTTCATGTTGAACATCATTGGGATCCTGTGCATTAATCTAGGCATCAACACCTGGGGATACGTCATGTTTGACATGGGCACATTCCCTCAGTGGGCCAACACCTCTCAGAGCCAACCTTGAGTGAGTGAGTGAGAGATGAAGACAGGTAGAAACAACTAGTTATTCAGTAAAAAAATCGTTTTATTAATGGCACTGGTGAAGTTTACTGACGCTCCTATAAGTGTTCTTAATGCACACAAAAAGAATGACTCATCTAAACCAGTGAGAGAAGCTCAGAATCTAACTAATTGAATACAGATATTATTTGTCATTCAAAAACACAGTATTTCTAACTTTGGCAGAAAATAGTTGGCTCATCACTTAATGGATGGAGTCAAAGGCTTTTTGTGGCCTTTTAAGGGACTTAACACAGACACTTTGACTACACCCAACTGTGTAACTTACTTTTTCCTGCAATTGTAAACAACTACATACAGTATTTAAATTAAGATAATTCTGACTACTCTACTCTACTACAATGAGATCATTCTGAGGGATACTTGCTTTTCAGGAAAACAGGAAATGAGATTGGTGTTAATTATTTTTATCAGTTAATTTAATTTATTATTGTGTTCCTTTTTTGTTTGTTTTTGGTTGCATACTTTATCTTATCAGTGTTCTTGTCACAAGCGCTCATTAGTTTTATATTTGAATGATTTGTAAATACCAAAGCAGCCGACACTAGATGATTATTTATATTGTTATGTTTTTTGTTGTTGTTTTTCTTTTTTAATGGTGCATATTTCTTCTAGGGGGTATCACTATTGTAGAATGGTCTCCAGTATAGCTGCACCCATCATGATATTGGAATGCTCGGGAAAAACAACTCAGATATGGACTGAAATATTTCCAGGATGCAAAGATAGTGCCCCAGTGAAGTAATGTTTAAGAACTACTTCCAGAATCTTGCATTGTCCCTATGCAGATCTACAACTATGCCGTCCGAATCCTTTAATATTCAGTTTACATGATGCAAGCTCAGAGGTTTCCCTGAGAAAGCAATATGAAATAACAAGCTTGTAAACAGTCTTTAGAATCAGGGTGCTTGTGCCCTTAAAGTGTGTGTTGTTTTTGTATTAAGCCAAAGCAACCATCAAAACGGTGTCCACAAAGATGGTGGCCCTTATGTAAAAAAATATATATTTTTGATCGCTTATATCCTTTTTCTGACCCGCATCAGGCAATGCTATCCTGTAAACCCAAAAAGAATGTGGCAAAAGTGTTTCCTCAATGTTATTTTTTCAATGTGACACTCAAATGAAAACACAGTTATCACAATTTGATGTCAATGTCATATTATACAAAGGCCCATTGTTTAAGTTCCTTCCCTCACATTTCAGAAGCCACAGTCCCAGTCACTGAGCAGCTTAAAAAGTCTGATCAGATAATAAAAGAACAGCTCTTCAGCTGAAGAGAAGCATGCAGTATGGTTAGACGCTTTTTTCTGCTCCTGTCAGATCATGTCCAAACAGTTTACCTATGCTGAGATGTAAAACACTTTGAAAGATTACAGTGTGTCCGAAAACATTTTATCTTGGAACCTGTAAATATGTTCCTTTCAGATAATGTTTAAGTGTCACACTGACTTGGCACTCACCATTTTGAGCCCTAACGTGAGTTGAATCAAGTTGAATCCTAATTATTCTTATCATGGTTAAGGTGTCCCTTTACTCCACCAAATATTTTGAACTTTTGCGCACTGCACACTTGAGTGGCAAGTTATCCAGGGACTCCTCAGATCTGATGCTGTGAATACAACACAAATTCAACTTATGGATTAACTTTGTGTTATACTTTACTACTTACTGTGTAAAATGCTTTATACTTCCAAACATGGCTTCTTGGGTTATTTGGTGTCATGATAGCCGAAGAGGACGGTCAAAAGGGCTTTGTTGGACTGTGTCCTCCATTTTTACAGCAATGCAGTATAACATTTACTAATTTGTTTAGACCCGACCTATGAAACCTAGTGGACTTTGTGGAGTTTCCTTGACTTGAACATGGTGAAAGCAGTTTTTAACAGTTGATGCATCAGTCTTTTTTTCTCTGAAAAGCGTAAAGACCTGAAATAGATAATTTGCCTTTGGTTTGAGGTGAGCAGATTTTTAAGCTTCAAAGAAAAAGCGACAGTCCAGTGTGTGAGATAACTGTGAGATAAGAGGGTGCCAACAGGATGCGCCTGCAGTGAAGGTCGCTTTCTATCAGGTTTATTACAGAGAATGTAATAAAGTTGAAATAACTGATGACGGGGACAGAATGTACCAGGATAGTTGTGTTTTTTCACATTACATGTGATATACAGTGTGAGCCATGTGTATTCGAATAATAAAGCATCATCGTGCAAACAGTGTCTCCCCTTCGTCCCCTCTGCACGCAAATATTTACAGGCACAACACGGAGCTACTTCAAAAAGTCCAATAAATCTTTATTTCCATTTTTGTTCAGTCACACAAACATTTCAAAACTTTACATGAGTTCAAAATTATTTGTACCATTCAGTCATTTGTACAACTCATCCATATGCGTTACATTTTCTGACAAAACATTCAAGTCAGTCAGTGTAATCTCTGATTAAGTTTGATCCGAGTTCCTTCCTGGTCACTTTGCAACCTTTGCCACATTCGATTTTTCCTCCTCTGCAACTTACGTAGGCCACAAATTCATGAAAATCTAGATCACTTAAAGACAAATACCAATCTAAATCACTGTTTTCCATGATCTGAACTCACAGCATAGGGATTCAAGTTACTTCTTTTCCATAAGCTACTTTTCATAGACCTGGCTCAACAAGCACTGGATGATGATTCACATTTAAATAGCGTAAATGGAATATAATGTAATCAAAAACACAAACAAAATCAAACAAACAAACAAACAATTCAGACATCATCACCATCAATGTATTTGAATATATGACCGAAAAGAAATAAGAAAGATACTCTTGAGTCAGACTGTGTTCCAGCCAAGTGTGCATATTTCAGTGGAGGCATCCAGGACAGATTTGTTAAGAAACTCCTTCAGACAACAGGTGACCAACTCTCTCTGGAATGTGTCCAAGTGAAAACACAGAAATATGAGTGGCAGAAATCAGGTGGTAGACAGACAACATTGCGATTCTGACATGACAAGAACAACCACTGAAACATACACAATAGATTGAATACAAAGTACAATACCTCTGGGGATTTAGGAACCTTTTTTTGTTTGTTTGTTTTGCTACATTCCCCGACCTTCTTCTCTCCTGAAATGTAATTCTGATTCGGGGAAATGTTTACACATAAAACTTTCCCTGTTCTTCTTGTCCTCCTCTTTCCCCAGCAGAATCTTTCCCTTGGACACAAAATGTGCAACTTGACTGTGTTTCTGAGAAATTCTGCACCGCTTTAACAAAGGAGCCATGAGGCTGGAAAACATACAGCCCGAGCACAAATGAAAGAGTACGTTTATGGTCATTTCAGAACAGCTCATCACTTTTCAGTTTCCTCATTGCTGTTAAGATGTTGTGCTTTTGAGCAATTACACACAGGCTCTATCGTTAATACAGGTTACACAACTTGACAAACAAACCAGGAAGTAAGAAAAAATAAAGTCTGAACATTTGAGAACTACTGTGTAGGAAATGTGCTAAAAAGGCTTAAAAAGCTACTTGAAGTTCGCTATCTAAATTGAAACATCACTGACATATTTTTTTTTCCATTACCATACCAGTAATCATGCTTTCAACTGCTTGCACGCACACACAGACGCATCCACGCACACAGTGGTACAAAAAGACAAGAAACACAAATCAACACATCAAAACCAGAGAACGCTGTCCCTCAAACTGTCACCGAAGGCCTAAAAACACACATTATTTTGATAAAAGATCTGTTTCCTAATCTCTACAGGAATGGAAAAAATAGTTTATATCAGCATCTGATGTGTTGTTGTCTTCTTTTTCGACATGATGTGACGAGTGAGTGAAAACCGTCTCATTCATTCTAAAAAAGTTGCTCGCCTGCTGGTTTGTCCCGTTTATATAGAAACATGGACAGCGATTCCACCGTTGTGTGTGGTGTATGTGTGTGTGTGTGTATGTTTGGGTGCGTGTCGCTATTTGTAAGTTTGGACAAATATCTACCCGCCTACACACACGGACACGCTCGCAGATTAGGACTCACTTATCTGCTCCTGGATGCGGCCTCTTCAGAGATAGAGGAATAGAGAGAGAGAGAGGAAAATAAAGGGAGACAGGCTGCCGGGGGGGGGGGGCGGGCGTTCTCTTCACCGCTCTGCTCTGATCGGCCCGCTCCTTGGCTCACAAACCGCCCGTCTCTCCTGTGGCCGCCCCCAGCTCTACGTCCCCCCGTTGTACGAGTAGTCTGCCTTGTTGTGCATCACCAGCTTATTGTCCACGAAGTAAAAGCTGTCAGACTGTGTCTCGTAAGGGTGTTGGATCATCTCTCTGACTGGGAACACAAAAATAAGTAGTTGTTGAATAGTTGAATAGTTGAATAGTTGTTGTTTGAACTACACCAAAGAAGGTGCTTATTTTCCTGCCAGTGAACTCAACTAGCAACAGGTCAGATAAGATTAGTTGGTGTAAAGAACATCCACGAGGCTAAGTCTTTCAAATGTAAAGAATGGGATTAGTATATTATCCTGTGATAGAGTGTGTGTGTGAAGGTACGCATAGGCTTAAAAAGACTGTTGTATAAATGCAGCCCTCTGAGTGGCCAACCAGATTAGTTCATTAAAATGTAAATGTGGCCCATTAAAGAGAGAAGTGGCTAATATTATTGTTAACATTTAATAATATCAGATTTCGTTGTAGAGCCTAAAATCAGTGGTATGAGTTAAAGACCAAATAAAAATACTATATCCAAATTTGAAATAAACTCTAAATAGAAATAAGGATATCAATGTTATAAATCACGTTGTTCAGTTTATATAAAACATACCACATCAGTCACCATTAAAGCTGTTCAGTTTCTATATTCATGTTATGTCAGATGTTATAGTCAATCCCCAAATCTTTTGTCCATTTTCCCCCTGAGGTTAAATTCAGGTATGAAGGACAAGCCTTCATAACTTTGGACTTACAGGAAAGTTGACTCTTATTCATTCATCTCATTCTCAGTTTGAACTGTTGGCCCTGTAATCTGGCACCATCAGGAGGTCCAAATTAGAAACTGCCATCAATTATTTACAAGGTCAAAAGCTTTGGCTGTATTTTGAAGTTTATTTCTCAGTAGCTAATGTTAAAAAGTTAAAATAAATTGTGCATTACTAATTTGATGTTGAAGAGAACACCTATGTAGATTTCTTTAAATTTCTGTAAGGAATGTACGTTTCAAAGGTGATCAAAATCCAGTAAGGCGACTGATGGTTAATGCGTCTTGTTTGTGGGGGTGTGTGTGCAGACTTACTGATGTCCTCTGACAGAGGAGGGAATTCGTATATGTGCTCACAGGTGTTCTTGCTGCTGGGCATACAGAAACCAAACTCAAAGTCGAAACTCTTCAGCAGTTTCTCTCTGAAATAGTGTCTCTCAATCATCCTGAAGTTTTCTATCGGCTTGTCTCCAACGGTGAACTCAACACTAAATGGATCAGGACGGAGAGGCGGAGAAAGAAGGGAGTGAGAAGTTAAAATAAAGACTTCAGCAGCTGCCCTGCCAAACGCATCTCTTCAATAAAAGTTTGTGCGTGTTCCGACTTACGTGGCTCCAACTTGTCGCAGTCGAAGGAAAGCGGGGGTGAACTGGTAGCGGACAAAGCGGCCAGCGTTTGGGTCGATGTCCCTCTTTTCTCCTGCTTTGTCTGAGGCAAAGATCAGTTTTTATGGAACAGAATTTATTTCAGTCGGGGCTATTTGCTTCGGTGGAGCGGAGCATTTGCCACTGGCTTCTCACGGAGTGAGTGAAAACAAGTGTTCTCAGTCAGCCAGTATTGAACAAAAAAGTGTGTTTTTATGCACAGATAGAAACAAATCAGTAAGTCCTTGGAATTAGTTCAATATCTATTCTGAATATTGATATAATAAAGTATTATATAAAATATGTAATATATGTTTTCATACATATCACAAATGGTATGTGGTAAATAATGTTCATGTTCTGTACTTTTGCACCTTATTATTGTAAATTTTACAAAATAAAGTTGAGAATATCTAACTTATTATCCATCCAGTAAAATGATAATTGGGGGTTGATACAGCAGATATAGATATTAAAGATGTGTGGGTCCTTGTTGTGTGAAGCTCCTTTGTAATGTATAAAGTGCGCATTAATGAATTCAGATTAAGTGCAACAAATCCACTTAATCTTTGTGCAGTGACTCACCTGTGGACGGTGGTTTGGTGATTTCAAACAGGACTATCCCCGTCTCCATGTCTCTGATCTTGAATCTGGTGAAGTCTATGTTGTAAATGTTCTGGTCCGGACCGCACAGATAATCTAAGGCAATGTCAGAGAAATGAGAGTCATGTAAATATTTGAACTACATGTTGGATTGGACTTTTCTTAAAAAATCGAATAAAAAATTGTATTATAGCTCCCTGGAAATTTCTTAGGTGAAACTTGTTGGGGTTTTTTTTTTTTTACTCCTTCATGATATTTGGCATAACCCTAACCCTTGGAATCATTTGTCACCAATAACTACAATTTTTAGGGCTGGTTATTTGATTTTCTTTCTCATTTCCACGGTGTGTTGTACTGTCTCTTCATTCATTTATACCGTGTATCTAATAAATATAGATGACATGATGGTAGAACACACATAATGCTATCACAACAATACTGACTTAACTTTAATATTGAAAGAAGAAGTATCAAATACGGGAAGTGAGTTTCTCTAAAAAGAGCTCTTTTTGAGCAGAAATAATGAGGGTGAGATCTCAAATGCCTCCTTTTAACCACTCACCCATGGACACACAAAAGTAAGGTTCTGAAATAGGTCTAAATGGAAATATATCGTCACATATCTACACACCCAATAATCTTAATGAAAGAAACAAAAAACAGTCTGGCAACATTCTCTTTACTTCATCAGCTGCTGACTATTCAACCAAAAATATCTGCATTTATGTTTTGAAGACAAACTGCATCTGAGGAGCCATTTTTCAACAGCTAAAACAAAAACCACACACACAAGCAGCCATTGAGAAAGAGAAGGGGGTTATTTTTATTCCCATAATCCTTCCTGCCCTAACCGGGCGGTGTCACTGCTTATTAGAGTTTCCCAGCAGAGCAGAAACTTCCTGCTTCCTACCTCGTGCTGCGGCTTTGTGAAACTTAGATTCATCCTTGAATAGACGTTGCTGCTGGAGCCTTACCTCACTACACAAAGCACAGATACAACACAATATCGAGAATGCGTATGAAATAAAACCTAAAGGCATCATTTCAGGGCGGACGGCTGCAGGTCTGAGCAGACACTAGAGAATCCATCAGTCTGAGTGATTATGTGTGTTATAGCATGCCATGTCCGCTCTCTAGCTGTGTCTGCTTGTCCTTCTCATTTGATTGTAACACATCCACAGCTGTCTCTGTGCGTTTTCTATTTCAGTTGATGAACAAATGGCATGCAAAACGCATCGGCCTGCTAAACGAAACGGCGGAGGAAACGGTGCCCCGGGGGGGTGATTTCATCACTAATGATGGCAGCTCTGACCGGCCAGCCAACGCAACAGCTGTTTTGAACCCCTACCCGAAATCCCTGTCTCGCAAATCACACGTCAGGGCCTGAGATCAACTGTCTTTGTCATTTGGCTCCGTGTAATTGCTGTCAACAACAACAGAAGAAACGGTTGATGGATGTTTAATCGGGGTGTGTGATGCGTGCAGCAAACATGATGGAAATGCTCCGGTGAAACCCGCAGGCGCACAATAGCCAATCTTTGACAACAATGGCGTAGCAGAGGGAAATGTGAAGGGGGATGCTCTCGGTGATGAAGCCCCGGAGAATTATCCCCTCAATCTGCTGCTCCCCCTCTGCCGATTTATAGCAGTTTTAGCTCATTGTGCAGCTGTTTGGTCATAAAATGACTGTTTCATTCAGCCCTAAGGCTTTAATTACTCTGCCTTTGTTTTGAAAGTAGTAATAAAAGCTGTATCATCCCAGTGGGCAATTCTTCTAATCAAATGTCGAACAGACACAGACACAAACAAGCTGACTGGGGTTGATAAAACCGAAACAGTCAAGAAATAGCAATGCACTTGAGAGAGAAGTTTGTAGTGTGCAGGCCTGGCAATATGTTTGCTTGACATCAATGTAAGAGACAATGAGATGTTGTTATTATTAGCTTAGTTAGTTATTAGTAGTAGGATTCCTAAATTCAAAGTGCATAAACTGAGAACATGTTACTCAGATGGAATCTGAGCGTCCAGCCCTGGAAGATTATTACCAACATTCCCTGAAGACAAACCATAATTTACGATTTCCCGTGAGCTGTCAACACAATTTACTGCTTGAGCTGAAAGTTACTGATGAAAGTGATGTGGTGGTGACTCCTTTGCTCCTCAGTCTGCTGAGCTTAGCTTTTCTAAACAGCTCTGCATGCGATGCTCTATTTACAGTGTCCTAAATATTCACACAAAAAAAAACCCCAAAGCTAACAGAGGAACAACCCCCTCAGGAGATAGATTATTTGAACTAGTAATGTGTAATATCTGTGCCTGCGAGGAGTGGCACCAATGATATTACATTTTGTATGTGTGTGTGTGTGTGTGTGTCCGCTGCACATGTGCCGATTGTGCCACAGCTGGTGTTTTTTCTCACTTTTCCTTTAACTTAGTGTTAATGCATCTTTGAGGCCCCTAATGAAATCCCATGAGGACAATGGGACTGAGTTACAATAGCTTTTTTTTGTGCACTTGTGTTCATTTGTGTGTGTCTCTGTGGCTGTGAGGTGTCTGTGGCAAGCTACACACAGTCTTGTACATTTCATCTCGTTGTAAAGGATACAAAAACATCAATCGGAGGGCAAACTGCAGATAAAAAACCACCAAAGCAATCATAGAAATGCTGTTTCTCTCTGCCGGCTGTCCTTCTGTGATGGTAACAGGCTATGGAGTTCAAAGTGCACTGGAGAGTTTGTTTATTGCAGTCCAAGCAGGATTACGGAACTCAAGTCGAGCCTTTGAGCGATCACTCTGCCACAGAGTACAGGAAGCTCGTCTGAAAACCACTTCTTTAAACTTCTACATCAGCAGCTTTTCATAAAATTCTGCTGTGACTCTAGACTTCACGTCAGCCAGTAACGGTCAGCCCATTAGAGACAATATTCTCTGGGAGATGCTTAATTGCTGAATCTTTTCATCGTTGCACTCATGCTGATGTGCACAGATTGGGCACTTTTTGTGTCCCGTGGCTTGGCTTTTATGTATTTCAGTGGGCGCCATGTTTGTATTTCCAGCACTTCAGCATTTTTTGTGCATTTTGCACATTTTTTTTTTTTTAGAGTTTGATACCGATAGCCTACCTGTTAAATAAAAAACTTTAAAAGTTCCAGCGGTATGTGGTCTAATAACAAAGAGTGCCTTGTAAGCGATGCCTAATGTTGTTCCTCTCTCTGTGATACATTGGTTCAGGTTGCATTGCAGTTCACGATGAAGGACAAAAAGAATAGTACAAACACCATGTTTTGCTAGTTTGGTTCCTTATACAAATGCAGCAAATGATTACCTTTTCATGGATATCCATATATGTATCTTAACGCATTTTTACAAATTAAGTGAACAAAGTGGGAGGAATTCCAGTGTAGTATGTGGGTGTTTTGCATTTATACTCAGCTACTCAGCTTTGCATGTCTCGGCACAACTCAGTTTAGGTGGTTTTCCCTTCCTAATAGAACGAGGGGCCGACCATCATTTGTACGTGACACAAGGACCTCAGCGTTGGTTCCTGTATGAGCCACTTACAAAGTTGATGATCACAGAAATAATTAAATTGGTCTTATCGTCTGTTGTTGCCAAATTTTTAGAATAGGCGGTGTTCACAGAAACTATACATTGGCTTACATTGGCTGTCTAAAACCTCCTAGTTTTCACTACTTTGTCAATTAATTTGAGTGAAACAACAGGGAGAAATTTTAAATACTTTGGAGAAAAAAGTGAATTAACTTATCATATAATTAAGCTCTTTTTTCTCTCATCATTTGCTAAACATCAGACGATTTCCTTCCTGTGCTTTTTTTTGTGTGGTCGGCTAAAATCATTGATGGTCAGATACAGTTAGATTATCCACAGCTCAACACTCAAGGTATAATATGACCTATATGCAACCAAAATGCACAGACCTGAACCTTTTTTTAGCTGCTCACACAGTTTGTGCTAGGCCACAACAAAACAGACCTGAAGAAGCTTCCAGCATCAGGGTTTAACATCACTGGCACATGAAACCATATTAAAGGCTTATAAACCTAACATGCACACTGGCAATAATAACAGCTGACACTGTTAATGGGATCTAGTTCAATGTGTCCCACTTCAGCTGCAGACTTGAAGTTTCCTCTCTCTTCTCCTACATATATATATTCATGTGTGAGCGTATTCTATTCTATAATTATGTGTATATACATAGAAAACTAGATATGACTCCATATTGCGATTGGACATGATTGTATGATGGAATTGATATTCGATTGATACATCAAATATGGAATTTGAAAGAGCTTCAGAACTTCGTTTGAAAAATGTACCCTACACTTAGCAGTCTCAGCTCAGATCTTGTTCATTTGTGGTTCATCATCGGTGAAACAAGTGATGCAAGGCTGGGACACTCCCCTCTGCCCCTATCAACTTTTCGGCATATGTCTCCTCTCTTAACACCTCTCACACCCAAACACACATTTGCAAAACCATGGTTTCTTACGGCACAAAACTGTGAACACCATTTCCTCCCTTGTCTTTCACTTTGCATTAAAGAGTATCACATGACCAAATGTGAAACTAATATGTAAATGCCTGTCCAAAACTTTTACTGTTTACAGCTGAGGGTGCAGAAGAGGATGGGAAGAAATATACGGGATTCATGAAAGAACTAAATATTGGCATCAAGTGTTATTTTTGTGACCAGATGTGTCTGAGCAGCAGTCTTAACTTTATGAAGAGCAGTTGTCCATACAGACTGTTGAGCTGCAACGGTTTGAACAGTCATGCATTAACTTACAGACACACCCACTTTAGCTGCGTAATGTTAAATTAATTTAGAAAAAAGGGAACTGACTGCATGGTCACTCAACACATATCTCTTCTGAATATCATGTAAAACATCACTACCCCATCTTCCATGAAAGGAAAAGACTTCTTTAGCTTATTCTCATTCCAAGATACCCCAGAAATGTATCACAGGGAACTGTAAGTTGCTTCATCCAAAACTTTCTCTCTAACATTTGTAGCAGTTTTGAAGTGTCTTTCATCAGCCAAGAGCACTCAAAGCACTACAATAAAAAATAATAAAGACAGTGAGGGAACAAAGATGCCCAATCCACTTAGACTGAAGAAAGGAAAGCACTTATGCAGCTCAGGTGGACTAATCCAGTTTAGTTTCTCATATGAAAGCAAATCGAACTAATCAGTGGAGAGAGGGGAATGGGAGGTAGGGGGGTGGGGCTGGGGCAGGTATGCAGTGAGGACGATGCTGAATAAAACAGAATTTAAATGATCAACTCTAAAGCCCTCGTGAGATGCTAACCAGCCAGCTCACACTGTAATGTTGAAAAGGTTTTAATGACATTCTGAAACTGCACGTTGGTGATATCGGTGATGATAATAGTAATTATAATCTCCATTTTTATCCATATTATCCTTTACTAAGGCTGTATACCCACCACTGTTTCCGGTGAATAAACAGTTATATGTTATTGAAAACACAGCTTGTATGTTTCAGAATTGAAGAATGGTACAATTTCAGTAAAAAATAACTGCTTTTCTGAAATGTACTGGTACAGCTGCAAATTTAGCACAACATCTGAACTTCAGAACAATATAGAAGCACAGTCAGACCTTGCTGTGAAAACACAGTGCTCATGAATATATCTGCACTGTGACCACACCTGTGGTTACCCAAAGGAAGAGACCAATGCATGAACAGATGAAGAGGAACTTTAAGTAATCCTGCTACTGTAAAAATACTGACAGTCTTATTGGTTGAAGTTATATTTGCTGATACTTGCTTGAGAACAAATACACACATATGTATTTATATAATGACACACACTATATTTATACATATGTGTTCATATATGTGTGTAGTGTGTGCAGTGCTCAAAGAAATAAATGGAACCCAATTATTTCCATGTAACTCAAAGTCAGTTACACTCAGTTTGTATCAGAAAGTAACACCGATTGTTAATCAAATGCAGTTGTACAAACAGAAAACAGGTAGACATTAGCCGTTATTAGTAATTGTTCTGTATGATTAGCTGAAATCACAAAAACTTAAAATAGTAGAACTTAGAAAGAGCATTTTGACATGCACCACGCAAATAAAACTCAACAGATTGGGTCTGAACAACCATTCAATGGTGAGGCTAACTGAGGAAAAGGGCTTCAGTTTGCTGGGGAGCATAAAGATCAGACTGGAGCAATGTAAGTAGGTCATGTGGCCTGACGGATCCTGATTTACCCTGTTTAGCCTGTGAGTGATGGGTGCATCAGGGGAAGAAGAGAGGGAGATGAAGTGGTGCCTCCTGCACAGCCTGCGGGGGCACTATTCTGATCTGGGCTGGCTGCAGATAGTCAGGTCAAAGTTTGGCAACATTATGAGCCCAAAGAACGAGGTCAGCCGACCACCTGAAAAAAAATGAAGAGGTTATTCCATCGATGGATCTTTTCTTCCCTGATGGCATGGGCATGTTGCAAGATGGCAATGCCAGGCTTCATCGGGCTCAAATTTTGAAACACTGGTTCAAGGACTTTGAGGCATGTGGACTGACCACTGACCAAAAGTGTGTACTATATAGTACACGTTTACACATATATAGTACACATATATAGTTTTTGTTTCAATGATCTACTCATGGAGATGTTTTTTGAGCATAAATGCCCAAAATGAACTGCATCAACCGCCTGAAATGTCAGTAACTTTTTTCTGTCATCTGAATGCTACAAAGAAATAAAGGCTTCATAACTGATGAATATTGCTATGAAAATAAATTGCAATATGTAAACAAGCTCATTTAATTAATTCCGGAAGCCAATCGAATCATTAATGTATCTAATCTAATAAATAATAGCTGCATTCCACTCCTTCAAACATGTCTCCTAAACGCTCTAAAGCTCTTCCTCTAAGTGGAGTGTAATCCTTATTTAAACAATGTTCTTGTTTTATACATAATCTATGTAGAATTTCTTTCTGATAACATTGTACATGTCGATTTTGTAAGGAAAACTACGAATTATTGATTCATTTAACAAGAAAAAGGAGCCAAAGAAAAACAGCAAATCGTCCAAGAGCCAGAGAAGTCGTGGTTCTCTATTTCCACAGCACCTGCTACCTCATCGCCTTTGACAGAGTGTCATCATGAACCAAAACAAATTCGTCATTTGCAAAAAATAATTGCTCCAAAATAGATGCATCCTTAGGAGAATAAAAAAGGGGAGTCACAAGGGATACTTATTGGAGCTCTGACGCTCCACTGTGATGTAACACGTTTAGATTAAGTGAAGAACATCTGGATCAAATCAGTCAGTTTATTGTATCCAAATTTCTAATCTCCATCGATTTAAGTAGCCTGGATTCGTTACCAAATGGATGAATAAATAACAAGGGACCTTTCTGACCCGTTCGACAAACAGTTCCTCCTCTGGGATTCTGTGACTCCTGGGGCTGAAGAGTAAAACAACAGCGTCTTTTATTTTTTTTCCGACTCAGCACTGTTGTCAGGCCTGTCTGAATTTGGCATCACACTGGCTGGAGAGGGACTCAATTTCAGCCACTTGAGAATCTCAAGCGGCAAAAAACAGATACAGACACAACGACGGAGGGGATTCCTCGGTTCCTCAGAGGAGATATCAGGTCGTCTCACGCTTTGTTCGAACGTGAATAAAGTGTGAAGCGGGCTGTAATATGCTCGTCCAATTTCTGCCTATCAGGGGACAGAACAGCTCCACCGTTAAACGGGGAAGGACAGCGGAGAGAGAACAGGAAGTGTGTGGGAGAGGAGACGCACGTTCTGCTGGCTGTAACTATGGGAGAGATGCTTCACGTTGCCGTGGCGATTCAAGCGTGTATCCACGGGGTGAGTCACACATGCCTCCTCTTGCCTCCAGTGATGACGCCGCTAGACAGGAAAGTGAGACTTTGTACGAACACAATAGACCTTGCGTGGAGAGATGGAATCATGATCAACACCAGGGGACTGATCACTCTAACTCTAACGTACAGCCTTCCCTAACGTTTGGCTTACTCTCTAGATTGCTTCTGGAATCTCACAGGTGTGGACATGGTCAACAAGCCGGTCAACAAAGGTGCAGCACCGAGCAGGGCAGAAGATTGAAAGCACTTCCACATGCATTTGAATGTCAGTGCCTGAACAGCTCTTTCACTGGCTGCAGGCCCGTCTGACAGCGTGTTTGTGTGTTATCACATTCTTGTCACTGCGTTGTGTAAGTGGCTTTTAAATAGTCAAATGTCCTTCACCTGTTAGCTAACTTCAGTGTGGATGTTCTCGTGTACGTCAGAGCCTTCTGGCTTGCTGCTTGCTGTTGGTTTGGGGGTGTGACAGCAGCTGCATTAAGTAACAAGCTGTGTGACAAGAGATTTGTTACCAAGACTTAAAGGGGCAGTGGAGCTTGGCAGCTTAGAAATGCCACGAAAAGTATATTGTAACAATAACTTGGCCTGTCTTTACTTTTTGCACCTTTTCTTAACCGCCTTGAGCTCATATGTTGACATAGTGGTCTCATTTATTTATCTCACTTATTGTCTAATTTATCTAAAAAAACAAACTGTTTATGGCACTGAAGAGTAAAACAATGCAATAGAAGTCACAAATCTCTGCCCCTCTAAAGTCAATTTCCCCTGCATTGTGGAAATGTTTGATTTGATCCCTGATTTAAGAGAGAAGTAAGTACTTGTGCAACATTTAACCCTAATTCACATTTCGGGGACCCCTGCCATCAGCTCCCCAGCCTGGTTATTCAAACTGCACACATGGTACCCAACACATGATTCATCCACCTCCATATCGTCTGCCGAGCTGAGCCACCACTCATCTGGCCCCTCTATAGGTCAAAAGGCTAAATCATTACAGACAAGAGTCTACCCCACATCTACTGACAGAATGCCATCGTTTACCCGAGAGTCTGCGATCATGTGATTCAGCAGGGCCTATAGATTACATAAATAAGAGGGCACAGACATGACGCCACGCGTGACTCATTCATGGAGCTGTCACATTTCGGCACCTTTGTCCCTCTCCCCCCCCCCCACACGCTGGCACAGTTCACTTACTCTCCGTGATCTTCTGCAAGCCCAGAACATCCTCTGGCGTGATCGCCGTGCCCCCGAGCAGGTCCTCCTCCGTGGTCATCGGGACCCCCACCTCCGCTGAGTTGCAGCCCTTCTTGACTTTCATCGCCGCCGTCTGCGTGGGGCTGCCGTTCCCGGGGCTCTCTGTGCCGCTGTCGGGCTGCTTAACGCCTGACGGCTCCTGGCTGCTGCCTCTGCTGGTACAGGAATAGCTCATTCTCTCCGCCGCTCCTCCTCCTCCTCCTCCTTCCTCTCCTAACCCAGGGATTCCAAGATACAAAACAGTTGCCTCCCCTCCCTCCCTCCCTCCCCTCCCCTCCCTCTTGGAAGGATGCTGAGTTGCTGTCTGTTATCCGGTGCTTAATTCCAATCCGCTTCGTCTCTCTGATCCAGCAGCCGGGTCACATGCGAGCGTCGGCGGTGTGCACGGAGGGCTGTGAGCTGGTGCAGGTTCCGGGCTCAGGGCTCCGGGTTTCGGGCTCTGGGCTCCGTCTGAGCTGCTTTCCTGCGCAACGCGGCTCTGAGAGACGCTCTGCAGACAGTGTGAAGTGAAACTAGACGAAAGGGGGGGAAACAAGTCTGCTGGGTTTTTTTTTTTTTTTTAGATGCAAAGAGAAGCGGCAGATGGCTGTGGCGGTTGAGGAGGGGGGAGAGGAGGAAGAGGCTGAGCCCGGCGTCTCTGCGCACCGTCTGCGCTGCAGGCGGCCGACGCACGCAGCGGTGACCCCCGAACAGCTGACCGTCTGAACGCGCCTAACGTTTGCGCTGCGTGCCTGCCTGGCACAGGGGGTCTGTTATGTTGAACCCCACAGGAGGTCAGAAAACGGATGTGTAAAAACGGATGAGCGTTAACATGTAACCTGCGCATTATAGTTAGAAACCAGCGACTGACTCACCGACAGATCGAGCTCCCAGTGGAGGTCAAGAGTTCAGGGTTGCGCTTGAACCCTGTTCGGCAATTTTTGAAAATGATTTTTAATATGGAAAATGCACTTCTTCCATTGGTTGTTACGTCAGTTATGCTTCACGTGAAAATAAAGTGAGGTACCTTTCACTGTTCAACAGTCATTTAAAAGCCTCAAAAGCCTTTAAAAGTTCTTGGTTAGATCACACACAAAAAGAAGAGTCTAACAACTTTCATTGCAATAACTTGGGTGCTTTAAAATGATGAAATTAAACTTTAACACCTCTAACTGAATTTCTTAACTGGGTTGTGTTGCATAAAACAGAAACCAAAGTCTAACAATGTGAATCTACAGTAACTTGTTATTTAATGTTTTGGTATTTGTTGAAAGCATCATGAATGCAGAAGCTTTCCTTTATGCAGTTTTTGTTTTATTTCTTCATTACACTGCCAATTCCATGCACCACATTCTGAAGGCATTATGTTTAAAGGGTCGTTTATGCTCTTTTAAATTCTCGCGTGTGTCTTTCAGCTCAAATGAAACAACCCATACGGGTTAAGGTAAGAGTATTGGGCATCTTTTGAAGATATAGATGCCATATAATGTGATGCAAAAAAACACTAAATAGACACTGATAACATTCAGCATTAGATCAGCGTCAGTTTCATGATATTTGTCATGTTTCCTGCAGGTTGGCAAACATTAAACCTTTGCAAGAGCACTTCATGTGCATGCTCCCTTTACCTTTAGCGAAATCAATTTTCTGAATTCTCAGAGTGAAATATTTATCAATTAAAGCAACGTATGAATAAAGAGTTTTGAACAAAAGAGTATACTTTTTTAAAAACTGCTGAGTTCTAATTACATAAAACTATTTAAAAAATCAAAGAACAAAACAAATGCAAAAATCAATCTGGAAAGAAATTCTGTTGACACATAGATGTTAGATCTATGCTTTTTTGGCTAACCTGTAAATTCAGCACAAAAAGAAGAGCATTATTTGATTGAAAGTATCATAAAAAGTATGACAGAATGATGAATAAAAGAGACATGGCATAAAAAGAAGGAAAATGTAACAGGTATGTTTGTCCACAGCAGAGGAGAGTTCCATAGAATACTTTGGAATTCACGGTATTCATGACCCATAAACAATTAATGTTTAACTCCTCACCATGTCCACTCTTTAAACCTATTTTTGCATTTTAAACTTTTACTACGGCAACCTCTCACAAGTGACAGTGAAATAGAAAATGTGTAACGAAAATTTAATGAGAGATGGGTTTCAAACAGTCAATAGAGTCTGGGATTTGAGCCCAGATGGTAGAGGATGAAAAGAGAGACAAAATAAGGAAACTATTAGGCCTTTTTCAATCTCCACTGATTCATGTAAAGCCCCTATTTCAAAGGAGATCAGACATGATTATCCATCACAGCTCTGCAGTGGCACTGTGTGTGATGATAACCGGGCCACACCAACCGTACCTGCTGTTAACAGCAGCCAAATAAAAAGTTTTAAAAAAGGTCCAAGCATATGCCCCAGAGAGCATCCAAATATTTCATGTCAAATTATAGCCATTACTCAGTCTTTCTCAGTCCACATGTGAGATGTGAGACACATATCTAACATAGAGGATGGCAAAAACTGAATGATTCTCCGAATTAATGATATGAAAGGCCTGAAAACATGCTGGAAATGAGGCTTACGTGGAAACGTTGCACTCTACAGGTGGTCTGTGTTCACTGCAAAACCTTTTGTCTAACCTGTTTACTTCCTTTTGGTCGCTGAAAGAAGAAATGAGAAGTTTTATTGGTAGGTTGCCTTTCTTTTATTATCACAAAATATCATGACCCTGCCTTGCCCTTACATTAGGTTAAAGCAGGAAGCACTGAATGCAGCTGGAGAACCACCTGCAGAATCGATCAGCCAGGGGCGTGAAACTCTCTCCAATCAAACAAATGCTAGTCTTAACTCCATGCAATCCAGGTTACTGAATATAGTTTGGAGGGTTTTTTGTAGATGTTTCTGTTCATTGTTCTAGACTCACAGTGTGTGCAGAGCAGGTAGATGGAGCATCACGGTGTGGCTGAGTGCTATATCTGTATGTGGACACTGAGGTCGGCTATATGGTCACTGTGGGCTCTTCACATGGGCCTGCTGAGTTTGCTCGTCCTTTTGTCACGTCTGAGCTGCTATCATCAGCAGAAACACACACACACAGACACACGCACACACGCAGGCACACACCCACAAACGTATATCCCTATCCAGTCACGCATGTAGACCCCAAGTAATTTCACTCTCAAGTCACAAACAGTTTCATTTAGAGGTGTGTGTCAATCTCTCCGTCTCATTTTGTGGTGGGTGCAAGCTATGATATCACATGGAGACCCACATCAACATACACGCATGTACACACACACACACTCACGCACACACAGACAGAGAGTCTGGGCAATGTGCTGACCTCAGTAAGCCATTCCTAAATGTTTTTTTGTTCGGTGCAGCAAGAGGAGAGAGGAGGGTGAATGCTCAGTTATGTTCCTGATGGCTTCTCACTCTGTTTTCACTCCCTGTTGTCTCCTACTTTAATCCCCAAAAACAAGAGAATATACCGGGGGAAAAAACAACCCTATGACATGAAAAGTGAATTTGTTTAATGGGAATACTGAAACCAGCTTCCTGTTCTTTCAGACAGTGGCTGCTGTGTCTCATCTGTGTAATAATGATCAGCTGAGCACTGGTATCTGAAATGTTAGGCTGCCAGTTAGAGCCCACTGATGGCTGCCAAAATGCTGCCAGTTATGCCAGGGAGACCTTTCGCATGGTGCCACTGCCCTCTGCTAACCTTTACTGATGATTATTCAACGGTGCACATCACATTTTCCAAAAATAGCAGCGGGTCCTTTAATTCCCATATCGCAGAAAAACAGGGGCTCGAACAGAATGAGCGCTGAGCGGTTTGGACAGTTAATGGACGGCTGCCATTTGAACCTGCCCCTCTGCAGCATCATTCCAGCCGATGAAGACAACACTTTATATTCACAGCGTTATCTCTGTCTTCCAGTTTCAGAGGAGTTCATTTAAATGATCCAATGAATCAAAACGAATACATCTGATTGAAACGCTGCACTTGACTAACTCGCTCATTATTAACGCTCACACAGATCAAACTGATCAAGAAAAATGAGTGCTTTTGTTTCTCTCTTTGAAAAAAACAAAAAAAAGGCTGCCCGTGTGCATGTTAAGGACTACAAGAGATTGTGATAGTAATTCATTTTAGAATTCAGGCCAGCTAAAGAACGACACTTGTCCCATTCTCAGATATCTGAGACTGAAAGCAAATACAATACTTGAATTCCCATTTGTGACTGTTATTTAAAAATCCTGAGTGTCTAAGTGAAGTGCAAATAAAAAAGAAAAGCTTTTAAGAAGACATCCTGCAGTCGTCTTTTCCGGCATTACTTGATTTAATGTAAAGCTGTGTTTGATGACAGTTTCACAACGGGTTGTTGAAAACCGGCCTGCTTTTTTCACACAGGTTCGGAGCAGATGCGACATGTAACGCAGTGCAGCCGTGTGCCCTCTTTGTGTTTGCATGAATCAACGTATATGCGCGTTAACCCCTCTGTGGCTCACACAACAAAACAATGGAGTCCAAAGCAAAGTGCTGACATGAGTCCAGGCGTGCCGGCCCCCCGGCCCCTGACACTCGTGGGTGTATATATACCCCCGTAAACACAGCGTCCCTGCAGACTGTTCAGTGGAACCCTGCGACACACAGCTCACCAGTTTGGGTAGGTAAAAGGAGAAGTTAACAATGCAGTACAAGCTTCCCAATCTTTAGGAATTTTTTGGCCTCTAAAGTTTTTTATCGACCTGGAATAGGACATTTTTTTTTATTTGATGGGAGCCAGATAAGCTTGTTAATAGCTTTTTATGCAAATGAGAGTCCAAAAAACAGAGGGATAAAACAATGGAATGAATTGGTGGAATAAGGTTGGGGCATGGGGGGGGCGTTTGTTGGATTTTCTGCCTCTGAATTAATGAGTCTAAAGCAGAGCTCGGTGCCCATGAACGCAATGATTATACAGAAATACATGAAAGTAAGACAGTGAGTTTGCTCCTCTGTATCTGGCCTCACTGTTGGTGTATTCTCCCAACAGGTACTACTGAAAAAGAGGACAACATGGCTCTGACTAGCACCATGCCCATGGGCCCATGGAAGGTAAGTTTCACCTCAGATCTCCCACGAGCACAAGCAGTAGGAAAAAAAGTTCTAAAGTACGAATGGACATAATTGTCCCCTTATGTTGAAAACTGCATTCGAGTCTTCATTTTGTGTCTTGTGCAGATCACTGTGTACGATCAGGAGTACTTCCAGGGCAGGCGTATGGAGTTCACTGCCTGCTGCCAGAACATCATGGAGTGTGGGATGGAGAACATCCGCTCCCTGAAGGTCGAGTGTGGCGCGTATGTATCCACAGAGCAAGCAGTTATTTTTCAAATTTATTCGGGGATTTAGAACATGATGAGCCTGTATTTCTCTGGTCTCTGCTTTGCAGCTGGGTGGGCTACGAGCACTCCAGCTTCTGCGGCCAGCAGTTCATCTTGGAGAAGGGAGACTACCCCCGCTTTGAGGCCTACAGCGGCAGCAACTCCTATCGCATCGAGAGAATGATCTCTTTCAGGCCCGTTTGCTGCGCTGTAGGTCCAACGGAAATCGTCAAAACTGCCTGGGCTGCTTTGAGTTTCATCTTGCGCCGGGCTAAAAAATCATTTTTCCTCCTTCCCACAGAACCACAAGGATTCTCGCATGACCATCTTTGAGATGGAGAACATGATGGGCCGTCAGTTTGAGCTGTGTGATGACTATCCCTCTCTGCAGGCCATGGGCTGGATGAACAATGAGGTTGGATCCATGCACATCCAGTGTGGAGCGTAAGTTAAACTTAATGATGCTGAATATGACCTGAGGCCTCAGTCATACAAAACACATGATACCAGGAATGTACGCAGAAAGAATTAAGGCTTTGGTCCTTTGGAAAAAATATTGCCTCTGTGTATTTGACTATGATGTAATTGAATGATGATCTCTCTCTCTCTCTCTCTTTGTTTTCCTGCAGCTTTGTGTGCTATCAGTACCCTGGTTACCGTGGCCACCAGTACATCATGGAGTGTGACTGTCGCGGAGGAGAGTACAAGTGTTACCGTGAGTTTGGCTCCCATGCCCAGACTCCCCAGATTCAGTCCATCAGGAGGATCCAGCACTGAGAGGGAAGCGCCTCCTCCACTCCTCCTCCTGCACTTCCATCCCTGCTTCCTCTTCCCTCCTTCCGGCAAATCCATCTCCCCGGCTCATTTGGTCCAGTTGGTTGAAAGCAGGATCCTGAACTGGACTTCAGGTGCTCACCTCAGTGGTTCACTGCACTTTTAAGTTTTTTTTTTTTTAATGAAACATCATTAAGAAATGAAAAATGTGAAAAGACAGAAAACAGGAATGACAGAATTGAGAGAAAATCAGTGAAACAGAGAAACCTTGTTTACTAAGGTTTGCTACAGAACAGTGAAAACACCGTAGACTTTTTTTTTGCTCTTTTTCATCTCTTCCATTGATGGCACCATCATCGTCATTGTCTTCTACATCAACACAACCACCAGTCTTGCTGTTATTGTGATATTCATGACTGACCCATGTTCAAGACAATGAATAAAGAGAATGAGCAAAGAGACAGAGAGATTCACAATAATGACATGTAATTCAATTACATCTGTGTCTTCTTTTTCTTTACTTCTTTCTCTACTGCTGGTTCACATTACAATCAGAAGAATGCACAATATATTTATTTGGCAAATTCCTCAGACAAAAAGTTGAGTTTAAAATCCCAAATAAAGATAAAGTCCTGAAAATCCGAAAGGAAAAGCTGTCAAAAATTATCTGTCAGGATGAAATGGGGAAAGGTAAAAAAAGCATATAGAATATCTGCACTAGTTCATCAGATTTACTCAGCAGATGATCTTATCCAAATATAAAAAAAGGAAATACATGAAGGAAAACTACTGCCACCTCATGAATAAGTTTGATAAGACTGAAAAACACAGTGTACCATGAAGTAAACCACTGTCAAGCATTGTAGGATTTAGTGATTTGTCATTCTTAAGGCTACCTTAGCCGGAATACAAAAATAATTTGCTGATTTAATTTAACGAACAATCTGCTAACAAAGTCTGCTAATCAATAACGTTTTTCTTTTCATAAAACATTCAAAAGTTAAAGACTATGAAAGATTGTTAAACCAAAGAAAGATAAGAATGTTTTAAATGGGTTTTATTTTTTGGAAAAGAATGTCTAAAAAAAAAGAGATCCAGCTTAGAATTTTCAGTGCTGATGCAAACATATACTGAGAAAAAAAATCAGTGTTTGAGATCACATAGATAGAGCAACTAAACTAAGAAATCTGCAAGGGTATTAGATAAAAACATATATTTTTAAGGTGTAGTTTTTTTGTGAAATAATTACAATTGTCAGTGGTACTTTAGGCCAGCAGTCAGTATGGAATCAGCACAGATGTTTTTTATTCTATAAACTCATAAATTGCAACTAATTTGAACTATTAGCATTACATTGAATAATGTTTTATTTATTCAAAAATTCCCTCAAGTTTCAAATTGTTCAAACTGCTGGAAAAATACTTTTTGAGGATTTTAAAGAAAAGTAAACAATTTAATTAACATGTAGGATTGACAATGAAGGTTTAAGTATTCTTACTGACAACTCTCAGTACTAAAGTAAGGAAAAAGTAAAGAATTGGATAAGGTAGCAGAAAGCTGTTAAAATAAAATACTATTTTCTTTAACACCCATCATAAAACTGCATAATGAAACCTAATGCAAATCCATTATAAAGCCTTTGACCATTTGAGAGATTCCAAATGGTGGTTGTGTAAGGCTGGTTTCTGTGAGCTGTTAAATTCCTTGGAATTATTAATAGCTAACACTTCTTAGCCTATACATTTCTCAAAATGACGGCTCTTTATTTATTTAGAAATTGGTAAAAACAATTTTTATGTAGATAAAAAAAACAAGTTACAGTTTTCTGTTTCAATATTACAGATCGATTAAAAACAGAGAAATCTGTCATAAAATCAACTTTTCTGCAAAGATCACCGGCAGAATTTTTTAAATGAGTCACTACTCAAGTCAAAATTCTTCGTTAAAATACTTTAAAACGGTCATTTTATAATCTCAAACAGCAGCTGTAAGGCCGCATACATACTCACCACAGGAGGGCAGTGAAATAGCTGGTACACATGTTGCCACCAGAGGCTTGTGGTTGACGGCAGGAGAAGTACGACAGTTGTTTGTCTTGACGGCACATGTCAACACAAAACATGGCAACCAGCAGTAACTACTGGGAAGGTAAATTACGACAAAACGTCTAATATTTAACAGCCAGTTTGGACATTTTTTATTGGTCTCTTCTCACGTACTCCCTCTGCATAATTGACTTTGATAAAGCTGATACCTGCCGAGAAGAGATATTATCGCTGTTTAAAAGCTATTTTTTCAGGCTAACCTGTTAGCTTGCTAAACCCTGACGTCTAAGTTTAAAACTTTTCTGTGATGGTCAGACCGTTCACTAACCTCCTGATATAGCTAGTTTGGTTTCTTACTGAACTTTTAGCCACTTAACACTCTGCTACCTGTGATTGGGAGCATTTTGAGAAAAGAAGACACATTCTTTAAAACAAGGAATGCTTTGCGAATATTTCAGTGAATATTATAACCCAACTTAATGTTTGTCTCTGTCACTCGGTTCTCCACAAACGGGTAGTTTAAGGTGATAAACAGCAATCTGATTAGATTTCCTTGGACTTTGGGTCAACAGAGCGAAATAATAATAACTAAATAATAAAGAAAATCTCATCAATGCATTAGGTCGAGGTTGTTTTCATTTAGGTCTTTCTAGGTTGATTTAACAAATGTGGGACCTTGTGTCTCTTTTCCTTCCCCTCAGATTTACGTAAACAGGCCAGACAACTGGAGAATGAGCTGGACCTGAAGCTGGTCTCCTTCAGTAAGCTGTGCACCAGCTACAGCAGCAGCAGCCATGAGCAACCGACAAGAGACAGCCGGTAGCAGCACAATCCTGTTTTACTGTAACAGTGAACCTCCTCATAGATATTTCAAATGAGTTCATGTTTTCAGAATTTCTGGGAGACATCATTACTATACAGTAAAGAATGTTTCTTTTTTATTCTTTTTATTCCAGCATTTTAAAAATATTTATGAATAGATTATTTTGATTATCATTTTGATTACATATAGATCGTTCCTCTTCCAGTTAGAGGTTTCACACATTGGTCATTCATTCATTACATAAATTGAATTTGCTACTTTGAATGCAACCACTCTGACACATTCCCATCCTTCATCGATGCTGAAATCCTTCATTGGTAACTTTGTCCTGTTTGATTGTGTTCCACTACTCTAATAGCTCAATGCATGTTTGTCAGATGTGAAACGGTGACTGAAAATGAGCATGTAACTTTGCATCCTTTCCTTCAAAAATCAGGTCTGACTCTTTCGGCCCCTCTCAAGACAATATGCTTGTAGCCATGACTACTGAACTGGAGCAGCTTTTGGCTAAAGTGAGTCAAACATCATACATGAACTATGGCCACTAACAGCCGCTGCTGAGGGAATCTTCAGGATTGCCTGTAATTGCAACGCTTTGTGTCATCTGGGTGTTTACATTTTTAAAAACGATGCTGACTGTCAGCTTTGCAGTGCATTCTATTATGATTAATTTATACATGCCTGTGTGTTCTTGATACTGACTTAATCTTTGTTTGTGGGCAGCTTTCAGTGGTCAATGACAAAATGGCAGAATACACAAATTCCCCTGGTGCTTCATCCCATAACGCAGCATTAATGCACACTCTACAGAGGCATAGAGACATTCTGCAGGTACGCACAGCTTCTCTATTAGAGTAAAAAGCCAGTTTTTGGCTCTGTGAGTTTTCATCCTGATGACTGCATCATCCTGTCTTTATATGTTTAGTTAACGGTGATTTATTTTGCAGGACTATACTCACGAGTTCCACAAAACCAAAAACAACTTCTTCAGCCTGCGAGAGCGAGAGGACCTGCTGGGCTCTGTTCACAGAGACATCGAGTAAGCTCTCCTATCTGTCTCTGCATGGCATAAGGCATTGTATTATTGTTCCAAGTTTTTTATTAGGGCTGTAGAGGGTCAGTGATCACTTGAATTTGCTTCTGGAAAAAACTCACCTGCATTTATTCGTGGACTAACTTTATTCAAGAAAATCTGGTAAAAATGCGATTAAACGTGTTGCCAACATTGACTCTTTTGAATCCGCTTAGATATTTGTTCATACGGCCATATGCATATAAGTAAATGCTTGAGCAGGCACATTGCAGAATGACTCAGAGATGGAAATTATCCATCTATTACAGCAGATTTTTAAGAAAACGGTTGTTTGCACTTTAGAAACTGGAGTTCGAGAATTAAATTAGACTGAAAATTATTTGCTTTGCTCTTCTTAACCAGCAGGAGGCAGAGATGTCCACTTTGTTTCTGAATTCCCCAGCCTTTTAACACTCTTCCCACCCTATGTCATATTTCATTGTCTCACAGGAGGAACCTCCTCTCATTAGCCAGTCAACCCCTTCTCTCTTTATTTGTAACTCTCTCTCTTTGTTTGTTTCTCTCTTTCTCTGGGGGAAATCTTCCCTAAGTGCCCTCTACAGTAAATCAAACCACAGGGCTTTCATTCAACTGAAGCTAAGGGAGAGTGGTTACATCTAGCCATCCCCAATACGAAGGAAGGCTTTAGAAAGGGAGGAGAAGGAGGGTAATACAGAGAGAGGAAGAGGGATGACTCCTGATCTGAAGTTGACTGATAACAAAAAGGATGAGAGAAGATTTTAATTATTTCCATGAAGATGAGAGGTGACGTGTATTGGAAACGGAGCAGATGATGAATTGTATAGATCATCACAGCAGATAGAAGGGTGGTGGTTTAAATAAGAGATGGAGCCTAATGCTTTGGATTAAGCTGAGCTAATCACTTAAAAGCCTGAGCTCAGTAAGTACATCATAATCGCCATGCAGGTATCACTTTACAGCAGGGAGTGAAACACCTGTTGGGGACAAACTTGTGAGTGATTTCTGCTGTTAGCCACACTGCATCTATCTGAGTGCACGTCTGTGGGGATCCCTCTTCCTTTTTTTAACACACATCTGACCTTTTACAGCGACTGTGCCCCCAGAAGGATGACAAACTGTTTGAATAAAGGCAGAAAATGTCCAGAAGCTTTTTATTTGATTGTCCGTGTCTGGTCCAGTTCACCTGATGTTAGTGTGACACTCTTGTCTGACTTAGGTCCTACAAAAGCAACTCAGGGGTGAATAACAGAAGAACTGAGCTCTTCCTGAAGGAACACGAACATCTCAGAAAGTAAGAGGCGTTTTTTTAAAAGCAACATAAAATGGTATTTGGAAACATTCAACAAGTGTGTTTTCAAGGTTTCAAAATGATTGTAGACATATTTCAATTCCGTTCAGAGCTGATCACAGATGTGGGCAGCATGATGGCAAAATGCCGCACAAGATGTTTGGCTTGAACACGCTCCACCACTAAATGACAAGTGTCTGCATGTTAGAGACCTACCAGACTATTACTGAGGAAACACAGCTCTGATGTCGTTTGGGCTTAGACCTTTGAGTGGCTTATTATACACATTAAGCGGGCACTCAAATTCAATTTGGAATGTAACAGGAAGAAAGTTTGTGAGAGATTTGTGAGGAAATGGTTTTCACAGACACTAATTCCATAGTAAGATTCCGCTTTGAAATAAAGCTGGAGTCATTTTTAGGGTCAGTTCTGCGACAGGAGGCCGTCCTGACATAGCTTCTGCTGCCTTCCAGCAGGTTCTGAGGTGGATGATGGCACAAAAGCGACATATTTACCAACAGTAGCCTATAGTTCACACACTATAAGCAGACCATGTGTTGGAGTTATGTCATATCAACCACTTACAGCTTGATTCCTGACGGAGACATTCAGCACTCTAACTGTCCTGAAGCCCTTCCACAGATAACCATTAGCTCTCATTTGTTTGGATTCACTCGCATGCATTTAGATATGCACGTTTTTCTTGTGTTTTTTTTTCTGTTGGTATATTTTAATGGCTGTTTGGTGAGCTTTTAATAATTTATGTTCTCTTTGCCTCTCTGTTATCAGACACTGATATTGTTGCAAGCCTAGCCTTAGCTGGCATCCACCACACCCCTAACATGGGACTCTGAGCATGACAGATGAACCAGATGTGTATTCTTGTGGGCTGCAGATGAGGGCCTCTGGTTAGGTTCATGTTTAAGTGGCATTTTATGTGATAATAATAATAACAACGGGGCAATCTGCTCTATGTACTTACAAAGTGGAGGTCATATGTAAAATCAAATCTGTTTTTCCATTTATAACACTAATTATCAAAGAATACTTCTGGTTTCAGGTTTGGCAGATGAGCAGAACAGCAGCCTTGTCAGCTGATTTGCATAAAGTTTAAATTATTCTGTGAATTTAAGTGGTTTTGGAGGTTTTTCTAGAGTGCAAAGGAACTAGGGAGTGCAAGAAAAAGCTGGGACGTGCAAAAGCAGAAGCCTGTGGAATGTGCCAGCTAATGTGAGGCTGGCAGAAAAGCTGGAGGGCAGCAGTGGATAGTGGGGAGAGGCTGGACGAATAAATGGAGGAAATATAAAGCACATTATTGATTTCTGGTCTCCAGTGGAGTCTGAAAGGATGTGCACTGCTGCCCTTATGTGATCTGCTACGTCCTAGGCTGAACACTTCATTTTTTCTGTCCGTCACTTATCTCAGCTGCTAATGGCAACCAGAAACCTCGCTGATGTGTGTTCAGGCTCCATGTTTTCCATCTACATGCTGGGTGTTCTACTTTGCAGCTAAAGCAAATCACGCCCTAAAATGGAATTTTGTCCAGGCAGGAACATCAAACATATTCATTGACTCTAATTGACCCAAATTGTCCATTTGAGAATGTTTCCTCCTCTTTTATGTGTATTCAAAGCTCTGTTCGTTTTTAACGTGATGATTAATATTAAATGTATGCGGCATATTTGAAATCATCTTGAAAGGTTATTTTTGAAAGTGTGTCTTTGGCTCTACTGTTGAACGGTAACTGGATCTAACTATTTTCTTTCTCTGTTCTTTTTTCCCTTTCATGTCCACAGCTCAGATAGTCTTATTGACAATGCAATAAGGTAAGCTTTATTGCTCCATCCACTCTCCTGCCTCCCCTTTTACTCGCACTCTCTGAGCACACACTCATCACGAGGAAACCCAGCTCAGTGTGGTCGATTAAAACAGACCTCCTTTGCTATGTAGCTCATCAGCTGGAACATTAAAAGCAGCGTAATGTGATGCGGCGGATGACAGCAACATTTTTCTGTTCCTCCTCCCAATCTCTCTCGTTTTGTCTCCATCCAGTATCGCCATGGCTACCAAAGAGAACATCACATTTCAGCGTGGGATGTTGAAGTCCATTCAAACCAGGGTCACAACTTTGGCCAGTATCCTTTAAACATTGAAATCGATTGTCCTACTTTCCCTGTGTTAGATCTCTGAAAAAGCTCTCTCTGGCACATCTCAGCAGAACAGTAAAATGACTCAATCTTTGCATTTATTTTTTTGCATGGGCGTGTTAGGGAACCTGCTGTTGGATTTTCCGTGGTGCTCTCTGTCTCTTGTTGGAAGAAAAGGAGGTCTGGATCGTAGTTATGTTCCTTCACCACACTTCCCCGCATCTCAGATCGTTTCCCTGCCATCAACGGCCTCATCCAGAAAATAAATTTGCGCAAAAGGCGGGACTCTCTCATCCTGGGCGGGGTGATTGGCGTGTGCACCATTCTCCTGCTGCTCTACACTTTCCGTTGATCAACTGACAGTTGTTCACTGTAACTCTGACCAAATTTTGCAATGATATTTTCAGTTTTTCTGTTTTCCTCCTTCAGTCGTGATTCACTCCCTGTGAACCAGCCGCTGAAAGAGTACAAAGGATTTATACGGTAGAAAATCTTTTCTTTAAAATGTAACACTTTGATTGCACATGGAAGTATTTTACTGCTATTGTATTGTACTATTGCCGATGGAATAGTTTGTTGATTAAAGGTGATGAGCTCACTTCCAGGTCGGTCATGCTCATTCAGTTTTATTTCAGACATGCAGGACTATGGCACAGTAAACCAGTCATACAGTATAAATGTATAAACATGGACATCAGAGTGACAAGATCAATGCATACACAGGAGAACAGCCCCATCCATCATTTGCAGTATATTATAAACACAATCAAGTTCAGAGATCCACACAGTAGAGTGAAGTCAACCAGAAATCCGTGCCATTTATCAAGTTAACGCGCAAAGCAAGACAGCACATTGTGTCGGTCGAGAGGTTATGTTACATGCCTGCTTCAGACTGGATGTAAACAATGTGAGAAAACAGCCCTGTACATCTTCCAGCAGCCAAAAGTCCAGCGTCAAACGGAAAGGAGTGTCAGTCTAAGCAATGAAGTAACATGGCAACAGAGATTTACAGGCTAGAGGTGCAACGCTGCCTTTTCTTTCTGCTTCTTCACAGCCCAAAAATTAAATATTTTAAAGCGGTATTTAATGCGTTCACTGGGTTGTACAAAAGTTTTCCTTTTGGGTGGTAAGGGGGTATCTTATCAGCGAGTCAGGCCTTGGTGTGTAGTTTTTTTGGTCAATATGTAGTTTTAATTTCCTCCACATCGTGCTGACTATCAGTCCGACCGTAAATGTGAGCGGCAGCCCACTTTTTTCCCTCTTCATTCCTGAGTTTGGGAGGTTACCTGGTGAGAGTCTTTTGTTTGTTGCAGGAAAAAAGGCTAACAATAATTTTAAAAAAAAACAAGTCACACTTTACAGTCTCTTCGGCTAGTTTTCAACACATATTTGTGCTTTTTTGCCTTCAAAACCTCATCCTCTTCCTTTCTCTTCAGTGCAAAGTTTAGATCTGATGAACTCAGTGTCCCTCCTGGGTCTCTGGTAGAAGAAGAATAGAGAAATTAAGGCACACAGTGCAGCACTAAACAATGTGTGAGGGCTTTTTTCATGCCTGTTTTTCCTACCTATTGTAAGCACTATGAAGACGATTACAGCCACACCCAGCACCAACGCCAAACTGCTAAGCAACATGGAAAGACGCCCATACTTTTTTGCTCCTTCAATATCTCCAGTATGAAGAACGCTTCTCGACTAAAGAAAAAAGGGAGGGAGACCAACCATGAATTATTTAAATGTGACACATGTGAGCAAACCACCTGCACTACTGAAAGAGATCAAGTTTTACACATGTTTTCAGAATAAAAAGGATCTTTTTCATGGAGAAAGTTGAAACGCTCCGTTAAAAGAGGACTCACCACATGTGCGTACCACAAGGCGCAGATGTTGAGCGGCACAGCTGGGCAGAAGCAGGACAGCACGGCCAGCCAGAGGTAGCTCGGGGGCTCGGACCCCGGTGGCACCGGGGAGGGCAGCTGACCCAGGCTGAGGCGGGAGGTAGATTTGGGAGGGGTCGACAGCTGCCCGACAGAGCCCGATTTTAGTGGCGATCTGTGTCCGATCTGATCGGCGTCCAGGGACCGGACGCTCCCTCTGATGTTCAGGGAGAAGGAGTCGGACGGCTTCAGGTTGCTCTGCCCCGTTGGCTCCGTAGTCGCGGTGCTCAGCAGCATCTCCGTGTCTTGGAAGTCGGTGGGGTTGGAAACGTCCCTCTCTCTGAGGGAGCTTTTCCCATAAGCGGCATCAGTGTTGATAGCCATCGTTACAATATGAGGATTATATCCCGATGCTTGTTATTTGTTCGGACGCACTGGAGTCCTGATGATGGAGATGCTGCGGAGACTTCGTTTAGATGCTCTCCATGGGGGGTCATCAGATTAGATACTATGAATTCAGAGCCCAATACAGACAAGGAAGCCTACTTAATTAAACGGACTATCTCCATCTAAATTCCTTATTGATGAGCGAGATGTTATTGACGTCCGAGTCTCTCGCATTTAGTTGGCCGTGTGCGTCTGAGCGCACGCCTTACTTTTTACCCCCCACCTCCCAGTATTGTGTCGTGAGGTATTACCACATCCCATACATCCCCGCGCATCACATCCTGAGTGCCAGAAGCCTTAAGCACCAGAAGGAAGAGTGGGATATAAAAAAAAAACAAAAATCTAACCTCTTTTGAGGAGAACACGCTGGGTGCGTAAAAGCTTTCCATTTACGCGTGGCAGGCAGCAGCTTGATCAGCATATAGGACAGAGCAGAGAGTTTCTGATGGAGTGTGGGAGGGAAGCAAAAACGGAATCTAAAGCCTTTATGATATTTTGCACCACCTGCTGACTCAGAAACTCCGGGGAAGTTCGGCCACTAAAGCATTTAACAGGAGCCTTAATGTCTATGTGTCATAACGAAGAAAGTACACTCTCCTTTGACTGCAACATTCTTAGTAAAAAGATCGTCGTCCGCCTCCCAAAATGAGACTAATGCAACCTCAGATGAACAACAGTGCATGTTTATATTACAGTGTTTCATAATTTAGTTAAGTATGCCAAAAAGCAGACGCAGGTGTGTGAGCAACTAATCACACCCCACACAGGTGCTGCCATACAGGTAAGAGGCATTTAGGTGTTGCTCATTAGCAACCCTGACAACCTCTAAAAAAGCTGATATTTTGAAAGTATGGATAGGTTTTCAGAAGATTGCCTGTCCTCTGTGAAACGCTTAGGCTTTGGCTTCTGCAAAGTTGGGTCTGAACAATGTATGAGCAACTT